GTTTCAGTTAAACGTTAAATAACTTTTAAAACGAATTGAGATTTTATAATATATTTTATAACTCATAGCCAATTCTATTTATACATTTTATTGATCTCCTTAAGATTCGTTCATATCTGAAGTAAAAAAGACATTGCAGTTACATTCTTTCTGATTAATCAGCGTTAATCTGAATTAAATATCAATTTCTAGAGCAATACTGATCCCGTTTGTAATTACGAACTTTTTAACAAAATACATATGATCTTTATTCGATTATCATAATGCCTTCTGCTCAGTTGAGGTCTATTACAGTACATAAATTACTTTGTTTCCCTATACTGTGCTCCATTGAAAACGTATTCCTATTATTTTATTAATATAATCATGTACAAATATGTACGTATATAGTATATAGTTAATTAGTTTATAAGTTGATTCAAAGTGATCGGTGAGTTTGATTTACGCAAATAAAGGATTAGTTGTAGTAAAGTAAGGGTTTAACTTTTCTTTAAAATTTTATAATGTTGTTCATTTGTAGGGTTTTTATACTCGTGTCAAGGTCTTGTAAGTCTGATATTTTTAACAACGGTTTGCACTTTTTTATATTTACAAAATTTTTATATATATTGCGAAATAACATATTATATATTATTGCAAAATATTATAATATATAAAATTATGTAATATAAAAGACTGACTGCTATTTTTTTTGATATTTAGTGACTACATTTACATCTTCCAGTTACTCGTTACCAGAGGCAAGTAAGTATTACTTATCATTTCAGTTTAAGACTCAAAAATCAAGTCTCTAAAGTGGATCATCAACACAGTTTATATAATACTTTATAATTTTAGATTTTTTTATAATTATTTTTATTATCGCAGCATGTGATAATACTCAATTAATAGTGCATTGGATAGCTCGAGTGATTCAAGACTTATACTTTTTTCATTAAATATTTAGGATACCTAATATATTCTATTAGTTCTCTGAGCAATTTGTTATTGTAATGTAGCATAGTATGACGTAAATATAATGTATCCACTCAATGTAATTTTTTCTTAATTCCTTAATAATATAAATGTAGTCCTAAGAGACAACTTTATTAAATGGGCAGCTCTCTGGTGTCAATAATAACTTTTTCAAAGCAAATTTTTTTAACAATAATTTTTTTTAACAATTAACAATTTTAACAATTAACAAAAGTAGACTGACGATGAGTGTCAGTTTCAAAGAGTTCTCACTGTGGTTGTTACTGTGTTAATACAACATAGTAACATATATATAATAAAATATTATGGACTACTTCATCCTCTAAAATGTGAAAAGAGACATTACTTATCTAATATAATGGAGCTTTCCATACAAGAATTATATTCATTTCTTACCTATATAGGTATATAGGTACCTTAGGCAGCATATTCTTCAAACAGATTTACATGTAAATTAAGTATTAAACTCCCACTTTCAATCACATAAACCAATTTCTATTTAACAGAAATTGAAGAAAATTAACTGCATTTAACACTCATAAATTAAGTCATCCAATGATGTTCCCTTATAACACAGACCTGACATGCCAAATCAAATTCGTTTTGCTTGAATATTAAACTCTGCAAGTAAGTAACCACATGGCTATGGTCATAGCATATCAGCGCTCAACAGCAACAGTTACACTTCCTTGAGGGTAATTGCGCTGTCTCCTTGTCAGTTTGGTATAATGGCTAATGTGTTAGTATCCGTCAATTGGCAATAAAACTCCAAACACAGTTCAATTTTCCTCTGTGGTGGCAGAAACAACACACAAAAATCTCCACAGGGTTTCAAAGTTGTCCTTGAGGTGCTCCCTGGTCTCTCTCATTGGTAATCGTCATTAAGGTTTCATGGTTGCTTGCTGGATGTATTCGTGCATGTGCTTTAGTGCAACATTTCTTCTTCTTCTCAGTTATATTTTCTTATATTTTAGCTTCAGTTTGTGTGCGGTTACAAATTTTGGTCGCTATGGTCGCTGTTCTCCGTGTACTGCTCAGCGAGGTGCATGTCCTTGCTGTGCTAACATTGCTCTCTGCGAAGTCTGCTCTCTGACTTCGCTTGCTGATGTCGTTGTGGCACTATCAGATTTCGTAGAAGTTCTCAAACAGAACAAAATAAATGCTTAACACGAATGATTATTGTTCGTTAATCGTTAATGTCCTTGGCCATTAACACATTAAAATCAGTCGAGTTTGGCTCAAATTCGAATTTCCTTTGGTCTTCCAGTGGTGTTGAGGTTTCACTAAGTTTGCGTGTTTAATGTGATTTGCGATTTACTTCGCTTGGTGGGAATTGGGTGTTGTTGTTTGACCGATTTGAGTAATGTTTTGCTTTCGATGCTTCTCATTCTTAATTTATCACAATTCGCTCTTTTTACGCAAAAAAATCGAAAGTAATCAACAAATAAAGAATATCTAACGAAAATGACAACATTAATAAGTAATAATATTTAATGAAAAAAATATCATTCGTTTTATAATATATATGAATTACATACCAAGTGATTCTGTTCTAGGAGCAACATAGAGCCTCTGTTATCATTTTAAATCGAATGATTTGAAAATTTGTTTTCCCCTTCAACTGTTCTCCTTTAAGTCTTGGCGGATGCATCTTGAACTTTGCTAACGCCACCTCAGTCCCTGTCTAGAAATATATCATATAAGAGTATGCCCTGTTTTCTTTTCCGAATTTCTTCCATAATTTTAATTTGGTTTGCACGAATTTCCTATATACTATATAGGATAATCTCTGAAACCAGATGCTCAATTTCGACGTAGATTTCTGTCAACATCGTTATTGGATGTAGGATATGCAAACCCATACATAGTGATCATGATCGTATTCTTTCCTCTTACTAATTTTTAGACTGTCCTTTAAAGGCAGGAGCAACTATGCCATAGCAGACATACATCACATATATTCCAAATCCTTTAATCGGCTAAATGGCGTCAATTGGATATAATGTTGACCGTCGTATGATGTTTCAATTATTTCGTCTAGTGTCAGGATAAATAATAGAGACGATAAAATGCATCATTGTCGTACATCAGACTTGGCAGCAAATAGTTCGGAGAGTTATCTCTTATCTATTTTCGTGGTGTAAATTTATACTCGAATTATAATTTCATTTATATTTTTTTTAAACTTGTTTCTGTAAGTCGATTTTCTGATAACACTATAACCATAATTAGCATTTGTCCACATTTAAAAAAAATTTAAGTTACAAGTTTATATACGTGTGATAATATAAATTTTTTATTGGAGTACAAAAATATCCCACGAAGTCAACAGTGTTTCGTAACATAATATAGCTAAAGGCACATTTACACTGTGTTATGTAGGCGGTTTTGCTTTTATATAAATGAGCTCATTTACAATAAATCAGCTCAGTTTAAAACAAAAACGTCGAATGCAACCCTTAAAAATAAATTTCCCACAAGGGAAATTACCAAAATTTGAAATATGTGTCATATGTATTATATGTAAGATATATTATATGTAAATAAACAGCAGCAGACACTGAGAAAATAAATATATAATAAAATCTTTGTTTTTATTAATTGAATATATATCAACTATAAAAAATGTATACGAGTATAAATGATTCAATATATCAATTATATATATAATTTTTTTGTATGATATATTATTAAGTAAAGTTTGTAAAAGTTTTATCAGCTATATAAATGAGCTCATTATAATGTGAAAGTGACAATGAATGTATTATAATAGAATCTTTCCCCTACTTACTTAGTAAGTTATTTGAGTTATTTTAAGATTTTGTCGTTTCCACTGACATAGTCACATAGGTTAGAACTTCTATGTGTCAGAAAAGTTTTAAAAGAACTTCCGTTTGTTTAAAAAAACTTCACTTAATAAAATATCACATAAAAAATTAAATATATTATTGATATATTAAATCAGTTACATTTCCAATTAATAAAAACAAAGATTTTATTAAATACTTACTTCTTCAATGCGTTTGTTTACAGTTCAGCTGTTATTAGCTTACATTTCAATTATTTCAAATTTTGGTCACTTTCCTTGTGGGAAATTCGTTTTTAAGGATTATATTTTTGTTGATTTATTTTTAAGTAAGTTAAAGAGCACGAAAGCTCTTTATGTGGTTAACGAAATTTACTTAATAAGTTGCACTTAATAAGTAAGCAATGGAAACATATAACAAAGCGATTAAAACTAACGGTGGCAATGGAAATTATTGTACAATATACTGATCTCTAATTACTAAAACACTTTTTTATGTACTTTTTTATTTTATGTTTCCACTGCAGCTAAAATTACTTATGTTAATGAAATTAAGATTTGGTCATTTTCATCGTTTCCATAAATGTTAGATTTTACATAAAAAATATATGACAAATATATAAAATTTTGGTAATTTCCCATATGGGAAATTTTTTGTAAGGATTGCATTCGACATTTTTCGCCTTAAATTAGTTGATTTATGTATAATGAGCTAATTTATTTGAAAGCTCTTTGTATAGTTTTAATTTTAGAGATGTAGCATTATATTTTATAGATATGACATTTGAATTAAAATAATAGTGTGTATATATGTGAGAATATATATAAATATCTATATATATATATATTATTATTGTGCAGAATTGTGATAATTGATGCAGGAAGAGACATATAATGGATTTTTTATATTGATTTATAAGATACAACAGACCCGTCGCTTTGACCCGTTTTTGTACATATCACCAAACGGTGTAAAATATCATTTCGCAATCTCGCGTTACGTTAATTTGCTTCCTAGTATAAAACAGGAGAGTCACAAGGTAACTCTCATTTTTAATATTGTGGCTTTTATCAATTTATATAAAAAGTCATGTAATTACGTTTACAAATGAAAATGACTTGTTATTTTTTTGATGTCAAAAAACCTTAGTATGGGCTGCTTTATAAATTTTGTGTTAACAACGTTAGTATTGCCATATAAAAATTTTTATGTCAATTTTGTGTTGTAGAAATAAGTGTAGAAAAAACTAAATGTCAAAACTGGAGTAAAGCATATGGTAATAATTTTGGTTTTGGGTGTTACGTTCTAAGGGGAACGGGCACAGTGAAATTTTTTTATTGTTTATATCAGAAATAAATTTAGAAGGATCATTACTTGTTTTAACGTCTGAAACGCCTAGTAGATAAAAATTTTAAGATGGCTGAAGAGAATCATAATGATAAGGACTTAAATGATCTTTTGGACAGTAAGTAAATTTGTGTACATATCGAAAGTGCCAAAGTCTTACGAACTATTAATAAATTATGTAATAAAAATGTCATATTTTTTTATTAATCATAAATTTGCTCCGCAAATAGGCGCTTTGGAAGATTTTGATAAAACTACCACAAATTCCGCCGGCGGTGATGCAAGTGCATCTAATTCTGAAGCCACTGACACTGAGAAATTCATAATGTAATCAAAAAGAATATTATTTTTAATTTTAAAAAACATTATTATTACTATTTTAATAAAGGGAGCAAACGCACTTGCTCGCAGAGCGTATGAGCTCATTATTTGGTGCACCAGACACACCCACAAGTGAAGTTAATAATTTGACTGAGAGCGGCTTCAAGAAAATGGCCGAAGCTGCTGTGCTTACTTTAGAGGGCGAGAACCCAGCCAACGATGATGAAGTCGCTAAGTATTCAGATATAATTGCACAAGCACTTACGGTACATAAAGTAAATCTTATTAAGTTATGAATATACTTATTTAATATTACTAATGCAGGGACTGCAAGAAGGTAGTGAAAATTTAGCATCTTCAGATCATTTATCCAATATGTTCCAAGGTCTAAATTTATTCGACGTAAGTTTGTTGCATTTCCTTACAGTAGATATTTATTGAGTTATTTTGTGTATGTATATCTTATAGTCTAGTGATGGTGAGGGTAACGCATTCCTACCACTAATGGAGGGAATGATGCAAAGTTTATTATCGCCTGAAATTTTACTACCCAGTATCAAAGAATTATTGACTAAATATCCAAAATACTTGGAGGATAATGCAGATAAACTATCTCCAGAGGATAAAGAGCGGTAAGTGTATTTATTTAAAAATTAAATAAGGTTTCCAAATACTAAAGCCGGTTTCTTACATTTAAAGCTACACTAAACAATTGGATCTCTACAGAACCATAGAAGGCCATTTGGAATCCCAAAATGCCACTGATAATGCGCACATTAAACGTGAAAAGTTCAAAACTGTTCTTGAAGATATGCGTAAATTACAAGAATATGGTCAACCTCCAGAAGATATAATTGAACTCTCGGCACTGGATTCAGCTACGTTGGGTGGTGATATGGCGGGAGGATCTGGTATGGGTGCCAGTGGTAACCCACAATGTCCCATGATGTAGTAATGGTACTGATTCGAAAGCTACCATGTTACTTTATATTTTTGTTACTAGTTTTAAATAATTTGGACCGTGGATGGATTTTATGGTTTACATAAAACGTTTTTTTATTGTTTATTTTTTTATTGGACTGAAGTTCAACGCATTTGGTGGGAAAAATTATTTTTGTCTCAAAAAAAGCAGCGCTTATAAATTATAAATATTTTTATCAAATTTTTAGAACGAAATTTTTAATGTGAAAGGTTTTAACAACAATAAACTACTTTATATTTACCACTCGGAATTTGATGAATACCATTTTATTTTTATATAATTTTAAGCTTTCTTCGTTTATTTCGTTTTATGAAATAAATACTTTGAATAAATTTAACATGTAGCCACAAACAGAAAAACGTATACCTGATGGAAGCGTGGGACATATTGAAAGAATTTTGGTAACAAAAACATTGATCGTGTTGGTTTAATGCAATATTACTTTGACTTCAAATCACACGTATTCGAAACTGTATACTTAGCAGATCTACGTAAATGGTCTATAATAGAAGCAGATTTGAAAAGTTGGATAATGCTTTTAGGAAATTTGAACATTCGACATCTAAGTCGTATATTCTTCGCAGTTGGCTGCAATGCATCATTAACATATACAATGAGATTTTACAGCAGCTTTTTTAAGCATGTTCTGCGAAATAGGGAAAATCAACAGGTAGTGTATAACAAATTAAATTTTACTTGGAACGCAGAATTATTAAAAAGAAGATTCTCTGCGTAAATCTAGCGTATTTCTCTAACTAGTGCATTTTATGTACTTTGGCAGTAAATTATATTTATGCTGCAAATCCAGTAAATTATAAGCTGTGTTTATATGTGAACTGTCATTAGTTTCCTTAGGCATTTTATTATATTAGGCTTTTTAGTGATAGAGTTTAAACACTAATTTATTTTAGATTCACGTACTAACCAAAGTGAAAATTTGGCAACAAGGATATCTAAGGAAACCTTACGGTACATATACATATGTACAGGTGTACATAATATGGATATTAGCGTATTTTGAAAAGAAATAGGATAAATACTTGATTTGTGTGTGTGTAAGTTTTTTATATATATTATGTTATCACAAATATAATCTACATTTAATTATTAAATTATATAGCTGCAATGAAAATTGTTCTCGAAATCTCTGATTTAGTTTTAAATGGATAGTCGGTGTTATCGTTGGGTTTAATTAAATTTGTACTTAATGTAACCGATTTCTATAAACTAAAATTCAATATGAAGGAACAGGTATTTTAAAGAATGCTATAAATCAGAAGCTCAAATATTGAAAGTAATTTAAAATATAGACAATATTTTTATAGCGAATACTTAAATAAAGTTAATTTTATTATAAAACAATCTGTAATAACAATCTGTAATTATAAAAAGAAACGACGTCTGGATTCCATAGCGTGCCGTTTGTTTGTTATAATCCACGTGTAATCACCTGTCTTACTATCAAACGTGCCCTCCTGCATCGAACGTAATTTCAGTGTGAAACGTGGTCCCAATTCGCGAAGCTTAACGCGTTTACCTTCTTTTGAGAACTCGTAGCGATGGTGTCTGAAGAATATGTAATCGCGTTGATTGTGAAAAGTGACAGCACGACGACCTTTAAATTCGGGATCATGATGAAATAAGGCACCCAACATCCGGCCAACCGATAAACCTAGACGAGTAGTGAAATTGTTGAGTATAACTTCGGGTCTATGTTTGGTGATCTCCTTATGATTACGTTTGATGTCACTCGTTAATTTAACATTTGACAGTTTAAAGTGTGCTGTAGGACCGTTGGGTAGATGTATTACCAAAAGACCATTGGGCTTGCGTCTATCTTCATTAATAATAACAACATCGGTATACGCTTCACGTGTAGCGCTTTTGCAAATGTTCTTCACCGAAGATCGATTCCGCACCTTTACTAAAGCATTTGGGAATATGCGTGATAATTCCAAGCCAAATTTACGCGTTTTTGTCACAGGATTGTCAGCAAATGTAATCAATACTTTTGGCTCATAAGTGCCTTCGTAATACGAACTAAAGTCGTCAAGTTCAAGCTCTTTGCGTAATTCCTCATTGTCAGATTCGGCCAACTCGGTAATCTGAGTTTGATCCTTTTCACGTAAGCTTTCAATAGTGTGTCCTGGATTTGCAGGTAAACCAGCTTTACGTCGTGCACGGCGCTCTTGCATTTTCTTTTTATGTTTCTCTTTCTTCATTTTACGATATAAAGCCATCCGCAAATCTTTATTACGCATTAAACTCAAAGGATTTACAACTGGCATGCGGACTTGAGGTGGCTTATCAGTTTCATCATTTTCATCATCATCGTCATCATCAATCTCACTATCGTCTTGGGTACCTTGCACATTTATTTTAGCTGTTTGCAGAAGTTTTCGTTGCTTTTTTGGTTTGTCGTCGGTATCTAAATCGCTGTCACTTTCATCACTATCGACGTCATCTGCATCACTATCGACATCATCTCCAGCATTATCGACTTCATTTGCTTCCATGTCGTCCTGCTCTGAATCACTGTCGTCACCCGATTCACTAAGTGCTGCTTGCATGCTCTTATAAGTTTTTGTTTTAGTTTTCTGGTCTTTGTTAGATGCTACTTGATCTTCCTCTATTTCATCATCACTATTATCGCTACTATTGGCTTCTTCAACGGCTTCTCTTTTGCTTGATTTAATACTTTGTTTGCTGGAATTCGGTTCTGCTTTGCGCTTTTTTTGCTCTGACTTGTTATTCGATTCTTTTGGATACTCCTCTGCATCGGTATAGCTAGAATCGGAATCATTCTTAGCTTCATCATACTCCTCTGCGTCCTCATATACAGAATCACTATCTGAACCCTTAACAGGGTTTTTATTTTTCGCTTTCATACCTTCAACAATTTTCTAATCTACTCAACTTAAAAACTCTTCCGCAGAGCGCAAGCAAAACTAAAACCGCACGTGTTGATGTTTTTATTTTGACAGCTCAAATGCGAAGGCAGTGCTGCCAGCGTTCTTAACGCAAAAAGTATTTGTTGTAACAGAATTTTTTCATTTTAATTCCTTTTCATTTGCTTGGCGGTTTGTTAGGAAAACTTGGCAATATTTAAAAATTTCTTTACATTAGGTTTATTTTATATATACATATATATATATATATATATATATATATATATATATATATATATTTAACATGTATAAAGTGATTGACACAATAAAGTTATTGTTGAGCATTTTGGCCGTGTGCTAGTGCGAGTAAATTGAAATTTCCAAGGGTTTTTTGCACTGCATTTATGTTAATATTTATTTATTTATTGAACTTATTTATTATTTTTGGTACAAAGTTTTTAAATTTATTTATTTATTTATTAAACATCTTATAAAATATTCACAATGGTAATACCTAATTAATCTAATTTACTCTACTCGAAATTCTGGTAAATACGTTGCCATACCGACATAATTTACTATTTCCCACAATTTACCTTCAATTTACTTAACCTTTATGTGCTCGGTAGTCTACATTTGTAGCATTTTGTGCGAAAAAGTCTTATAAAAACGAATTTTGCACAACGACAGGGTGCGAGATTTTTAGTAGTTTCCTAAAAATCAATTTTAAGTTAATTTTAAACTTAACAACATCAAAACAATAATTTATTTAAGCCCTAGACCCAACTTTTCAAAATGATCACCTCCTGGCCGGTAGTCTACATTTGTAGTCACCATATAATTTATATGAAAATTCATATTAAATATCTATGTAGCTCAATATTTTTTAGTTCCAACATGCAGAAACATGTTCCTTTGTAATTTATTTTATTCTCTGTTTACTTGTACATACTTGTGCTGCATATTTGTACTTATATGCATGATTTTATGGTTTAGATCGCAATAGTAGGAGGATTAGGAAGCGCAGTTCATACTGCTGTAATCAATTTTCTGCTTATGCTCCATCTGATTACAGTGTAATGCTTTCGATCCGCTTTCGATTGGTAAATTTGGTAATGAAATAGTTTATTTGAAACATAGAGCAGTAAAATAAAATGAGAATATTGGAAAATATGATTGAACGTGCTTCAACTCGGCCACTATGAGTTGTTAAACAGTAAGTGTGTTTGCAGTTTTTCCTTTTTTTTGAAGTGGCTTATGAAAAAAGAATGGCGACAATATATTGACAAATTACTGAGCGAGATTGATGAGGAGGAAGAGGAGGACTAGTTTTTAGCGATGAATGGTTTGATGATCATGTACCGCTTGACCATCATACATGTTCCAGCTCAAGCAATGTTTTTGTTGGTGCTGTAAGTGTTGCGATTGGTTTCTATTCTAAAGAATCTGACGCCGAGAATGAAATGATACTTGGTGATTCAGAAATATGAGCAAGAATAAGGTATATTATTCGAAATAAATTTTGATTATGTGATGAATGTCAAAGAGACATCGGTCGTTATGCAGCATCTTGATACATTTGTGTCAAGAGATAATACTGTCTGGTTCAAAACTATACCTAATCAAGTAGGTAACACTACTGCTCACAATGTGTTTCATGACACTACTGTTGGTCCAATTCGAGCGACTAAAGGTCTAATTTTGTACACCGTATTCGATACTTGAATAAATTTTGAGAGGAACAAACTAAAAAGCCAGGAAAACTTTTCAAATAGGGAATGAAAAAAACCCTAATGCAAAGGAGAGAATGTGGAATACTGTAACCGGCATGAAATCATAATCGTTAATTGAGCTTCTAGTGCTAGGTGGTGTAACCAAATCAAGCGACGAGGATACGAATATGTTGTGGAGTAAGGAAGCAGTTTGTTATTACCGTGCAACAATGTAAAAACCCATTTCAAAGAAATTTTACATTTTATTCGGTTTGACATTCACCGTACTAGAGCTGACTTGTTATTGATAAGGCTGCTCTCATCTCTGAATTGTAGGCTGAGATGAATAGCCATCTCCGTATGTACTACCAATCTTCCGGAGAAGTAACAGTAAATAAGCATCTATTTACATATCGTGATAGACTAGATTTACCCATTATATTCCATCCAAAAGTTTGGTTCGCTTGTGATGCGAAGTCGTTTTATCCTCTCAATAGTGAGGTTTATACTGGAAAGAACTCAAATGCAAATCAGGCAACTATTGTGGAAGAGATTAACATTTGAAAGAGAAAAACTACGCGAAATATTTGCAGTTGGTGCATAAAAATCAGTGTGTGACGTACAAACAGTCACATATTCTTTGGGTGAATGTTGTTCCTTAAAAGCTACTTAAAACCTTTTTTACCCAAATTTTGTATAATAATTTTCATAATAAATATGTACAATTGTCTGTAAAAGTAAAATAATCTGCCTAAAAGTGTTTTTTTAATATGTTGGTCTAGATTTCTTCATAACATACTTGCTTGCTACAAATGTAGACTTCCGACCGGCAACGTAGGAAAAATATCCCGAGCACATAAAGGTTAAACTCGCACATGCCATGCTTAGATAAACCTAGACTCCTAGGTACTAAGCCTCCTGCTTATATCTCTCTCTGATTATTGGAAAGAAGTTTCCACATTGTCATTGAAATTTTCTCCATTCATTCCTAAGAGTTAGTTTTAGTGGGTTAAAGTCTCACACTGTGACTGTTGATGCTTTCTACCTACCACTCAAAAAAAACCAGTATTTTTTTTCAATAGGACAATGCAGACTAAATAGAATAGATCTGTTCTACGAGGTATTCGTAGTAAGACTCATGTAAAACACAAGTAAAGTACAAACTAAGAGCGAAACACAAATAAAGTGCCGAATTACGCTCTTTACACAGATTTTCATGGAACAGCTTTGTGTAAAGTCTGGTTAGAACATCATTGCCGCGCAAATAAGCAACACCAAAATTTAAATTTTAACAAAAACAGCTGATTCATACATTAACACAAATTTTACTTGAAATAAAATGTACGAGTAAAGTCTGTGTAACACTTTCAAATTTCGACAGGGATGTTACGCTCTCTCAGATGCTTTCATTTACTTGAATATTTGCTGGTGGAACGTACTTGTGTATACACAGTGTTACTCGAAATTACTATGAGTAGCTCGTGGAATAGACCTAATATAAAAATTTTGTATATTATGGATAGAGATGATGCATAATATAGCAATTTTCAGCTATATTCTTAATATTGGCATGGCGAATTTATTTCTCGAAATGCCTTAAACTTCAAATAATATAAATCAGTCTAATTGGTTTAAAACTGAATTTAGTATTTTTATTCTTCAATGAAAAACTGAAAAAAGAAACAACTTATTTAGTGTACGAACTTATTCACAGTTACGAAATTTAAACGATGGCAATAGCGGACTGCAATATGTTATATGTATGTATACTCCTATATGTATGCATATAAATATGTGTGAGTACAGCACAGGTATTCGTCGTAATGTCCAATATTTTGCAAATGAGTCTAGTTTTTTGTTTAAGCCACGGATATGGACATAAATAAGTGTAGTAAGCGTGACATCATTGCTGCAATCCAAAACGAAATCGCAGAGATAGGTTTGACGTTGAATAAACTACTTGCAGAACCGTACATCAACCAGACTACCATATGCTCAGGAAATTCATATACCTTGGTACCGCCAAATATAATAATAAAAGTCTGGAATCAATGGCGCAACTAAGAACCTAAAAACCGAACTGCAAAAAATTATTTATTTTTAATGTATATTTATTCCATAAGTAATTAATTTATAAAATTAAAAAATATTTCCAATCTATATAATTCACATAATAATATAATACTGAGGAATTGAATTTAAAATTGAATATAATATTTTAGTTATGAATTATACAAATATGTAGCAGAAAAATAAATATACTCGCTTAATACTCGCTAAATTTATATAACTTACTTACTTTATTGAAATCCATAACTGTACATAGCTTTGCCATGCCTGTGCGTTGCCAATAGATGATATTACTATATCTTTTGTAAACAATTTGAATGTTGAATTCAAAATTTGCGCTCTATGGATCACTTATTCTAGCTGTGCTTTTGTATGGTATAGAGGCATATGGACGCTATGCTTCATCAAACAATGATGAAGTGCACTGGAAGTATTAAAGAGGAAACTTCTTCATAAGGCTATTAGTTCTATACTAGTGCCTAGAGACTACCGCAATCAAATGAACTATACAATCTGTACCGTGTCTTTGACATTATTTACGGAGTTAACATTCAGCTGTTTTGCTGGTTAGGTTAGGTCACGAGGATAGTGACGATTTTTCAGCGAAAAATCAAGTAGAAGCAGCAGTCGAAACAAGAAGACGTGGGCGAAGATTAATTGGTTAGTATCCACGGCTCTGCTGTCTTTTTCATAGTATCGGGGCGGTGGTTGACATTTTACTGAAAACAATGTTTGACGCAGCAGTCAGAGAAGGAAGACGTAGACGATGATTGTGTGTTTGGCTGTGTGATTAATAAGACTGCTTGATTTATTTGAGTGAAGTAGATGCGTAAAGAGTAAAGGCGCCTGCAGGTGAGTGCTGCAACAGGGCGGAACCCGGCAATGGCTTGTTAGAACAAATAATATTCCAGAAATATTTAGATTGAAAACAAAAACGATTTATTTATAAAATAATAATAATATACTTGAATTTTGATCTTTATTTCAGTTCACTCTTTTATAATTTTACTAATTAATCTTATAGTTGTTTTTTTTTACAAATCCAATATACGTTTAAGTTCGATTTAACGAATTTATCAATATCAAATGCACTGGCAAATTTAACTAATACAGTTTGTTCTTAATTTATTTTAATATTTAATATTTTACTATGTAGCTTTTGGTAAAAATTTCACTTGTATATTTTTTTTTTTATATTTTTACAATCAATGTTGTAATAATTGGAGTACTCAGACGTGCTCGATAACACTATAAAATATTATTAAGATTTGTTTTTGTAAAAATTATCAGGTCTGATAACTTTTGGTGATTTCTGGAGAACATTAACTAATTTTTATTATTTTACAAAAAGTAAAGAAAGCAAATGTATTTATGTATTTTTTTTACTTTTTTTTAAAGTTTTTCAATTTTTCCTAGAAATAATTGAAAAATTACGTACAGATGTTTATCATGTTATCACATTTTGGGTTAACGGGTTAACGGGTTAACGAGTTATCGAGTGAGACGTCTGAATATTCCTAACATCTTAATTTCAGTACATTTTTTTTTTGTTTTTTAATTTTATGAAACATTAAAATTGATATAACTAAACACTAATAACACCAAAAACATATACATTTTAATTAACAAAAAAAAAAAAAAAAATTTACAACAAATCATAACATTACTAAATAAATTTCTAGTAGAAATACGATGAACGTTTAAAAACACAACCATTGAATTACATTTTGTCTTTTTAAAGAATTTTGTAGTAAAATTATGTAGTAGAATTATGTAGTAAATGTGCTAGGATATCAGTGATATCAATGACAGGATACATATTCGCATGCATTGCAGATAGCAGATGACAGATAACAGAGTAGAGTACAAACTACAGAGTACATACAGATTAGAGTATAGAGTACAGAGTATGGAATTTGTAAACTATTCGATAATTTCGCATTAATAAAGTGTTAAATTAACTAGTGATATGTTAAGAGCAAACTATAAATACAATAGAAAATAATCACTAATAAGTTATTTAATTTGAATATATAAAAAACAAAAAAAAAATACAATTAACTAATATTTGAGATACATTTTGGTTTTAGATTATTTTTCAATATTCGCTCGTTTATATAAATATACATGACACCTTAAAAATAGGATTTATAACAACATTTGAAAATAATATAATCTTGAGCAAATTTTTACTAAACTTATTTATCTAAACACAGTTTTCAATATCCTTATAGATTCTAGTAAAATTTCGGTTTTTTTTCTTTTTTTTTATATACAAAAAATTTTACAAAAGTGGGTAGTAGTAGTTGTTTGATAAATACAATATAAAAAAATTATATTCAATATTCATAAATCAACCTGCTACTTTTATAATATATATTAAAATGATGTCGTTAAAGGACCTCAACTATATATATTGCAAAAATTGCAACTCACACAAGTTACGCGTAAAAACGTTTTAATTTTAAAAATTTTATTTCATTTACAAAATTTATTTAAGTTTTTTTAATAAGAACACAATTCATAAAAACTAAGTTCGGAACGCACAAGCAACACTGACACAGTGATAACGGTAGAAGATAGATTGCACTATTCATATCGATACCCAAAAATAATGCAATCTATGGAAGAATTCAATGACAATATATATACACATACAAATTATAACAGAAGTGTGAGAAGAATACATGGTATTAGGATAAATTGTTGTTGTTAGCAACTCGACTGATTAAGTGTAAGGTGGGTGTGAGAAGACATCCTTCTTCTCTTGCGAATGTTGAACCTAACCTGGGGGTCCACAGATAAAAAAATCTTGCTACCATTGTGGGGAGGACGGAACTATAAACATTAAATTAAAAATTGTTTGTGTGTATTTGAACATGAAAACAGATGGACATATTAATCGGGTGAGGCCATTAAACAATAAGGTAATGCTTTAATAACGTGTTCAATTTTGTGTATGCACATGGAAATAAAAAAGAATGGGGTCTGGATCAGTGATTTTCAATGTTTTTTGACCAAAAACCACAATGACATTTTTGTTTTTAAAATAGACCACACAGTTTAAGAATAATAAACTGTTTGATTATTTTAATATAAAGCATATTAAAACATTTCTGGTATATGGTAAGGGCATATAGATACATTATATAGGCTATAATATAAGTATATAATTACTTGGAAAATTTTCAGTGGAGAAACTAAAACTTATTTATTCGTACCTGTTAAATTTGATTCACGTACTATTTTTAATAATCTCGCAGACCACCGGTTGGGAATTACTGGTCTAGATAAAAGAACCTTTAAAACTCAATGTAGCAAACACAAAAATTAAGGGGCTCAAATTAAGATTCAAATTTATTTGTCGACATGAAAACAGATTGAAAACGTTATGCAGTTTAGGATACAGTTGGAAGAATCTTATCATCTAAATAAATTAAGGTATAGATGGAAAAATTTTAATACCTTAATGTAGCGGAGAAATAAATCAATAGACCTCAAATATGGATGTGTACAAATGAACAACGTTATGAGAAAACTCGTGATCACTGTAGATTTGAACAACTCAGCTGAGTTTAATGAGTAAATAGTGCATATGTCATTGATCATGGTTTTAAAAACAGTAGGGAATACAAAGAAATGAAATTGCAGATCAGCGATCAACGACACATGAAATAATGATATCTTTAAAACACATAACCAAAATAATTTTTTAAGATTAACAGAACATATATGAAATGTTATAGTTGACTATGAAAAATTTATATTAACATGACCAGACTACCTGAATAGAGTCCTATCGCTAGAAGTGATGTTCTGCTTAGACAGAAGAACCAGCCAAATTTACTAATGCAATTTCCTATGCCATCGGGCACTCAACTGACCTTTGGATCCGCCTCATAGAAGTGTTTAAGTTTCTCCTCTTTGATCTTGATTGACTTAAGTTAAATTTCATACATTTACCAATCAATTCTCACTCTTAAATAATCACCTCTCCTCTCACACAACCAATTACCTATCCACATCCTAACTTATGTATTCGTCTTGTTATTCCTTTCATGTTATCATGATCCTTTACAGATCCTTGCGGGCTACAAAAACAACAACTAATACAGTTTGAGTAAATGTTTGGGGTATCGCAAACGTTTGAAGTATGTATGTAGAAAGTGACTATTTTTTAATATAAATCGATGTATATATATATGTCATTTAGTTTTTAATTAACTATATTGCTATGTGTTATAATTATTTAATCTCTTGTAAAACGAAAGGTATAGATAATATCTACAGTATGCCGAAGTGCTAGTTGGGGAGTTCCGAAGTTATGTTTTTTATTCTTTATAAAGATGTAATTTAAAAATCGATTACTCAAAATAAAAAACCCTTTCAAAATATTCACTTAAACTTTTTAAATTCAATGCACATTTGTATACGACCATATAGAACCCTGTTTAGTTCTAATATACGTATCAATATATTAATAGTATTATGATTACAATAAGAAAGGTTTGCTTTTTATATGTATGTTGACATGTATGTATATATATAAACTGCACTGGTAAAGTAATACTACGGGTTTAATTGTACAACAGATTCACTCAAAATTCATAATTACATAAAATTTTTACAAAATTGACGTTTTCACATTTTATACGAGTAAATATTGCGTTCGTTTTTCTGTTTATGGTATATACTATGTATAAAAGTTATAAAATATTACGTATATTAATACTTAAATATATGCAAGTGTATAAGTGTAGCTTTGTTTATAGTTATTGTATTTAATTCCTTAGGTTTCTTTTGGTTTAGGTTTCTTCAATTGTATTGAACTTAATGGGAATTGATCTATTGACTTTTTGGATAAACACATACAAATATGACTAATAAATATACGAGTATCTATATACATTATGTATTTTTGTAAATAATTCGAACTATTTTTTTTTTCTTATAATTTAATAATATATATGTATACATATACATATATATATATATATGTATATTTATGTATTATAATAAGTAAGCATTTAATTTTCTAATGAATATTTAAGTAAATATTCGTGACTTTGTTTCTTTGTTTAATAAAAGGTAAATGGTAAATGGTAAAAGGTAAAAGTAAAAATAAAAGATTTGTTCGCTTTGCTAAAAATGAGTTATATTGACTTGGGTTTACTTCACAACATTTACTATGCTCTATGTTTCTCAGATATTAAATTATCGTATAAATAAGAATTTGTTCTATAAATTTCAACAAGTTTATAAACTAAAGAAGTAATATTTTTGTAAAACAGTATAAAGTCTTGAGAGGTTCTTCTTCTATAAGTACATGTTTTCCAATAAAAGAGTATCTAAGTAAGTAGAAAATTTTCGAAATATCTAAAATAATTTACACTAGTGCTTCAAGATTTTCGACAATTACAATGCTTAATTCAGATTTAATTTTTAGGCAAATGATTCAATATACAATCTCTCTCAGAAAAATCATTTATATCGATGTCGATTAAAAAGGATCAGAAATGGGAGCTGCAGACGCGTTATTCCAACTACCTTTAAATAGATCAACGCAAATAGAGTGATTGTACTATTAACAGTTCCATTACCATTAGATAACGTTAAAGTCTATTACCATTAATAGATTAGAAGATTTTTAAGTTTATGTGTTATTGTATTTTAAATTGACTAAGTGATATAAAATATATGATAGTATAGATACAAAACATGAAGCATTTGTAGCTATAGTACAAATGAAGAAATAATCACGTTTTTATGTGTGGGGCCGTATTAAAATATTTGTTAAAATTTTTTTTTCTAAAAATCTAAAATTATTGAAATCACATTGTGCAGGTACCCTCAATCAAATGAAGGTGTTAGGACTGCAGTGGGTTTAAAAAAAAGCCTAACTACTACTGTCATTAACAATCACTTAACAATAAATTTTAAGAATTACTGGATACTACTATACTACTATACTACTACTACTATACTTTGTGAACTTGTTAAAAAATACATAAAAATAGTTTTTGAGCAATTTTTTTTTAAGCGAGTGTAGGTTGAAAAATTCGAACTCAACCAAACAGTCTGAGTCAAAAGCGTTTAAGTACATATATTTATAACAGTTTCCATGATCACTTGGAATGATAATTAACAGTCGATAAATGCGTAAGTATAAAAACATTTGTGATCACATTACATACATGTACATAAGATTCGAGACATGGGTCAATTACATACCTAATTACATAACTAGCTATTAAGTACCGATTATTGGTTCCTATCTTAAAACAATCAAATGAAACCGTTATATCTACCAAAAACAAAAACAAAAACAAAAACAAAAACAAAAACAAAAATATAAATAAAAATATAAATAAAAATATAAACAAAAACAGAAACAAAAGCATAGTAAATGTCTATGTTTCGCCTGCTAGTCATATCAGACGCAATTAGTTTAATGTACACATAAAGAATTCAAAAGATTCACTTTCGCGAATTCGAATTTGCTCTCACATGAGAGAGCTTGCCTGATCTATTCACCCCAACTACGTCAATTCCTTAAATATATTAAGTTTTACATTTTCCTAGTTACTTACTTAAAATTAAGTATTTGTTCTTGCAATTCGAGTTAAAGTTTTTAAGTTATTGAGTTTTTTGTTTTGTGTGTTTTCGTAAAATTAATTATATTCACTATATGTATATTCACTTACGTTGGCTGATTGCCGGTGTTTAGAGCTGGGTTGGCTCGTTGTGCACGCATGAAATTCCTAGCATTCAATGGGAATTGTCTTGGATATGATATTAAAGCTGATCCTAAAGCTAAGCTTAGTGGTGCTCTATGACGTCCAGGCAAACTTACAAATACAGTGCTGACGGCAGCTAAATTATCGTAAGTTGGTTCAATAGCTATGAGTAGAACCTCTGGTAATTGTGAGGCACCGGCGTATGTCAAATGTCTCGATCTAGCACCAGTTGCGCTGCGTACGGAACGTGTCGATGGTGCTGGTTGTGGACTGTCTACATCTAAGGATCCAGTTGTTAGAAATACACGTGCAAATGGTCGTTTAGCGAGATGTAACATTTCAACTACATGTTGTCGACGTGCACGTCTCAAGTCTGCGGCCTGTTTTACTTTCCAGACAACGACACAAACAGCTAAGAAGAGGAAAAAACATGAGAAAAATACAGAAAAGAACACGAATAAATCAATGTGTAATTGATCTTGACGGAAAACCACTGATCCATAGCTGGGATCGGGACCTGAGCTGGCTCGTAAAGCAATAAAAAATCTTGTAGCGCTCAGATTATGTGCATTTTGTGGCAAAGTTAACACCAAACGATTTTTTAGACCAAATAAACGCAACAGCGTGTTACATTGATTCAAAGTTACATGTGTGCTTAAATCTTTTGCGTGTTTATCCTTAACAAAGAAACTGTGTCCACCATGGCTTTTGCACTCCTGTAGATGTGGTACGTAGAAACTGTTACGTTTGTCAGACATAATATGCTTAGCAAGAGTAATATTATCGGCTCTAGGCATTGCTATATTCAATGGATGAGCGCGTTTTACTTTTGGACCCCAATTGTAACGATTGTCTAAAAATATTTCATGGAATCCTGTGGTATCATTTGTCTCAACAATGAACGAGTCGTCTTGTGGTGACATGAAAACATCTAGTTCGCCTTGAGTTACATCGATTGTTATGCGTATGTCAACATTCATAAAACGTGGTTGAATGACAAAGAAGACGGTTTGGCCTGGTTTAAGTGCAGCCTGTTTTGCCTTACATTCCTCTGCAAAAACGATTAAATTTAATCTGTACTTAATAAAAGCATAAGCAGTGAGTAAAGAAAATTTAATAAACAAAAGATTTCAATTTACTTTAAATACACATTTTTAACATTTTCCAATACATACCAATAGGTTTTGCGTCAAAACACATTCTTGATTCAACTGTTATTTGCTTGTAGCACTGATGGCCTTCAATTGGATTACCTGCATACGAGTCGCGACATTTTGAACACTGAACACTCCAACAAAGTTGTGCTGAGTTTTTGCCTCCGCCCGCAGTACACGTAGCGTCACTTTCGGTGTTATTACCACAGTTACATTTTTCTCCTGTTACTGGATCACAGATATTTCCATGGCCATGACATTGACAGGGGCGGCATTCTCTATGATGGTCTTCACTGCCACGAAAATATCCAGATATACATGTATCGCAGCGCTCTCCTGCCGTGCTGTTCGCACAACGCAAACAGGTGGCGTTACTTTGTGGACCTTCGGTAAGAACAGTCTCAAGATCACTACGAGTCATATTAAATAGAGCTGGGTCAGAATAGGGTGCGACACATACATCCGTATGACCATTGCAGTACTCCAAACATGGCACACAATCTCGACCTTCTCTGGGATCACCAACGAATAATGGTTGACATTTTTCACATTGTTTTCCCATAGTATTATTGTGACATTTTTTGCATTCATCTAATCGATCTGGACCTGCGCAATTAGAGTGACCGTTACAAAGACATTGTATGCTGCAATTCGCACCAACGTATCCAAAATCGCATTCACATTCATGTGGTTTAATACATTTACCACGTACGCAGCCCTGATTGCAAACTGGCATACATGTACCATTCTCATCACGATAACCATCACTGCATATGCACTTGTAGCCAACAGGAGAGTCAATGCAAAGTTCAGATATTGGATTACAGTTATGATGTCCGTTTTCACATTCATTCTCTGGAGGGCACTTCACGTAATTCCAAGATACAACATCAGCTGGAGTTAACTGAGTATCGTTACGCCATGACTGATAAATTAAATCACAGGTGGATCCAGATGGATATTCTTGTTTGTTTTCCAGCGAGCCTTCTGTACAAATACCATCGCCATTAAAATCCTCGCGTGCACACCAACCACAATGAGCATGTTCCAAACAAGTAGAACACTGATCGTAGACGTGACAAGGTTCGGGGCAATGGTTTGTTTCATTACTTTCAAGTACTAAGCCACATACTCCACCGGCGCATAAAAGAGGTTGCGCTTTTTGGGAAAGACAAGTATTTAGCATAGTTGACCACTTGCAATCTTTTGGATTTTCTTCATCTATACTTAAGCATGTTGAGCAATTTTTAAAAATGTTGCATGGTGGAGGACATTGACCAACAACTCGGTACTGGTTCTTTTCAACCAATTCTTTAGAAATACATTCAATTATTCCTAATTCGTTTTGTGCCCATTCGCAGTTTTCATTTGTGATGCAAGTTTCGCAAGATAGTGTATGGCATTGTGGTTGTGGACATAAGTTAAGTAAACCAACGCTCACTTCTTTTCTACACCAAGCACTTGCCCTTTCGCAATCAACTCCAGCGGGTACACATCTCCCTTTAATGCCACATTCGTCACACCACTGACATACTGGTGTCGTCTCTATATGTGTTGGCCAGGACGCGAGGCAAGAACTACATGTAGAAAATGTCGAGCAATTTCTTCGTGACATCCATACATCATCACATGCTGCGCCACCATTGAATATTGTACTAATAGTGCCGTTGTTATTTTCACAGACCCCAGTTCTACTTTGTGAAAAACAGTATGATGTTGAACTTTGTTTGCCTGAGACGGTACAAAAGCTACAGCCCATAAATGTACGACATAAATGTTTAGCAGAGCTCCATAACTGACATATGTCAATGGGTAAATTAATGCGAGTTACATGGCTTTGAGAAGCACTTCCATCCCAACCTCCAATCACATAAATAGCTTCACTTTCGTGATCAATAGATATCGCTTCTGCATAAGTAGACTGCTGTAAGTTTCCAATTATGTTTACATCCTCTGTTAAGCGTATCCACTGGTTACAGTCATATATGTAAGCTATTAATACATCACTTGCATTGTATGGATTAGTTCGACCACCATATATGATCATATAATTTTCCGTAGTCACTGCTGAATGAAAATATCGAGCACGCGGCAATAACGCATCTGGTCGATTCAGATCGTTAAACGTAGGCAATTCAGTCCATGTCATTTTTTGCAAGTTCAACGCATAAAGTTTGTTCTGAGGCTCAGTGAAGTAACCGCCAAATATATACATTATGTGTGATTCTGCATGAAAGACTGCGCTGTGGCCATACAAAACCGGCATACGAACACCAAGTGCTAACAACTGCTCCCAACGGGATGTTTCTAAATTAAACTCCCAAAGTTCCAACGGACGTGATTTATTAAGCGTCATTCCTCCAATTAATATCAATGACTCTCGCTCATTATATCTGATTTGCGTTAGAGTATGTCCAGCAAGAGCTGGAGGCCTCTCATGGCTTGAATTGAACTCTTTTTCACTCCAGCGCTGATTTTGAATGGAAAATTGCCAAAAATCGTCTAACAGCTCATTTGAAGAACGTTGACTCTTTTCAGTTGAAACAGTGATACCACCAAATATAAAAATGATTTGCTTTTTTAAATATATTTCTGAAGCATGGAAGTAACGACCAAGAGGCATTTTATCATCAGGTGTGGACTCTACAGTCACTTGTATCCAAGTACCATTTTTAGTATCGAACTGCCGGAAATCATTTAAAGGACCATGCGATGGAGAATATCCTCCAAACATCCAAAGCGATCCACGTCTATCAGCATTAACCGAGTGACCAAAACGAGGTATAGTTTTACGGAGATGCTCGTACGACTCGCTAAGCAGTAAGGTATTAAATAGTTCAGTTACAATGAGATGATTCGTTTTCATAAGAGTACCACAATCGGGCCCAGCATAGCTTCCATTGCATATGCAACGTCCGTAATCAGTGTCGCAGTATCCTTGCATGCGCTTTGCATTACAGTTTTTGGGGCAAATTTCAATTTCACAATTAGGGCCAACATAACCGGAGGGGCACACACAGCGCTGCTGTTCATCACAAATATGTGGATGTATACAAGTTCTTTCAGCACAATTCTTAACCGAATACAAAGCATTAAACCCGAAGTTTTTACGATCCCCTCCTTGCTTGTAGTATACAGTTACATGGTTTGAACGTGCTTCTATGATTCGAGATGATGTATATGGAGAACATACAACTGAAATTAATTGATTCTGTTGAGTAGCGCCAGTGAGATCAGGTAAACTATCATATACATATACGGCATTCTCGTCACAATCCATGGAAAGACTGGGCCATTCAAATTCTAATTGTAACAACGACTTTTCAGCTTGGTGAGTTTTAGGTGAAAGAATCCATAAACATTCACGCACTTCCAAACTTGAAGCACCCCATGGACTCTTATATGATTGATATGAACCAATTGCACTACGTCCAATATCTGATAAAATACCACGCGATTCGCATTGAAAGTAACACTGGCCGCCATCACGCGGATCTCCGTAATAACCTTGACCACATTGATCACACTTAAGTCCTACTGTATTATCTTTGCAGTAACATTCGCCATTGCTTACATTACATATACCAGAATCTTGATTTCCATGACCATTGCATTCACAGGGATGACATCCTTCCGGAGAGGTTGCATTTCCATAGCTGCCTTGACGACAACGTTCGCAGCGCTCACCTTCTGTCCATGCCTGACACTGGTCACACTTCCCTACACGATCTGTGCATGTTGAGTGATTGTTGCAACCGCAATTAATAGAACAATCATTTCCAGTCCATCCCAAATCGCATTTACATATATACTTAGGGTCATCTGAGCAGTAACCATGTACACAAGTTTCATAGCAAGTGCGAATGCATGACAAACGTCCATCACCTACGTAACCGCGACGACAATGACAGTTAAAGGACCCATGGGTGTTAGTACATTTAGCTTCTTTATGACAATCATGTAACTTCAGACCACATTCATCGACATCAGGACATTGTGCGTATGCCCATTCAGCGTCGTGCACAGTGCTATTCAGCGCTAAAGAGCAATTTCCAAAAGGACTGCTGAAATCACCCTGCATACAAATACCTTCAATTGGTTTTTCACGATCAAAACACCATCCACAGCTTAACGTACGTAAGCAAACAGAACAATTGCGATATTGCGCACAAGATTTACATTGTTGCTGAGGTTGAGGTGTTATATTTCCGATATTTCTGATTGTAAGACCATATTCAGCACGAAGGGCATCATCTGCATTTTGGGGTACATGATGTGTGACAGCTTGGTCTAACCATTCTCGACACATGCCAAACTGATATTCACTTGTATATACTGCAAAGCTAAAACATTGTGAACTTGCCTCGCACCAAACGCAACGTCCCTTTTCATTCAAACAATCGTAACAACTGTTACGCATGCGACAGGGTATTGGACAACTTTTGACATTACGTACACTGTTTTCAGATTTGCCAATGCGGGCGCAACGAGCATCTTCAGTCCACCATTCACATAGACCGGAACTGACGCACTCTTCACAAGAAACATAGTTGGAGCAATTCGCGCATTGACTAGGTTGATTTATTAGGTATTCCCAATATCCTGGATTTGATTTACCTGCACAAACTTCTGTTTCATTAACAGATTTATCAACACAAGTAGAAGTGGCACCACACCAGCCACATGTTGCATCAGTTAAACATAATAGACAATTTGAATATTGCCCACAATTTCCAGAAAAGTAAGGCTCGAGATATTCAAAGGTAAAAGCATTCAAATTGCCATGATATAAGTGCTGCAACTCCATTTTCGTTTTTTGATATGTGTTGTATATGGTGTTGAGTCCTATTCGCCGCTTCGCCTAAATTGGATGGAATACATTAAATTGAGTTACTTTGAGTATGAAAAGAAAAATAGTTTAATTTACCTGAAAATCTATGAGAAATGGATGCTCAGTGCTTGGTATTTCGACATTACTGCAAAATGATTGATTTGTAGATTGGCTTACTAATTCTTTCAGGTTGTCTAAGCTTTTTCCTAATCCAGCACGTAACACAGCAGATGAGTAACTAGTACAGACTTGTATTTCAGACGGCTCTTCCCAACTTTTTTGTGGTCGTACAAATCCCAAAAGTCTGGCTAACATTTCCCCTTCTAATTTTTGTTCAAACTGCGTTGTTGGAGTTGGAGAAGAAAAGTCAACCATTGTTGCATTTACGATTCCAACAAAATCTGGCATTGTCAAATTGACAGGATAATGATATTTTATATATGTAAGGCCAGGACGTCGATCATGATTTGTACATTGTGAAGGATGCCGAATTTCAGTGCCTTTCTCGCCCCACCAACCAGGACTGTGAGAAGGCGTATCTTCACCACAAATACCATAATTATCATCACGATGATGGCACTTTGCATTTTGCACGCACCAAGTACACTGGTTCAATCCTAGTTTGCTTGCCACTGAAAAGTTGTCTTCACCTTTACTCCATTGAGTGCCATGCACTAAACACGAATGACAATCACCTAGCGAGGGACATATTCCTGGACAGCGTGTAGTTTGTAGGTTTGTTGTACAATTGGCACCAATTGTCCGTCCATAACAACTGCTGTCTGCGGAGCACCAACCACATTCTGGGTTTGACAGACAGGCGGTATGTGAGGAATGTAAGCGACAAGACATTTCAGGATTATATCCTTGGTTCTGAACTCGTAAAACCTGTGGCAACTCATAAGCAAATAAGTCAGAATTAACATTGCCGTGATATCCACCAGCTATAAGCAGCGTGTTATTTCTTCTTAGTGCAGCAGCATGTGCAAACACACCTTGTTTTTTAGGATATAAACTATCATCGGCTGACACAACTTGGTTTATCCATATGTTACAGCTCAAGTGGTACCAATACATTTGATTGTCATAGCAAATTTCATCTTTATTATGACGGTGTGTATAGCCACCAAACACTATCATATAATTACCGGATATTGTAGCTGTATGAAAGGCACGTTCACGTGGTATATTTGTATCACGTAATGCTGTGCGGGGATATAAAATTTCAGTCCAATGTAGTTTGTCAAGTTGAAAGGAAAAAATGCGATCTGATAATTTTGAAAAACGAGCTAAACTTGTCATGATGCCACCAAATACAATTAATGAATTTGTAGCCTTATAATAAACAGTGGTGTGTGCAGCAAGTCTTACATCAAGTGATTTACCGCCTCGTGGATGCACCAGCTCCCATTCACATTCCTCTGCAATAGTTTTCGTCATTTCTGTTTTGTTTGATACTAACTGAATACGATAAATACTGAAAGAAAAGGTATTGGAGAAATAAAAGAAAACAAAATTTCATTAAATTTACTTGGATGAAAACTCTCCTGTTTCTAGGCTTCCGCCAAATAAGTATAAATAGTTATCTGCAAGCGTGATTGTGTGTCGTGCAACTGGCGGAGGTTTTAGTTTTGACGCAGCCGCTAATTGTTTCCATTTTCCACCACTCTCTGTGCTATTATAAAACCACAGGTCATTATAGAAATTACCATTTGCATGCTTTCCACCAAACAACACAAAACCACCTAAAAAGTTCTTTTAAATAAGTTATTTTTTGTTTTTGTTTAATTAAATTACCAGGCACATTTTCAGCTGCATGTCCATAGCGTCCCGAAGGTTTGTTATCAGTCACTTCCTCTAATATATCTTCTAAATATTCGGATAGTTCCTCTACTGTTGAATTCAAATTAACTTTTATTAATTGAGAAGAGCGAGTACGGCGCTGGTGTATATTAGATTCGGCTAGAGTATATAAAATATTTCTAAAGAAAGAAACATCACTATTTAATCCCCATAATTTTGCTTCGTCTTCGTTTTTATGCTGTAGAACGGCTTTAAGTAACGTCTGATCTATTTTTGGAGGATGATAAAAATGTCGGCGAGACTGTAGTGGTATACCCCATTCATCCTCCCATTGACTAGTGGAAAAACGATAAACTTGGAGTGTGTTTATAACGTTGTTTAAATCATAGCCACCGAAAATATATAATGAATCTTCTTCCTCAAGGTATATGGCAGTATGTGCAGCTCGCGCAGTCATACCCTCAGCATCCGTTGCCAACCAACGCCAACTGCTTCCATGTGGGTTGATAAATAAATCACACAATCTGCCACTATATCCCTGTGGAGTATATTTTAGTAGAAGTTCACTTATTTTATATAAAAATTTAATATGTCTTATAAAATACCTTTTCACAATGACAAATGCCTTTTATACATTTGCCACGTCCCTGCGATTCACCACATTTGTTTGGACATGCTTCATCTTCGCAATCTGGGCCAACCCATTCACCGTGGCAAACGCACTGATGACCCACACATTTACCATGGTTATGACAATTATTTAAGCAATTCGATATGTAATAGGAAGCACGGAATCCGTCGAGCACATAATTTGTGTCACTGTACATTAATATTAACATCTTAAATAAAAAAATGAATATAAATTAAGCTTGCTACAAATTAGTATTCAGCAAATGAACAAAACTTACACTTCCACTATGCGCAACCAAGCGTTGTGGTTGCGTCCTCCCACTAAAACTGCCCAAAAGTGTTGAATTAAATGAATCTCCATCATAAACATATATATAATCGTATGAACATTCCGTGCCCATACTGTGAAAAGTTAATGTAATATATTGACTGTCATTCCTTGCCTTTATTAACCATTCGCAGTGCGAATCCTGCGTATAATTGAAGCCGGCAGGTCCATCACTTATTTCGCCATACGGATCTGTAAATACTTTTCGACTTCGATCACAGGGAGCTGGAAAATGTAATTGTGGAGCTGTAGGTTTAAGCGTTATACGCTCAGCGTATATAGTTTTAGGTAAGTAGCAGCAACATGCCCACACGCAGAGCAGCACAAGTGACCCAGTTGTTATTTTAAAAACTTTTTGTTCACACACAAACATTTGCTTTTAGGTTTTTAAATATTATTTCTATAACTAAAGATGTTTTCAACATTTAACTACAAATATATTACACATAAACGCTTTTATCTTCATCGTATCCAGTTTTTCCATCGATGTTGCTAATAAATGCTGTGACCCTAAAAACTGTTTACTTTTATTTCCGCCCTTTTCATTTGGTAAAACGCTAATATTGCACTTAAATTATATTTATTACACTTATTACGAGTTAAACTCTTATCATTTATAATACAATTCTCATTTTATGTGGTTATTATATTTTCTCAGTGTCTGTCAAACAAGTATATTAAAAAATTTCCACTCTGTACTATTATTTTGCAGAAAAACAGCATAAATAAGCTGCTTCTTATTTGACAGCTGCAGTTAATCTCAATGTGCAATTCACAATAAGTTTTTTGGAGGTTTTTTCGAGTATTTTTCAAGTAAAAAGTGGGATCTGATATCACCATATTTTCGCTGAAAAAAACTACACTCAATCACAAAAATGCTCATAAGTATATTAGATGTTATAGACGTCTAATATTAGACGGCGGATTCGAAGGGTGGCAAAAAACAATAAGTTTCTTTCTAAGGTCGCTAAGTAAATAATTGGCATAAAGCATCTGTCAAATGTTATGTTTCCCAAAGAGTAAATCTTATACGGCGTTTACATTGGCCGAAAATGGCTCATTTTGGTCAAAAATCGAAAATGAGTATCGAATGGCTCATTCTTGCATATAATATTTCAAGCACAAAAATGAGCAATTTTCTCACATTCTGTATGAATGACGTTCGAATGCATTCCACATACGTTCCAAATGCAAAGGAATCCATTGAACATACCCTAAATGAAAGCTCTTCATGGCATTTTGACATTTTGAAAAAGCTGTTTTGACATATTTACAAAAAAACGTAAAAAAATGTTTGGTGGTTGCATTTTCTTTAAAACGATGCACCAATTTTTGGAACTTCTACTTCCCAAAAATAAATAAATCGAATCTAGAAACAAGTTTTCAGTTTATATTGTAAGGTTTGAAGGCATATTTAACCTTCATGCAACATTTTTTTGGCACAGGCCAAAAATCAAATCAACATGCAAGTTGAAAAATTAGATGTTGAAATGAGAACAAATGAAATAGAACGAATGTAAACACTTTCAAATGGCTCATTCAAAATGAGCCATTTTCGGCCAATGTAAACGCCGTATTACATATGTGCACAAAATGCAAGCAAACTACATTTTGTATAAAAATAAATAATTAATATAAAATTGAAAATTAAAATGTAAATAATATATAAGCAATGTTCTGAACATTAAGTATTAATTTTATTTTAATTACCTTTGTCGTATATGTTTCTGAAGGTTGCAGTAATATTTTGTTTTGTCTCGTTTAAGGTTATCACAATATCAATACACAATCATAACGGGCCTATTTGATGGCAGCTCTGGAAAAATTGGAAATTTTTGACTTTTTTTATTTGATACCTGACAGGTTTATTTATGCAAATACACATATTTGCAAAACTCATAAATTTAAAGTTGCGAATTTTTAAAACTAAAAAAAATAAGTAAAAAAATAATAACTACAAAATATGAATATTAACTACACGAAATACGAATAATTAACTAAAACACATGACACCAGTAAACTGGAAATTTTATACGGACTTCCAAAAATCATTCACGATAGACGAGTTTTTAGTCTTGATAATTAAACCATTTAAGCTGCTTATAAGTAAAGCGATTTCAAACAAGTTGGACAAAATAAGCTAGCAGTGTTGTTATTTCATATAATTATTAAAATAAGCGGTTGTTTTCTTTTGCGATATGCTTACAAAGAAAAAAGGTCTACTATTGAAAATTACAAATTTGATCCAACTTGATTTTATTCAAATTATAACAATCTAATTTTAAGCTGTTGGATTATTGTATGATAATGGATTGTAATTTCAACGAAGCAAATAAATGGTATTCTTTGTGGTTTTGATTTGGCTTGAGCTTCAAACTAGAATTTAATCAAAAATAGGTAATACAAATACGTAAAAAATATTCACTATCATCTGTACCCAAAACAATGATATCTTCTTGACGTATGAATTAACATGCTCAAGTTCAACTCTAAATTATGCATTAAACTCAAGTAAAGTTAGACAAGCAGCAATATACGTATTTCATGTGAAGTTAAGAGTTTGGATGAGTTTCTTATAAAGGTATATTTTATTCCGTATATTTTGATTCCGTATAAATAGAATATACATGATTATGAATCGATTCAGTGACTGAATCTCTGGTTCAGTTAGTACTATGTTTACTGCGATTTACGATCGTTTCTCTGATTTCATATTTCACACAAAACATGATATACATATGTATGGTAGAATAATAGCTCTTGGTTTAGACTGCACTGAACATATAAACCAAATGTAAAATATGTAATTTGGATCAATATCTAATAATATGGCGTGTAATTCGAACGTAGCAAACGATTCAGTAAATTGATTAGGAATAATTCGTAAGTTTCGGCTTATAAATATGGAATCATACTTATTTTCAAATCTTATAATATTACTGTAAAAGATGCTTTACGTCTTTAAGCGATAATCGAAAGAACCATTATTTTTGCTGGAATTAAAGTTGGAATCGAAGCCATTCATATGGAACGAACAATTTCGGTTTAAAATTTTATTTGTAACTTTGTTATTTGGTAAATATTTGCGTTCTAACGTTATAATTATTAAATTAGGATGTTGTAGTGTTTAATGGAAATATAAGAAACGAATAGACATTTGAATTATTTTTATAGATACTTGGAATACAATAATTCTTTTAAGAATTTTTATTCATGAATATACAATTTATGGCAACACATTTTTATTAGTAAATATTTTTATTAGTTATTGTATACGAAAGCAAGCTAAGTGTTTAATTAAAATATATTATATTATTCAGAATATGTCTTTGCTTCTAATAAAATATGTTGTAATATTACTTATTTATGATATAATAATATATTTGTTATATTTTAAAACACGTACAATATGTGTTTATGTAGTTATGAATTAAAGGTTTGTGTCTTCGCTGACAATCAGGATTGTGTATAAAATAACTTTAACTTTGATATACATATATGGTATAATAATATATTTTAACAACAAAATAATTTCAAATATAAATTTTGTGTTCAATGTATATTTTGTATTTCACAAGTAATATATAAAAATAAATTAAATAATTTTAGTTTATAATGACAGTTGAATCTTTAACTTAAATCGTTACTAAAGAACCTGTTTATTGGATAAAATTATACCAGCAGATTGGACTGACAGACTGATGAGGAACTGAATATGATTTCAAGTAAGAAATTTTCATATGGACAATAATTTTTTACATGTAATTTATTACCTACAGGCAGTGTATGCGGTCTGCCTATAGGTAGAATGCAACAAGTAGGCTTATGTTTCCGCTTTTGCGCACATCGTTTTTGGGGTAAATTTAACCCTGAAGTGCAATAATATTAACATAAACTATGCTTATGTATATACAAATAAATAAATTAAAAATAATTATTTAGAAATTCGTATAAGAGAAATTTTATATTGCATATATATTTGGTAATGCATATAATACGATAATAAAAGTTCACTCTGCACATTTCATTAATTTTTTATATATATTTTCACAAATAATAATTATCGTACTATGGTACCTTGGGGGAACGTTGTGAGACCCGTTGGCTGACTGTGTGATCGTGTTGCGCCGTGTTGTGCAGAATCTGTTGTTTCCTATACTGAATTCACTTGAGTGTTTTGTTTGTAATTTTAGCTGTCAAAAATTTTCATTTTGCATTGAAAGCAACAACAATTGACAGCTAATATCACAAACTGACAGCTAAAATTACAACCAAAGGTCTCGCTTGAATTGAGTGTTACTTAAAAAAGTTGGCTGATTTGAGCCACTCTATAAACTGTCTACTAAAATTTATAAAAAACTTCAGAAAAAGATTGACTCCAGAAATAAATAAACTGTACTGACAGACATGTTTTGATGTAATTGTTCAGTTAATTACAAATATGTATATATGTACATTTTGTTCCATTGGAATTCCAAAATTTTTTTGAACAGTATTCAATTATGAGAACCATACCACACACTTTTTATGTAAGGAAAGCATTTGAATAAGATAAAAAACTTGTTCATTTTTAAAACGATTTTTTAGGACGTGTGTTAGTTAGGCTAAGTTGCGTTCTAAGTGAGGGAAATTCTAAGTTGTGCCGATAATGTAGTGATGTTTCGATACGTGTTGATAAATGGCTAAATGTGTGCAGTGCAAAAAATCCCAAGAAAAGTCCCATTTGGTTTAGAATCAACAGCCTAACTCGCACACGTCCTTACATAGCAGAATCTTTTTGTATATAAGCATCTTCGATGAGAAAGCAATTTTAGAGAAACAAAATGGAGATACAACTAAAAAAGTGACATGGAAAGATACAAATATTTGTTAGGGTCATGTTATACAGAGAATTATACGACGAATGATAACGGTAATTTTACGTATTTTTCATGTTGGTACTATTTTGTAGCAATCATTATGGTACAAATGATTTCCTTCAGGTCAAGGGGATGTTTACTCGTTTTTTTTTAATTTTATATAACTTTTTTTTACATTTTCATGTTGCTGACTTAAATTTCGTTTAACTTTAGTTTTTTTAAAACTTACTAAAGAACTTGTTGCAAGCCTTACTGTCGCCAGTTTTCTTTTTATCTGGGCTTTACCTCACCATTTTCCAAATTTTACTATTTTAACTTTTGAATAATCTTTATTTTATAATTATAACGCTTTTCTTTAATCGTCTTTTCCTTTTATAATTTTTTCCTGTTTGATCTCCTTCACCTCTTCTTAGCATTGCAGCTCCACCTCTTTGCCATTCTTTTTCGTCCTACCATTTTTATTAAGTATTTTTTGTTTCATATATGACTAAACCTTTCTTCATGATCTTTTGTTTCCTTTCATCATTATTTTCTTTAATCACTTTTTTTAGTCACCTTTACACACCTTTGCAGCACTAACGGTATATGATTCCATTTGCTTGTAATTTTTTTATTTATTTGAATTTTATGGTCAGTTTTTTTTCTTCATCCACTCTTTACGTATATTTTTGTAGTTTTCTTTACTTTATCAATTTCACCTTTTGTTACTTTTTTTTTCTAATTATCTTTCAACTTTGTTGTCTTTCTCCATACCTTGTTTTTACTACCCTTTTAATTGATTACTATTTCCACTATCGCTCTTTTTACTATTTCTGCCCACCACTCTCTTCTTCTTTCTAATTTCTCATTTTCTTATACCAACACAATTCAAAATTGTAAATCTTCAGAAGATTTGAATGCGGTGTTTGCATTCAAAGTCCAACAATTCCGAAGTTCTCAAGCTCCAGTACGTGTGCGAAGTACGCATGAATGGTGCCTAATACTAAGTGCTTATCAAGAGAATGAAAAGTAGTTCGTCGTTTGGTAAATATAAGCAATTAAAAAATTTGTATAGCAATTATTATACACAAAGTCGGACATAAAAACTCACCAGAACTCACACAGAGCGCTCACCAGAACTGTAGGCGCTGGTGCTCAGAGTTTTGCTCAAACTTGGGTCTGCTTGTGTTTTGATTATGGAACGCAACTAGAATACTAAAGACGCGTGTTCTAATCGGACTTGATGAAGCACTGATCTATTTGTTGCTTTTTGAAGTAGTGAATAAATTATAATTTTTAAATGTTGAAAACATCGCTGGTGACAAGATTTGTGTTTCAAGATAGTAAATATGCAGGAAAACATAAACAAATACTTTTTAAACTGCCAAATAATGCAGATTCAAGAAAAAAGTATGTAAAATTAAATTGTATACAAAACACTCATAAATACATAAATGTATATGATATGTAAATATATATGTATATATGCAATTATATAAAAAAATTTATATAAAATATCGCTTTTGTATTATTGTCAGCTATAATATAAGAGCTATAATATAATAGCGGTCGGTATTCACTCTGTCTTCCAAACTCATTGCAAGGTGCACGAAATGCACAGATTGCGCGATCTGTTTCTTGCAATTGCCTACAATTTTGTTATACCTAAACCCATGTATATATGTATGCTTGCAATTTAACAAAAATTAAAAAAAAGCTGTTTTGGCAGCTGTTGTTTCCCATGTGGATGTGGTGTGCTGCAAAAACAGCTGTTGTATTTTGTTGTTGCAATTCTGCAACAGAGGTATTTTTACACACTTGTAATTTTAGTAAAGCACTCTTGCATTTCGTGCACCTTGCAAAGATTTTGCAAGACAGAGTAAATACCTCTAATATATATAGGTTGCTGACTTTGAATCATATTATACCTATATATGATGTGATTAAAAAAAAAAATAATATTGGTCTAATGCGTAATACCGTTTCAGTTATAGTCAACGAGCTTATGTTCAGAACATTGGTAAGGAGCCATTGATCTATAGAAATTTGGGTGAGCAAATTTATAGAGCTGCGGAAAAATATGGCAATAGGCCAGCGGTAATTTCTTGTTATGAACATCAGACGCTGAGTTTTATTGACGTCACTAGAGAAGCTGAGAATTTAGCTGTTAAATTAAAGGATTTAGGGCTGAATAGAGGTGATCACTTGGCAATTTGGGCACCCAATACCATCCAATGGTACATCACCTTTCTTGCAGCAGGCTTATCTGGTTTGCCTTTGGTATGCATGAATCCAGCTCTTCAAGCACCAGAAGTCGAGTACGCGCTGAGAAAGGCAAAGGTTAAAGCTATAATAACAATGGATTCATGTGGTAAACAAAATTTTTATGACATATTAAAAACAGTGTTATCAAAAGAAAATTTGATTGAAAAGCAAATAAAATCGGAAAAATTTCCTTTATTGAGAAATGTACTGGTGAAATACGAAAAATCTCTGGAAGACTTCATTAGCTTTGCAGAATTATTAGCTCAACCAATTAATATAAAAGAATTTGAAAATTTAAATAAACTCGTAAAGGAGATTTCCCCTGATTCTATTTGTAATATACAGTTCACCTCTGGCACCACAGGGCAGGCGAAAGCTACACTACTTTCACACTTTAGTCATGTTAATGTTGGGCATCTATTCGGACAGGCCCTCAGTATGCACGAAGGACACAAACGAATTTGTTTAACCGTGCCATTATTTCATGCATTCGGATTAGGCATACTTACAGGTTCTTTAGATTATGGAGCCACTCTTATAATGCCGAGTCCAACATTTAATGGAGCTGCAGCAATAGATGCCATTGAAAAAGAAAGCTGCAATGTAGTGGTGGGTACTCCAACAATGTTTGTTGATATGTTGGAGAAGCAACAGGACATGCAGAGATCTATGAAAAGTTTAGAACTGGCTTTAGTAGGTGGTGCAGCTTGTTCACCAGAAGTGTTTTTAAACGTTAAGACAGTTTTTAGTTTAAAGAGGATGCGTATAGGATATGGTTTGTCAGAGGCAACAGGGGCTATATTTGCACAAGATGACACAGATAGTTTAGAATCAGCAGTATTATCTGTTGGCAAACTTTTTGAGCACGGTGAAGCGAAAGTAATCAATGCGGAAGGGCAAACAGTCGCATATGGGGAGTCTGGCGAATTGTGTGTGCGTGGTTTCTTTACTATGCTTGGATACTTGGATGATGAGGTTAAGACTAGAGAGATATTATCGTCTGATGGTTGGCTTAGAACTGGGTAGAAATGTGAAATTAAAAATTCAAAATATATTTTACATTTTTAATACTTTCAGTGACGAATTTGTAATGGAACCAACAGCTGTTGGTCGCATTATGGGACGCAAGAAAGATATAATCATTCGTGGTGGCGAAAATATATTTCCAAAGGAAATTGAAGACTTCTTGGATACACATGACGATATACTTGAAGCACAAGTACGGAATAATTTTATTATTTGTTCCATCACTATATATCTTTTCTGCTTGCTTAGATTATTGGTGTACCAGATAAACGAATGGGTGAGGAAATTTGTGCATTTTTACGTTTAAGACCCGGTGTAGCAATTCTCACAGTAGACGATATAAAACAATTTTGTAAAGGTAAAATAGCCCATTTTAAGATCCCCAAATATGTTCAAGTCGTAGATGATTTTCCCAAAACCACTTCGGGCAAAATACAAAAGTTTAAGTTGTCCAGCATGTTTAATGTATAAGAATTATTAAAAATACAAAAATGCAAGTAATTAAGTAATTAAACAAAAATAATTTAAAATTAAAATCTTTTAAATATAAATAGAAAACAATCTTTTTTGTTTGTAGTCAAATTTCTAAAAATACTGATAAAAGGGTTTATAATTTTGTGATCCTCGACACGATTACAGTAAGACACTCAAGACTTATTGTACGTGTACTCGATTTTTATAAGTTAATAATCTTTATTGTAGTGTAACAAAAACAAATGAATTATATTATTTAATTATAGTGTACGAGGGCTATAATGTAAGTCAACAAAATGAATAAAGTTTTTAGTTTAGAGAGCAAAGTTTTTATAAAATTGGAGAGCTTAGGTCCATCATTTAATTAGTATCAGACGCTTCGAAATCAGATATATAAAATAAGAAAAAGTAAGATTTGAGTTTACCAAAGTTTGAATAACAATACACGTAGTTATAAAGAACTTACTACCAAAAGCTTTTATAATAAATATGTGAGTTTACGTATTTATATACTGTCCAATAGGTGTCCGAAATATATGTTATAATTTATTAGATATATATACACTCATATCAATAATAATGTATTTCTTCATGTATTGCACGGGTCATGGCTAGTGCTAGTGCTAGTACACAGTTACTATATTCAGAGTATTTCAATCTATATACATTATCGATAAAGCAATGTTGGTATCAATACATTCATATTCGAAACAAATTATTCTTAATACTGAACCTCGTCGAAGGGTATTGCGTTCTCATACTAAGCAGAGTTTAGCAGAGGGTACTCCGCATAGAATACTCTCTGCGAACATGGTGGAAATCTACACGGACGGGTCTGAACTAAACGATAGAGTGCGAAGTGCAATACTCGTATTTTCTAACAAATTGGATCATAGCTTTTCGTTTCGATTGCCTGATCATTGCAGTGTCTCTCAGAGTTCTGAGTCTTATATAATTATAAAGCAATTAAATCTTTGATAGACGTTACAGCTGCTTATTTTGTAGTTCGAATTTGTCGAACTTCTCTGAATGAGTTATCTGGTTTTGTTGATGTTAAACTTATATGAATGCCTGGGCACAGAGTTATCTCGGGCCACTATAAAGCAGACGAACTTATCAAAGAACCCATGCTGCTCTACAATATTCACTTTCTGAAATATGGTATTGCAACGGTTAACCTCACACTGAAACATAAATACATAGGGTTGACAAAACTCACCTGATCCCAATTGAACATAATTTGTACTAGCCACTTCTTAAAGGAACGCTGTTCGTGCATTATGAATTTGAGACTTCAAAGGTGATTCTTCAGGTCTGGCATACGGTTGGTGTCTTGTCCGTGATAACACAACAGGCCATTACTTATACTTAAGTGAGTTTTGGTGCACAATTTTCTCACTCTAACTTAATCTAATATTTTTGTTTTTATTTTAAAAATTTGTTTTAACTCCTTCTATCAAACCAAAAATTAAATAGATATTTCATGTGCGAGTCAATTATATCACAGTTTCCGTATACTTTTTGAGCAGAACGTATGTCAAAAAATCTGATTAATATAATTTTTAGTGGCTTTAGTTTTGTCCACAAATAAATTTAGTGAAATAAGATCAACAAATCAATTTTCTTGTGACAATGTAAACCTGTGATATTAATTCCAATGATTATATCAAATTCTGAAGAAATCAATTTCCATTTGAATAGCAATCAAAATTTTGTAGATATATTACAAAAGCTTGCCATGTAACAATTAGACATATACAAAAACATACCGCAGAGTATATAGAAACATAGACAATAGATAGACAAACAAATGGATAGACAATAAAATGAATAGACAAAAATATTGCATGATCGAATTTTCTCGTCAAACTTATAAAGAAGTTATGAAGAAGTATACTCGTATACTTTATATAGTAATCGATATATGCAAAATGTATTTTTATTCTACAACAAGTAATTTCGAAAAAATAGATATATTCTATGTACTCGTATGATGGGCTCAAAATTATACTTAAATACAAAGCGCATTGCGAGGTGTACTTGAAGGTGAAAATGACTATAACTAGGCACTGCAATTATTCAAAATAAAGTTAATTATTCTTTGTATGAATTTTTATTTAACATAAAAAAAAATGTTAATATGTATTAGTTTAAATTGCATTTCCAAGTTTTTCATTCAATAAAACAGAAAGTCAACAGCTTTTGCGTCTTAAATAATGAAGCACATCCAATAAATCTGATCTAAAGTTAAGAACAATTTCAAGTTTGAGTTATGATCACAAAACAGGAACTAATCAATTATAAATACCTATCTATTAAGATAATATATATATAGATAATAGTGTAAGATTTATGTACTCATATTTATTAATATAACAACAATAAAGAGATTTTTGGAAGAGTATTGAACTACAACAACAAAAATTCATTATATATTATTTTAATTAATTGAAGTTTTGGCTGACCATACAGCTGTTTCGAGTATTGCCAAATACCCACAATCAGTGGTCTTGGAAATAATTCTTATATTTAATTTTTGGTAAACATTTTTTTTGAGAGTGCAAGTATCAGGAATCGAACTCGTGCCCTGCCAAATTTGAAGCTCAGAGTCAACACTCCTTAACCAACTGACCTAATGCCGTACTTTTTTATGTTCGCACATTTTTCTGAAGTTTTATGAATTTGCTGTGAAAGTTTTATTAACAAATTCACTTGCTCTGTTTATATTAGAACGAACTCATAAACCAGCTGTAGAATAATTAAATTAATTAATCATTCTTTTATTTTTAATTATTAAATTTCTATACTATTTAATTTCTACATTATTTATTGCATGAGTTTATTTCTTTCTTTGTGTATAGAACCTAATCTAGGAACGTAATACTGAGAAAGTCATGCTAAAGTTACTCCATGGGTCGTATGAGCGAGACCAATATTTTGTGAATACAAGTTGTATTATATTTAATATATATATATATTTTAATTAAGAAATTCATATTCAATTACATTTTTGTATAAGTTAAGAACTCACAGCAACTACAGGTATAATCATCTGTCGATTAGAGGCTGACTTATAATTTGAGTATTTGATTTAATTATTTTTAGCTCCTTTCAGATATTTAGATAATATTAATTTACTAGCAGTCATTTTTAAATTTTTCCAAAATCATTTGCTTATTAAGTGATATAATACTGATATGATATAATCAAAAAAAAAACAAAAATGTTCGTATGAGCCAAGCATACTAAAAATTATTGCAACCGTCAGATTGTAAAGAAAATCCAAGTTATTGAGCAAAATGGAAAACGAATAAAAGCTAACCGCGATATACTTGTCGGATAACAAAATAAAAAAACTAATAGCATATACCAAGAAGTGGAATATTCTTTTTATTAAAGTTTAAAAAGATACATTTGAGTCCATCAGGTTTTAAAGTGATTTGAAATTTAGAGTATTTTGAAATTACGCTCAATGTATTTTGATTATCGATTGCAGTCCGTTTTTGTGTATTGGTTGCACATTCTCAGTAATGGTCCTTTTGTTTGTCGATCGAGTGATTAAGACGTGCTATATATTAAGAAGGTTAGAGTCGATTTATTATATGACAATGTTCGTGTCAATAAAGTGTTGAATTAAAACAGAACTTAGTTCAGCGAAGCATTCTAATACTATGTCCCAATCACAAGTTTATGAATGGAATAAACACTTTCAGAAAGGTGGAGAAAACGTTGAAGATGACTTAAGATCTGCACCTGTTAGGATGTTTATCAATTATAATAAGTCTGACTAAATAAAGTTGCTCAGATTATGCTTGCTAATAGAGCAATTATCATTATTGGGGCTCCTGGATCGGAAATGGTATACGTTTTATGTAAAGCGATCATTACAAATGTGCTTTTTTTATTAAAAAAAAACTTAATTAAACAATCATGATCTAAAATACTGAATATATGCTATATATATATGTGAATATTGTCTTGTAAATCGTTTTAATGAAGATTTGGTTCGTTAAGCTCTCCTCTTTGTTACGTGTCTGAAACCTTATGTTTTGCTATACTCAATTGAGATTGTAAAGTATTTTCTGAGAGTTAATTTCAAGTTATATATTTTCACATATAATGTTTTTAAAAATAAATAAAGTAAATAAACTAATAAATCGCTTTTTATTAAACAGTTGAGCTCGTGAGCTCTCGGCTCGTGAGACCTCATGAGCAGCTCTTCAATATGAGCAACTTGAAGGATCACGCTGGTGAGCAGCTTTTCAATATGAGCCAATTTTGGGCTCACGCTCATGAGCCAATTTTGGGCTCACATAAGAATTGGCTCTTGGTCGTGAGCCTGAGCTGCTCATGAGTGAGCAAATACGAACCCTGGTTTTATTACAAGTAGAAACTAAACAACACATTATATTCAGAAATGATAAAATCAAATGGCAATCGTGATCGTGCATTTTGACTCAACTGAACTTCTTTGTCTGGGGTCGTGGTAACATAAGCTCTATGCTTATAAGTCCATAACATAACACAATTATGTGCGCTATTATTCAGCCTGATATAGGCTGAATTCTGTCATAAAGATATGAAAATCAAATTGTGACATTTGTTTTCTATCAAATATTTCTATATCATACCATATTTATGATATATAAAACAAAATGCGTCATAAAAAAATATTAAAATTATGTGTTATTATGAAGGCAAATATTGGATTTAGTTGAATCACCCTATATTTGAGAAACTTTCAGGCAATTAATAATTGTTATCGTACAATAAAATTAAGATGTGACCAGTGCTGGTATTAAAGCAGTTGTCCTTCAGTAGGTTTCACCAATTTATTCGGTATATATTTTTATTTGCTCTTATGTAACTGCCGATACTCTGCTTGAGAGATTTGAGATATTTTAAGGCAATACATACTTGTATTCATACAGCAAGAGTAAGATGTGACCATCTCTAGTATTGAAGTGGTTGTCCTTCAGTAGGTTTCATCAGTTTCTTGGTTATGTAATATATACTGGCTCTTAAGTAACTGATTTTTGAGATTTTCAGACAATAAATACTTGTATTCATACAGCAAGAGTAGGATGTGACCATCACTAGTACTGAAGTGGTTGTCCTTCAGTAGGTCTCATCAGTTTATTGGCTATATAATCATGTTTTCTCTCAAGCAACTGCGGTTACACATCTTCCAATCAAGTCTTAAAGGCTGTTTAAAGTTTATTCAAATATATATTTATCATATTAAATTTTGACATGCCATATACGTAACCCCCGTACCCCCACAAATGAGTGTTGTGGAAATCAACAATTGTAAACAAAACAAGAATATTATATGGAATGTATGTGCTCGTGCTTATGATGTCTCTAGCAAAAGCGCGCCAAAATTAGGCGTCTTTGGTTGCGCAGGTTTTCGTTAGGTTGCCAAGGTGTCCTTCCGGTCACATGGCTGAAGAGCGGAATGAAATACGCTAAGTAGTATAAGTGAAGTTTTGCTAGCTAAGTATAAGACGAGGTGAAACTACTATAAATTTCTGCACTTTAAATCAGAAACTCGCAGACATTCGCCGATTACGGTTGGACTTAAATGTGGGCAAAACAATTGTAATATTTTGATTTGATTAATTAACAAAATTTAAATAATTCGAAGGAAACTAAACTAATGTGATTAAGAAAATTTTCTCAAAAAAAAAGAAAATTTCCAAAAAAAAAAGAAGATATTTTCACATTTACAAAAAGATAAATATAAAAATAAATAAATTTATTGTGCATTCCCAATACAATCAGAAAATTATATATGTAATTGGTTGAAAAAATTGCAAATAATTTAATTGTTGGTTTTTATATACATTTGTGAAATAAATAGTCTTGTGCCAATGAAATTATGTACTATTGGTGAAAAACTTCTTTGAAAAATATTTCAAAATTCTAAGAAAAAAATTGCTAATTTTATGGTTGTGTCAAAAATGCTGCAGAAAATTGCATAAATCGGAGAGTGCAAATGTTCGATGATTGCATGGTCCGAAGTCCCGTGAAAAATTTCTACGGCAAAGTGGCAAAGTGCAATTTAAAATATTTTGCAAAATTGTTAATTGCCAGGTTTTAAAACATTTAAATTTAGAGAAAATTGAGACTTTTATTTGAATTCCGCAAGTAGTGGATTTTCAACCGAAATCGCATATGAAGTTCTCGAGCTTGTTGTGTAACCAAGTGTGGTGCCTTGTGATGATTGTCTGCTGATTTTGCTATCGAAAATGCATTCGACTTTGTGACACAAAATTGAAAATTTGAATAAAAAACAATTTATAGGGCACTATAATGTAAATACATACAAAATGGCTATGTTAGTGGTTAAACTATTAAGTAAAAATAATGCCTTGCGTATATCAATAAAAATTCGAAGTCAAATCCTATAATTACATATAAAACACAATGTCACAGCCAGGGAAACGTGGTGGACGTGGCGGTGCTGGGGGGATTGGCCGCAAAACGCCATCAACGGTTTCCGGTAGCGCTGCTAATAATACACCAGATGACTCTGCTACGCCCAGTGAACGTGCCACACCTGCGAGTAAAGCAGACTCTGATCCGAAGGATGATAGTTCTAGCAATGGTGACAAAAAGGAAGCTGAAGGTTTTCCAGCACCTAAGCCACCAAGTGCTGGTGCTTCAATACGTGAAATTGCCAATAAAGTTTTGGCACTTGCAATGAAAAGTGAATGGACACCTTTGGAAGCAGAATTAAAAAAATTAGAAAAATATGTTGCTAATGCTGGTGAAGATGGAAATCACATACCATTGGCAGGTGTTCACGATACGGTATGTAGTTAGTATAATATATAACAATTTAAAGTGACACATTATAAAATTCAGTAGATTTTAACAATATGTTAGTAGGAAACTAGAAGTAGTAGGAAGAAATAAATTGCTATTCTGAAAATATGCGGGTGATTACAATTTTCTTGAATAAAATCTATTATTCGTTCATAAAAAAAACGAAATTGACATCAATATTTACTCTTTTTGTTAAAACGAGAAGCTTTACATACAAAATATAAATCGGTGTTCAACAAATGAACCCCACTAAAGTGATGTGGTATCTATTACTTAGGTGAGACTTTTTAGACAACTGTAAAAAGCAAAAAGCTTGGTAGACTTTCTACAGGACAACACTTACTTACTAACTTACATATAAAGATATATATTATTGCATTATACTTATTATATGTCAGGCTATAGCAACCCGATATTGAGTTTTGGTGTGACGCAGTACACTGAGGCCACCAACGGCCTCTGTGGTGTGCACGCCTGCTATTGTCTCATACTTCAAGCGCCGTTAGTGATTTCGTAACTTGATCACTCAATCGGAAACATAACCATTCCCTATTTATTTCGTCTAACTAATAGGAATAACAGAATATGTATTACAGGCTGTGTGATCTCGAATAATAATAAATATTTATTATGTTAGTGAAGAGTGGTTTTACTCGAGCCCTCTGTTAGGCTCAACAGGTTATATTAACATCAAATTTTTCGTATTTTATTATACACTTCAACAGTTTTCACATATTTGATTTTCATTGTATAGATCAAAAGGTAAAAACCTTTATCTGTATAATATATTTTTTTTGTGCACTTATATATCGTCCATGATCATGACAAACATTGTAAAAGTAGGAATCAGCTTGTCTTGGAACAGTGTGTATACCGCGATCTAAGAGATCACTTGTGCTAATTTACTACATCAACGCTTTATCAATGATTGAGGAAAAAAATTCAATATTTGGCTTGTTACATATTTTCATCAGTTTCGAGTTTCATTAAAGAATTATGTTTTCTTTCAGTATTTATACTACATTATTTAAATACTATTTTTTTTAATAAAAATAATGCTGAAATAGAATAAAAAAAAGTAAGAAAAAAAATTTTAGCACATTTCGAATAATTTTGGGATTATCAGAGCAATAATAGGTTATGATTAATAATTCAGACCTGTAGTTTCATTTAAATAAAAGATTTTTAAAAATTTATTGCCTATAGCTGGACCCAGAGTAAGAGAACGAGAACTCTTTATAGAGGTTTATAAAATCTAACGGATATAGAATCAGCGTATATGTACAATGTATGCTTTTCTCGAAATATAATACAAAAATGTGAAAATAACAGTAATAATTGTGAGATGTGTTTTTATAGCTGTGGTTTATGCGTTTATTCTAAAAAAAGCAAAGCAAGTTCCCTGTTTTTGCTACTACATTAACTCAGTGGTATAATGCGTGAGTCTGCGTTTAAAATTCAATAAGGTTCAATATCTTATAAAGACTCCAAAATATAATTTCAAAGACAACTGATAATTGATATTTGGCAATACCTGAACATGCAGGCGAAAAGATAGGTCCTTTTTAAAAAGGGTCTTCTTTATAACTAGAAAGCCAATTGTTTTAATAATGATTGTCTGTCTGTAGACAGCATGTAGCATGTAGACAGATGCTATCTGATTGTCTATTTGTCTGCATATGGGTCATTCTTTTATAAATCGGACCAATTTTGGCAAAAAATTACCTCATCAAATGCAATGTAGTTGAAATTTTTTTAATCAACTCCTTTTATAAAATAGGAAGACACGTATTTCGGGATAAAATTTTGAATTTTTTTTGCTAAGAGTTAGAGACCCATGGTGTTTTGACAATTCGATTTGTAGAAATTTTTTTCTTATATTGATGAATTAAAAAATTGAGAAATCTGCAGGACATAAATACCTACCTACATTTTTTTCGTGAAGTGTTTTTCTGCACCTATTGAAAAAATTTTTGTCAATAATATATTTTTCGAATTGGGAATAGAGAAGTGATATTTTAACGTGCCCTTAACTGATGTAGCTGCTTAAACGCGGTGTTTCTTATTTTCTTTAGATTCGTAGTCGTTTAGTGTTAAAAAATGGCACACTTTAATTGGTAAACATTCCTTAGCCCAGTTAAATAGCTCCTTCGGTGTTTGGATTGGGTTATGTATTCGTTGAAGACTTGCTCTTGCAGCATTCCTCTTTAAGGTTCCATCTAAGTCGTTGCATGATCATTTGGAAAAGTTTTATTCTGTGTTAACTGTGATCAGTTAAATTAATTAAATTTTTTTTTATTTTTATATTGTGAACCCGATCCATCGGGAAAAAAATAATTTTTCATTTTAATTTGATAGTATATATTTTGGGAATAAATGAACGGCAGTTGTGTTATGTTCACATTATACATAATCATATCATTCAGGGATATCTGACTGACATCATCAGTCAGAGATGCAGATAAAGTTATTTATATATAATTATTTTCATTATTTTCATATCTCATTTTCATCACTATATCTATAAACGAATTTGTCTAAACCCTCTTTACGTCTATTAGATATGTCAAAGCTTTTAATGTGTCTCTGTCTTGATGAACCCATTATTTGTATGTAATAAATTTAATGTTATTGTCGTCAAAGATCGGATTCAAATGGTTGAGTTTGAAAATAGTATCCAGCTCCTTCAGATATCTTAGAATGAACCATTTTTGCATATGTGTCCTTTTTGCATACATTTTCATGGATCATAGCTTTTTTTCCTAGGCATTACTTGACTGTTTTCATCACATTCGTAAAAGTTTGAAACTGCATCTTTTCCTGAAGGATTTACTTTAAGTAGAGTAATCATATCCTTCGTTTCATGTGGGAATTTTTCCTATAGTTGTTTAAAATTGATGCGGGTCATCTTCTTTATCGTTATCGCTATTGTTGGAGTCATTGGGATTTAAAAATAGAGATGATAAAATAAATATTGATTACTAAAGGATGTTTTGATTTTTTTTTTATATACCTGGAAATTTTTTACACAGAAGATATAGCTAGAAAAAAACTTGTGAGCAAATATTAATTAATTAATTAATTAAATAATTTGTGAATAATTATCTATATGCAACAATATGGATATAAAAATCATCATAAAATGCAAATAATAAATAAATTTTTAATCTGTAAAATTTATTTTTTATTGTATTTTGCATTTATAAAATTTATTATTTTTGATAAAAAAAAATACAAAAGATTTTGGCGGCAATCAGAACTAACTGTTTGCTTTATACTTGTATTGCATAGTTTATTTATAACATATGCCCGTGTATTTGTATTTACAAAACCAAAAGTATCTATAAACAAATTCTTATTCTCTAGATAGAATATAGTAAATATAGTGTATTTGCAAAGTTATAGCGTTTAATATGCCAATAAAAAAATCGAAGGTTTAATTTACTATAAAAATGAAAATAAAAATAAAAAAGTTATAAAAAAACAGTGGAAGGAAAGTAAAGTTTTGTTGTAGTTACAAAATCAGGGGAAGTCAATGCGAGTATTAATAAAAAATAATAAAAATCAAATATCTATAAAGGGTTGTATGTACTCAAGTCTTGAGATACGGATATTCTGTTCCACACAGCACGAAATAAAAATTAAAATAATTTTAGCTTCAATTATTGGTGGATTCTCTCTACAAAAATTCCATCATTCCATCATTCCATCACAATTGTAATTCAATATCTCGTAAATAAATAAATATCTCGTATATGTAAATATACATATATATTTATGTATATACATATAAATATATATATAGAAGGTATATAGGTATATATATATATATGCATGAAATTGCAGACTAATAAACAATTTGGTGTGTTTACTAAATAAATAGATGGATAGCTTGGTTTTGCCTGGTAGAAGTTCTCAAGTACTCGCTATGTGACAAAGTAATGAGGGGTAGGCATGTAACAGTTACTAATAGTAACTGAAGCAAACTACTTTCGTCTGGAGTTTGTTATTTTTAGACCTTTCTGTGCTACAACTTGTTTTTATTTTATTTTGAGTCTATTATATTCAATACGCTCCATTAAATTGTTTTGGGATTCCAATTTGAATTCATGAAGGTAAGCAATGTGTGACTGATTTTGCATATCATACTGCAAAATGCATTGAAATGCTCGGTTTTTGTTGCATTTGTAAACAAAATAATATAATACTCTAACAAAAGTGTATATGCATTGATATTAGTTTCTGTATAAATAACTTTCATGTATAAGACAATGAATGGGGGAATGTTTAGTAACAATAACAACAATACAAATAACAATAACAAACGTACTCATAATAACCAAATTCAAGCTAAAAAGATACAAAAACTTCAATATACAAACACACAGATACTATATAAGGTAATAATTATTATGATTATAATGTAGGTCAACAATTTATGCTAGAAACGGGGGTACCTATTCCTTTATTCTTTTGAGTATAAGTTAAGAACTATTAAAATATGGCATTTGAATAATGCGAATGTATATATAATAAATACATATACCATTGTATATAAAGAACATTTTACGAAAGACAAATGAAATTACGAAAGACACCAATTACTATACGAAGTGAAAACTAATCAAACTGTTGCGAATATGGATAGAGCAGGTAATCAAATTAAATAATATTAGAGTATACGAGTAAGTTGCTTACAGGCGACTATATTTTTGAAATTGTCAAGGAAGAGATCTTTTCTAATACATCAATAATAACAAAGTCAAGCTGGACGTCTTGGGTATACTTTTCATTGTCAATATTATATTAGCTCAGTAGGGAACATGGTTGAATACTTCTCTTACATTCTATATCTTCTATTTGTTCTCTTGTGTTTTATATGGTATTAATCTTTATTTTGTGTGTACATGGAGTAGAAGAAAACTTCTCCTCACGATTTTATATGTGGACGCCAACTATCGCATTCGAACACATTAGTTTCATCTCTGCATCTACATGAAGCAGAAACAATGGAAATGTTCGAGACATAAGTTCTTCATTAGGTATTATACGTTAGTTTTCTATCCATCGAATTTGGATACATAAAAAACCGAAAATATTAATCCTACCTTTGCGACTATATGAACTAGAAACAAAAAAAGTTTTCGAGAAAAAAATTCTTCGCCGGATTATATACGTGAAAGATGTATATCTAAATATATTATAAACAATCGCAGTTGTTATATGAGACTAGAAAATATACGTATTAAAATTAGATGCATAGAGAGAGTTTTGTGTTAGGCCAGCAACATGCCTCCACGTCCTTAAGTGAAAACTTGTCTATTGCTTGAGACGCTGGGATCTAAATAAATAAAACTGAAGTTACCTTACATTCATTCTCTGTTATACGTGATGTAGAATAAATCTCAGTTGTGAAGATGAACCCATTTTTTTAGTCTTCCTTGCTATCAATCGAAATCGTTTGCGGAACTTTACTTGTATATATACTTGTATTGGTTAAAAGGCACATTTCCTTTTCTCCAGTGTTGCTTGAACAATTTTAAGTCGATCTGTTCTGCATCTTTTGATTGAGTTGGACTGTCTTCTTTTATTTATTTAAATTGTTGATCATGACTCCAACAGATTCATTTGTGCTTGTTTCATTACTAATTTTAATATGTCGACCACCAATCGGAGTTCTTTGTTTCATAGTACTCCTTGTACACTCAAACAATTTGATTAATGTTTATTTAAGAGTATCTTTATTATATGGTTTATAATAGTTTTTATTTAGTTTTTGCATATTTTTTTTTTAACACTATAATCTGAACATATCGCCAGAGATTCTTGATAGAAGATTGTAAATACCTGAACAAATATTCTTAGTATAGGCTTTCGGATCTTTTTTTCAAGCGGAAGTGCTTGCCATTTGAAAAGCTAAAGCTTGTCTGAAAAGTTTAGTTTAAAGTTTAGTCATCTAGGACGGTTTTTGACTGTTACACATTTTTAAACGAGATGACAACGCAGCTCAGCATATCTCTAATCTGGGTTCCGGTCATAGAGATATTTTCAGCAATTGTAAAGGAGACATGCGAGCTAGAAGGGGCTATGCATATCGTTAATATCATGCAAATTGTTACTGAATTCTTTCTATGCTGAACTGTTTAATAAAATATGGGAAGATTCAACGATATGTAGGTATCTGTATGTCATCTGGTCACTTTCCACTAAAAGGAAATCCAATTCTCATTGACATGCCTCGTAAGGGTGTCATTCTTGTGGTAGGTTTACTTACAGGTCATTGTAGATTAGACAACCATGCTAAAAAATCGAATCTGTCATTTAATGATATCTGTGGCAGCTGTGGGGAAGACAAAGAAAGTGTGTCTCATCTGCTTTGTCATTGTTCAGGTCATGCACGGCGGTGAGTCAATACCTAAGGAGACCCTTCTTTGAGGATCCTGATCAACCTCAAGACTTCCCACTGAACAGCATTCTGAGTTTTGCCAAAAGTTCCAGGTGTTTTTAAACACTGAGTCTTTCCATAATACGATAACACAATGGGTCAATAGAGCTAAGTAATTCCCCTTTGGATCGTCGGTATAACCTAACCTAACCTAAGTTTAATATTTCTTGGAAGTTAATTAATTATTTTGAAATGGTTTGGCGCAGCACGGAGTACACATTTGCTCATATAACAATTTCTTCAGCATAAAAATGAACTTATGGTAGAGCTTATGTTAATCAATTTATTTAACTGTTTGTGGAATTAATACTCCCCTCTCTCTAAAATTTTGAGAAATAGGGAATCAAAAAAGCTTTGCAAGTATTTGAACCTTTCGTTTCTCTTGCCTTGCTAGCCAAAATAAGGAATTAAATATATAGTTGTTGTGTTATTATAATAGTTAACTACCACATAGTATAGTATATGATAGTATATGAAAAGTGACGAGATTATAATACATCCACTTCTTTATACTAAACTGTAAGGAAAATATTTGCAATTATTGACTATTTATATTTTCCATTTTCAGAACACTGGGATGACTCCATTGATGTATGCTACAAAAGATAACAAAACTTCGATAATGGATCGCATGATTGAGTTGGGTGCCGATGTGGGAGCAAGAAACAACGTAAGTTCAGAAGTAAAAGATTCCACTTATAAACACATATAACTTCATCTTGCGACACAATCAAAACCATAAGAACTTAATTTAATATAAGAATGCAAAAAGTCTAAATGAATGAGAATGAATGAAATTAAAGTAAAAATAGCAAAGCAAATGTGAAATTCTGAAATTGTGTCAAATCAATAAAAACCGCATAAATCTAAATCTTAAAGTGCGTAATTTCGTTTTGAAAATGAAATTCAAACTTGGTCAACTTAACTTGACTTATCGTTGCCTTTCAGTAAATTGTTCAGATTTCCTATTGAGGAACAAACAAACAATAACAGCCAACGTCTGGGAAATAGGAAGTGCACAACTCACGCAATAGTTTTGCAGTCATCCAAGCTAAACGTCATATCCCTGCCGGACATAAAAACTAGAAAAAAGGAAAAAAATTGCCGCACTGCTTGAGAGTCTTTATCAACCAAACTATGAACTGGTTAATCCTTGAAACCGCTTACCGTTGTGTCCGTAGTACCTGGTGACCAGCGGGGTTTGTGCAATTGTGAATACATTTTTTTTATTTCAATAACAGTGGCTCATGTTTTTCTGGTTTTTCGAAACTTATTTGAATAAAAATAACTAACACAATTTTGCCGGTGCTTTTCAATGACTTCACTTGTACAATCACAAACAATGTTTCCGAGCATTTCAATCAGGCTTTTAGTCATCCTAAACACCTAAGATACGTTAAAAATTGATTAAAACAGGGTACCATTTGTTTCTTTATGGATACATAAAAGTGACGTAAATAAATTTACTACATCACTAAACTAATAGATGATCAATTATAAGCCTTATATGTTTAATTTGATGTTAAAGCAAAACAGTATTAACCATCAGTACGACTTATTTTAAATATATTCAGAAAAATAATACTCATATTGTTCAAAAAATTAGAAGGAATATATACATATAACATACATATACATTTGCGATGGTAGATATTTGTTACAACCCATCTTGGTGGCCAGTTCACATAAACATTTTCTTTGGATCATCTTTTTAAAACCATATATCATCCGAATTGAAATGATATAATCAATGCCCCAAAAATTAGTTAACATATATCGTTATCATTTTTCATAGAGAACAACTACAATACCATTTTTATTTCTAAAAATTTTCTGGTCTAAAGGCATACGTATACCATAAACTATAATTGATTGTTAAATTTTATGAAAATTCTTCTCCCACCAAATGCGGTCATTTCGCTTATTTATGACGTCACTTTATTAGAAAAAAGCCTCTTAAAGATGATTCATACATTGAATTCTTCGAACTACTGAATTTCATACGTTTCGAAACGTAAATATTTATAAAATATATTTCATCTGATGCTATAAGAAGGTCCAAATTCTGAAGAACGGTTCTTGATTGTTCGTGATTTTCATCCACATTATAATGAAAAGATTCTTCAATTCTATACTACATTTTTACAATATTTAAACAACATGTATATAACTTTTGGAGGGAATCTCAAAAAATTGGTCGCTACAGTTCCTTCAAATAAAATTCGGCTGTAGACAATCTACAAGGTCTTAAATGGAACATGAAATCTTTTGATTAAAATAATTAATAAGTAGTTAGGCAACAAATTAACCAAATCAAAACATCTGTATCTTCAATTAAAGAGAATTATTAATAAAAATTAAATAATTTCAACATAAATTTTTGTTAAAGAAGATTTTCGAATAGTAATAAACTACAACAACAAATTTTTGTTAAAAAAACTTATTCGTGGCGGTGATGTTTTTTTTTCTGTGATGTGTCATTTCTTAAATATTCTTAAATGAGATGAGATTTCTTTTCATTCTTAGTAATCATTTTGATACATTATGTTACTTCAATTTAGCAATAATAAGTTAAAAAAAGTTCGAGTGCCAATATAAAATTTTATACTCAGACCTGAGAAAAGAGTTATTCCTTAATTCCAAAAATTTTTTAATTTTTAATTCTATACATGTTATTATATCATATATATATATACACAATGAGCATTTTCGCATATTTTCAGTCAAAAAAATGATATCCCATAAAAACAAACATTTGCACAGATTTGTGTGTTGTTGGCTACCTTTCAGAAATCCTTGACCCAAATACCAAAAGTCGTTGCCGCTCGAAAAGTCCAAAAATTTTGAAACGAATACGAAATCATGCAATTGACTAGGAAAACCCAAGTCTCAGGCACATTAACGTATTTTCCAGACTATCAAAAAAAGCCATGAAAATAAATTAAAAGGAAAATACTTAATGACGCAAGAAACTTTTACAAGGACTCATTAAAAATATTGACCATATCGCAAAAATAAAAAAATTATTAGAAGTGAAGTGTTCATACGAAGCTCAGCAAAACGTTAAAAATAAAATTGGAAAAAAAGCAGCTAAATTTTAAAAATTTTCTTACGATTTGTGATTTCAATCGGTTCTTATTTAAAAACTCAACGAATCGCATGGCATTGATAACAAAATGAAGATATTTAAAAGAAATAAGTTCAGTCAAAATATACCCAATAGCTCAAAAGCTTTATATATATATATAAAATAAAGAGGTTTTTTGAACAGTAGTAAACTAGAACAACAAAAATTAATTTTATATTATTTTAATTGATTGAATTTTTGGCTGACCATACAGCTGTTTCGAGTATTGCCAAATACCCACCATCAGTGGTCTTGGAAATAATTCTTGTATTTAATTATTTGTAAATAATTTTTTTTAAACTACAAGTACCAGGAATCGAACTCATGCCCTGCCAAATGCGAAGCTCAGAGTCAGCGCTCCTTAACCAAACGACCCATAGTCGTATTTGACTTTTATATTCGCAAATTTTTCTGGAGTTTTGTTAAGTGAAGAGATTTAAAAAAAAAATTGATTCAGCCAAAATATACACAATTTGAGCTATTGGGTTCATAAGCTTCATATATATATAAAATATGCATATATTATATATATATTCGACTAAGCTACTGATCTATGGAAGAGGTCTTAAATAATCATTGTACCAGATTCAAACAGCTAATAGTTCCTTTCAATCATATCAAACACTTAATACTACCTCGTTTGTCATCAATCTAGGATTTATAGCCGTTTTTAGATGGTCACCGTCCTTTGGCTATAATCGTAAAAGTTTGCTTCAAGGTGATTTGAAATCTCTATGTTTTTCCAACGTTTCGTTGATGATAATTTAGTTAATCAAATTTTTTAGCGTTAATTTATGTGGGACACAAACATCGTACGTCTTTGCGTAGTCTGCGCTTTTTAAATGACTTCATTTATTCATTGCCTCCAACATCTATTGATAGCTAGTGTGCCGATTTTGCTATATAGTTGCAGAGCGAGGTGTGTCTGGCTATGGGTCGGTATATTAAATATTTTCACAACTTTTTTGAAAGAAAATATATGTGCATTAGTGGAAAAATATTTGTGTTCTTTATACACAAATGCATTTATAATAGTATTAGGAAAGATCCATGATACCTTCTGATAAAAAAAGAACGAGAGGCCTATTTTTCGACTTCTTTGTATAGACGCCAAACAAAAACTAATCGTTCGATATGCGTTAAACTTTGACAGAATGTGTAGAATAGTGTTGCCGGCGTGAAAATAACAAAAATTTACCGATTGGATAAGCGCGGGAATTCAAAAATTAAAAATTAAAGTTCTTTTTGATCACAAGGTATATATGTTTTATATCAACTTCGTATATTTAAACTGATTTATGTTATATGTTATATGCTTTTGCAATGTTTATCTATGCTTTTATATCGTTTGACTATGAGCATTTCTTGATGTTTGTTAATAATATATTCCTATACTATATTTCTAGTGTATTTACATCTGTTTTTATAATAATACCTTTAAGTGCTATGAGAGTGTTGTGCCGGCGTTGTGTTTGAGTTTTATGCAAGAAATGTGGAGAATGTGATTGACCATACCCACGTAATACGAATATGGCATGGAATGACTTTTTCAGTTATGGTATTGGATCTAAAATTATTACTTCGTGGAAGGCGTTTAAAGTCGACTGGGTACATAAAAGAAAATTAGTTGAGGAAGTTGGAAGCTGTACCTTAATCAGCTTACAAAATATTCTATTCTTTTTTAGTTACCAAAAATATTATATAATAATTTATGAGCGGGTCAAGCGACGACATAGTTATATTGCACTCAATGGGGTCTACTTTAAATGTACAAATGTATTGATTGATGATTTTTTGTTTTATTTAATAATTTCGAGTGGTTTTTATATGAAATTTATTTATGGAAGTTACCATTAATAAAAAACCACATTAGCTGTGACCTAAAAGATCTATTGTATGACCATGAGTTCACATATGCAAATTCGTCACAACGGTCGTTGTCAGATGACTTTTTAGGTTCACTTGCTTTGACACTACATTCGTTGATTGTGTCCTTAACCACTTTAGTTTTCTTTCTTATTGGAGTAAGCCCATGTGCGTGTTTAGAGTTGCGTTGAGTTCCTTAAGCAATATTAAGAAGCAGCATAAATCCCTATTATTTTGATGAACTTGCATTTTCGTTTAAAAATGAATGAAGTTCCGTATTACTTTTTCATTTGTAGGTATTTATTTTTGTATCCTTAATTATATACTTAAATCCACATTAAGGTGGGCCAACTGTGTTAAGTCAGGTTGCTCTAGGTTTTGTTTTATTGTAAACGGAAGTCGTATAGCTTCCATTTCTGTTGCAGTACTTATATGTTCGGTGGGTGTATTATCATTAAAATCGTATAATAATTGTAATGACGACCAAAATAAAAATTCGCTACTCACCGTGCACTTAATTTCGGCAACAATTTGTCAAAAACTTACTTATATTTAATTTTTATATCGGCGTTGACATTGTAAAAAATGATACTTAATTAAGGAAATGTTGTTGAGTTTTTAGAGACGATTTTTTATTTCATTTTGTGCTAAATAACAATTTTTCTCATTATTTGCTGCATTAAAGGTAGGTCACGAGTACGCCTATGTTTATTATATATAGTTTGAGAATGATTTAGTCATCACATACTCGCAAATTGCTTTATTATTTTATTATTTTAGTCACAGCATGTAATATCCAAGTTGGATCTCAAATCAGGCGGACATTGAAATATGTCAAAAATTAGTCCTGTCAAACATATGTGACATCATTGTTATAATAAAATTCAACTGATTTGAAGAAAGTTACTGGGTTTGTTAAAATTTAAACTGAGTCGTATTTTCATTACAAGGTTTGGGTTGTTGAACCATCATCAGTAAAATCACAAGCCATTTTGATTTCCCTTGAAATTGCATGAGACAACAGTGTATAGACAATGAGTCAGTTCAGAACAATAGTGCTGAGCCTACCAATAAAATGACTCCATCTATCGCATAGAACAAAGCGATCAGTACAAAACGGTCGGCACAACCTTTGCGAAGCAACGTAGAAAATATTGCGCTTCCGTTGCTTTGTTTCCGGTACATGTTTTTGCAAACCTTTTTCTATGAAATTGTTGTTACTTTATTTGTTACGTTACGAATGAATCGCTATTGCACCAAACAACTACGAAACAAACTTTTTTCAAATGTTTGCAATGTTTCCAATGTTTCTTATTGCGGTTTGCAGTGTGTCATGTGTGAAATATTATCTGTCGGCTGGAAAAGTTTTTAGAGATTCGCACATTCACTGCTCGCTTTGTGGTGAACCTAAAAGCCAGGCGAGAATGGTTTTAGGCTCATGGTCTCCTCATTGTCAATGTACAACAACTAAACTGAATATAATAATACAATTAAGCGATTGTTGTGGTCCAATAAATTGTTCTCTTGTTCTTTAGCTCAAATATTATGCAAAAAATATTTAAAGGTGTTGGTTGTGTACTTTAGTGTCTCACTTAAGGCTAAATTTAGGTAGCTCACTTCCGGTTCGAGGTCATATTTGTTACCAACAATACCAGCAATACCAACAATACCAACAATGTGAAATAATGGAGTTAAATAAATTTGTTCAATAATAGAATAAAGCACAGTTACATGTAAAACACAGAAACGAGGCATTTGGCAGTGGGTCATGTGGCGTATGAGTTACTTTAATGTTTCTAATACATTCTTCTTACTACTCATAAATTTACTGTCACAGATTGTTAGTTAACTATTTTAAATAATTTAAGTTCATTTAGAAAGGTGAAAATCAGTCAAAAAAATATCAGTCGTTTTTATATAAACATTTCTGTGTATATTAAATTTAAATATTAAGACAACGATATAAAATTGAGATAACAATTGAACTGAATTTAAGTATAAAGGAGATAAATTAATAGATTTAGCAATAGATCAATCTATACAGGAGTTTCATTATATAGTGCATTATATATTACTATATATGTAGCAAATATATAAAGTAAAAGTAATTATTAGTAATAAAACAAACACCAAAATAAATACCAAGACAGCATTTATAGTTTAATGATTGTATTACTCAAATATCATCTGCATTTATTTATTGTTGAAAAATCGGTTTCTTAATATTCCCCATAATATTCCCCAACTACAGTGAATTTATTAACTTGCCTTGAATATTGACGAAGAAACTTCAGTCTATGATGAAGCGATGATCTTCTACTTAATTCTTTTGGGTATTAGTATGTTTTGCAAAGACTGCTACTTTTTATTTCCGCTGCTGTCTTCATATAGCTCAAAATCAGTTTTCTAAATTCTAACTTACCTTTTAATTAATTCAAATTAATTATCTGTAAGTTATATTTCGATTAAATTTTATATCAATATATTATTTGGATGAGAAATACACGATTATTCAAATATTCTCTACAGTAGGTCTTACAAAACTGTTGAGATAATTCTTGATGATGTGCCGGCATATATTTATGAAAACCACGACCATAATTTGACGGATCCTCTACGCAACTCCACGAAAAAATGTTCAGCAGTGACAAATTGCATAAACTTTATTGTAAGTGCTCATCACTCAACTGTGAAGGAATGTGTTCTAAAAATTTTTTGGGATATAAAGTCAAATAATCTAGTAATGTTCAAATCACTTATCTTCCATATCCATACCTTGATTTTATATAAAAAGAGAAATTTGATAATCATGTGCTTACAGCGTTTAGAAATGGTGATTTCTGTGAATAATTGAGGTACTTTCATAAAGGTCTATTCATAAGTCTATTACACCTTAAGACTTAATGCCACATTATACAGTATATTGTTGTGGTTGCAGTGGGTTTTTTTACTGCAATTATAGTTTTTCTGAAAATTTTGAAAAAGCAAGGGTTTAGTTGATTAGCTGAAATCACTCATAAACCGAATAGATCTGCAGTGAAACCAGACAACAGTTGTTGAAGGCAGTTAATAAAGTACACATTAATACTTGGGATAGAATGTACTATAACATCAGAAACTGGTAAGCTCTAAAGAATATTATTGGAGTGTTCGAGGGAGTTACACAGAAACAGAGAATATGATCTCTCAAATCACGGTCACGAAATGCATAATCCCTTTATATTATCAGTGTTGTATGATATTTTCATTGCGATCATGTATATTCTCACTTTTTCATTATTCATAATCGTGTGAGATAAAGTATGCCTTTGTCAAATACTAAAGATGACTTAAGTGGTTAGATTTATTTAGCACTATAATTACCTCTTGCCATTAAGCCTATTTCTAGATAAACAGCTTCGTAAATAAGTAAAATGATTGCAATTGGAGGGAAGAAAAAAGACATCATCTTCGTTGAAAATATTCAGATCCACACTTATTAATAATAAGATGTGATTTATGGTCCGGAGGTGCAATTGGATCGCAAGAGATGACTATAGCATTGCATTTAATATAAACTTGAACGATATGTTGTTAAAATAAGTTGTTGTGATAATAATACAAGAGTTTAAAATATAGAGCTCTTATTTGATTACTCACATACCGGACTCATTAAGTCCAGAATATTTAGTTAAATGAATATTATCTTTTTTTTGCAAATTACATCTAATTATGGCCAGTTTTGGTTTCTAGAGTTTGAAATTTCTAAATATAATCCATTCTGCTTGAAATTTATCTGCATCGATTATCTTGCTTATAAAAACATGGCTTATTTAAGTCATAAGTGATAATATAGAATGGCGATTTCTAATAAATTTTAATAATCAGGCAATAAAATTTCTAATAAATATTATTAATCATCTGTCCATCAGTAAAATAAGATTTGTCAATACTATCTCTTAATAGGAATAGGGAAGGAGTGCGAAGGAGTGTTTAAGCTTTACCAGTGCATAATCTTCTTTATTTTCTCGTGCTTTCCAATGTTTTTATTTATTTAAAAATCAGAATATTATTTTAAAGTAATTAGGCTTCTTTCTGTAAATTTTATTTTCCTGGAAGTCAGGGTCAGATATGATGCATTTGTTGCATGTTGTCGACAGGTTGATCACGTAACTTCGAGAAACTCATAGAAATTTTGTACTCACCTGCGGTTTCGTTGGATTGTGGCAGTTGGCAGTTGACTTTATTACACGAACAAAAAGTGCACATACGGGTGCAAAGGAAAAGTGTAATTACACAAGAAAATATTATTCCGTGTTCGTGTGCCCGTGCAGCGCCTAATCCATTTTTGATTGAAGGCAGGAGTGTTTGATTGTAAAGTGGCTCGATGAAAACTCATGTCGATTATTGGGCAGAAACTTTTATTGCTCATATTTTCTCAGTTGGTTGTTGCTATTGTTGTTGTTATTGTGGCTGTAGAAATAATTGAAAGTTGTGCACTTTCGGTTTCACAATTCGGCCACACCTTGAGATTGACTAACTGATTGGAAAATATTTAAGGATTTCATTGCTAATTACATTTGCGATTGCAAATTACATTTGATTTTGAAAAATTTTTTAATTTTATAATTGTTCTTTTATTTGCAGGATAATTACAATGTGCTCCATATTGCCGCAATGTACTCACGGGAAGATGTGGTTAAGTTGCTGTTAAATAAGCGTGGCGTGGATCCATTTTCCACTGGTGGTGTAAGTGTCTAAATATACATTGTTTGAAAGAAACTGAGAAATATTTTTCATTTATTTCATTTATTTTGTGTTCCTAATTAGTTTCAAATGCACTGAGTTGCATGAACGCTTGCCGCACTTATGCGTGTCACTGTGCAAAGGTCAAATGTTGCACATAAATTAAAGCACACGTGCATCATCCATGGTGGGCAGGTAGCAGCTTCCTTTGTGCTGTGATTGTGGCGCACTGTTCAACGGTCACATCGGTGCATGCAACCATTCCATTTGTTATTTGAGTATAGCGTGTCAGTTTTACTTAAAAGAACAGTGTCAAGTGTGACCTATTAATGGTATCAAGGCCAGAAACCAACATATCGAATGGTAAAACTTGTTGGATTGTTCAAGGAATTTCACTAAAATAAAGCCAAATTTAACATTTATTATTAAAACGTTGGTGAATGTTAATAATTTTTTTTTTTATTTGGTTATGTTATATATATGGTATGAAGAAGAAAAAGCTCTCTTTTGTTTTCCCAAAATCAAAAACCCGTCAAATTAACGCATATATTAGAAATCAAATATGCATTAAATAATTAAAATTACAAATTTTTTATTTAAAGACTTTGGTTTAATTATAAAAACAACACTTCAAATACTTTTTAAATTTAATTGTATTTCTATAGTCACCTTCATCAAGTTTTTGACCTCTTCATCAGTGTGGGATGATTGAGTTGTTGAATCATATTTATTTTTATAAATAAAATTAAACCCGAAAATTATTTATATAGCTTTTATTATAAAAGTTTACAATAGCAGCTTTTAAATAATAAATAACAAACAGAATAGTATTGAAATTTAACAATTAAAAATAAATATATAATTAATTAATTCAATTATTCTACAGCTGGTTTATGATTTCGTTCTAATATAAACACAGCAAGTGAATTTGTTAATAAAACTTTCACAGCAAATTTATAAAACTCCAGAAAAATGTGCGAACATAAAAGTCAAGTACGACTTTGGGTCAGTTGGTTAAGGAGCGCTGACTCTGAGTTTCAAATTTGGCAGGGCATGAGTTCGATTCCTGGTACTTGCAGTCTCAAAAAATTATTTACAAATAATTAAATACAAGAATTATTTCCAAGACCACTGATGGTGGGTATGTGACAATACTCAAAACAGTTGTATGGTCAGCCAAAATTCAATCAATTAAAATAATGTAAAATTAATTTGAGTTGTAGTAGTTCACTATTGTTTGCAAAATCTCATAATAAATAAAAATTTAAAATAAATATACTCCTAACAAAGAGGAAAGTTTTTAAGTTATACTTTAATCTTTTATTTTAAAATTTTTCAAATATACCAGAACTATTCGGAAAATCAGTGATGAATAAAGGACAAAATTGAATATTCTTTTACTTTACACTCCTCTTTAGGCTTATGCCTACTGAAAAATAGAAAACCTTGAGGCTATCAAAATATTTATATATTCTTTCAGAGTTTATATTCTAGTAAGTCAGTTAGTTCTGGTGGAGGGACGAATGAGTCCTCCTTAATTAGCTAAAAAAGCCGTTTTGAATCCACAAAACCTCGTAATAGTGGGTAGTAGTGCGAAGATCAAGCTAGAACCAGGTAGAGGCATTTATATATCGCCGATTGTGTTGAAGAAGGGGGCCCCCAGAAAGATTATATCCTAATTGAATGAATTTTGCTGATTTTTACAACAAGCGATTTTTTTTAAATGGAAAATCACATGTAACCAAAACTACGATAGATGTGGTAGCATCTCATAATGTAATTCGATCAATTTTGCTTTGTTAAATAGTGATCAATGAGGTCGTGATAGTCGCAGTCGTGGTAGAATATGATTTTTATAAACGTAGTTTATTTCTTTTATTTCTGTATCCAATCAATTTAAGAGCATCGTTAAATAGTGTTCTGATATGTTTTCTCTTTTGAGGTAGTCAAACATTATTCTGTCATGAATGAACTTAAAAACAGAAAAAGTAATTGATGAACCCGCTGATGGAACTATCTTATCGTCTCTTTACGCATAAGCTAAAGTGTTATATCCATGTTTTTTCTGTAAATATTTGTAGATTTAAAGATTTTATTAAATTTTTCGTAATAATACTTTTTAATTAAGATAAATTTATCTTTGTGGTTCAGTTTGAGGCACTGAAAATCAAAAGATCTTTTGTGTTTGGAATTTCAACTAAATTTGATATGGTCTGGTATGCAACTATGAAAGCTAAGCGATTACTTTATTGTATATAACATATCATCTCAACTATCGCGCCGGACTAAAATACGAATATTTAACTGCAACATAAAATCTTGCCTGCTATATGGATGTCACTCCTGGAGTACTACGAAAAACGGCATCAATGCACTACAAGTTTTTGTAAATCTGTCATTACCCAAAATTGTTAAAGTATTCTGGCCTATGGTCTCTAACTCAACAAACACTTATAAGAACCGAAATCCAAAAACGCAAATGGGAATGGGTCGGTCACACTTTGCGTAGATCGACTGGTGACACCACAAGAATGGCGCTTGAGTGGAACCCGATGGGTAGCAGAAGAAGGGGGAGACCTGCTCACACCTGGAGAAGGCAAATCGACATGGAAATGTTACACATGCGGAAAAGCTAGGGACAGTTTTAAGCTATTGGCCACCAATCGTACCAAGTGGAAGTAGCCCTATGCTCATCCTAGGAGTCAAAGGATTAAATATATATAACATATAACAGTAAATACTTAATGTATAAGTCAAGGGAATGCATTGCGCGTGCTTATCTGCTGCACCTTCATCACAAGATGATGAGTACTCGAATTATTTAACATATCATTCGGAAGTCCTTTCCATTCAACACGTTAAGAGACCATTCAGCATCTCTGGTGCTCATAAAATAATTGTTAATTTACATTCGAATCAAATTATTAAATGATATGAAGCCTTCATATTGATTATCGAGCTTTCTTTCTTCAGCAGATCGAATCGCACCGTAGGAGCAAAGAGAAAGTGTATTGTGACGTGTGAATAGCAAGCTTTTGTACTTGTATATATGTTATGTATATATATACTCGTATATGTGTATATGATTGAAAAAAAGTGAAAATATAATGTTTTCTAATAAACAATAAAAGAGTTCTACTAAATGAAACTCAATAAACTATGGGAATGTCAGTTGAGCTTGACTGACTGATTTTTATCGGGAGAAATGAAAATAAATAAACCGTGCGAAAGTATCGCATTTCAACACGTCAAAATATTTTCCACATTAAAAATAACAGAAATTTAATTTTATAGCTTGTGATGCACCTCTACCCCACAGGCAACCCTTTCTACCCCTTTCGTTTTCCGTTTAAATTACTAAATGCTATGAAAATGTTAGATTTTATTACATATTTTATTATTATTTTAATATTTTTGATGTAAAATTTTTTTAGCTCTTTAGGGGCGTTCCGTGAAGGCAATAAAGTGTACGCTCTACTGAAATTACAAATTTTATATTTTCAACATACATTTTCCTTACTTTCGACTTTCGACATTCCGCATTCAATGAAACTGGAATATTCGGAAAATTCAACTTTCGGGGCTAAAGGCTGAAGAAATGTGTTCAGCAGAAAATTGCATTAAAATTTTTGTGACTCTCATAAAAACTACTACACATGAGCGTGTTTCACAAACTGATTTCTTGGGTACAATACTAATACTATTTTTAAATAACATTTACTGAGGTTCAATCAATCTCAGATTGTACCAAAACATATGCCAAAAAATATTGCATATTTATAGATTCGAATTTGCTTGGACTTTGTTCAGTTGCTTTTTAGCATTCAACGAAGTTGCAGGATCCGTAGAAGTCGTAATTTTTTATTGTTGTTTTTCTTTAATTATTTTAAACAAAAATATATATTTTTAATATTTAGAATGCATGTTCAAAATTTTATTAATTAAAATATCTTTTATTACAGTCCCGATCGCAGACGGCAGTGCATTTAGTCTCTAGTCGACAAACTGGTACAGCGACAAATATTTTACGCGCATTGCTCGCAGCCGCGGGAAAAGATATTCGTTTGAAAGTTGACGGTGTAAGTTGCTAAAAACTGAGTTTTATTTAAATATTTTATCACATTTACATTGTAAAAATTATCACCTTCAGATATTCAATATCATTAAGTATATATTACTTCATATTATTAGTGTTTACAAGGTATGTTCTCAAGAGTTGTTACTGACTGCTTGAAAGTGTGGATGTATCCTGTCTCCCTTTTAACTTTTTGCTTGACATCTTATTTTCATATTCACTGATTTGAGTTTGAAGCAGTCAATAATATTTAATATTTCTGTGATTGTTTTGAACTAAAACTTAACTCTAATAATATAACATATAATCATCTCAGCTATCTAACTATTCTTACTCGAAATATTACTAACGGCAATTTTTATATCCAAAGCTTAAAAGTTATCAAATTTGCTTAGGATTTTTGTACCTCATTTTAAGTCCAAGTTTCTTTCTCTATGTGCCTCCAAACAATATTGCCAGTAGACAGTTGACGGTAGTTCTTCACTTTTTCACTATGGGTTTCATTTATCTAAAAAAGTAGTATAGTAGTGAAAAATAGCATAGAACCGACTTTACAAAGTTTCATTACCTCTTCCGTAAGGGTATACCTTCCCAGGAGTCTATTCCACATGTGCATTAGCGCAGGGCATTCTAACAGCACATGTATGTCTAACTCTTCATTCTCTTCGCAGAATCTACAGTTTTCATCCGCATATGTACTCAGGCTCGTAAGATGGTATTCTATTTTATAGTGCGCTGTTAAGATTCCTGTAATCATTCTAAGCTTCCTATTGATAAGTCCGTACAATTCTGGTAGCTCCTATTGTTATAGGTACCAATAAGTGATATGGATTGTGTTAATTCCAGTAATCCTGTTTCTTCTGGTTCTGCTTTATTTTTATGATTGCGTACTCGTTTCCGCATACGCCAGTATGTCTCGGTACCCAAAGAATCGACACCTTATTTGATTTGCCGAGCAGACTTAGCTTATCAAGGCATTCGTGCACCATTCCTGAAGTCACCTGATGCAAGTTTAGTGCCTTGACTGCCGCTTGGCTATCTGTTAGTATTGCGATATTTTTTCCGTGTTGATTCCGTTCAATATTCAAAAGTACGCATTTAAATATTGCGTAAATTCTCGCTTGGATGATGCTAGTGTTTTTTCCCAGCGCTTCCCAATGATTCTTGCCCGCTGCGCCACCTTCTTCCGTAAGCGAGTCGTCAGTGAACCATGCATTTAAGCTGAATCATGTGGTTGTGGTTCTATATAAATAATAACGATTTATTATAAAATAAAAATATGTAGAGGTAGTTAGTAGTGAACTGCAGCAATAGTAAGTCAGATATGATCTAGATGTTTTTAAATTGATTTGTGTAAGGCAACCGACAATCAGCCTACGTAATGTCTTTTGCTGAAGTCATTTATGCAAGTCTCTGATATTGAGAGTTTCCTAACAATAAATATAGTGTGAGACTTATGGGTCATATGACTGTATAAGTTTCAATTATATTTTAAATATCACTAAAAACTGTAATTTCGATGCTGCAGATTTGGTGTGGGGTCTAATGAATAGAATATATAGTTATACACACATATTAATAAAACGTACTCCTTTCCTACTAGAGAAAAGTCTCAAACAGACTCAAATTTATAGTGAACTTGCAATTTATTGAATTAATTAAATAATTGAAGCATGAAACCTACAGATAATACTCTATGTATTACATCCTGATTAGAATTTATTCTATTTACCGGTGTTTTAATAGTTCTGTAATCTAGTAATGCATTAGAAAATGTGTCAAAATCGTAGTAGAACAGTTAGAATGAAAAACAGTCAAGCTGCTACAGCAACAAGAAATTCGCAGGATATTAAACTGAACCCCCAAACTTTCGGTAGAAAAAAATTACTATTTACCATGCCATTACCAGACAGACAGACAAAAGAAAAAGTTGTCTATATATTGTTACCAAAATTTTATGTTTACTAATTTATTACATACCGATACATATAAACATATACCGAGCGCTACAGTTATGTGCATACTTATGTATAGCGCATAACGCATAACAAGTGCCGAAAGAATGATCTATGTAGGCTGGGTCCCTAATTGGTGCTAGGCAGTGCCAACGTAAACAAAACTGTAGCCAAACAAAAGGATATTTTGTGCATTCTATCAAGCCCACATATAAATATGTAACTTGATATTCAAATATGTGTGTGTTACTATACGTACACGTATGTGTTGGTGAAATGTGACAATCCTGCTGGTTTTCATAAATTTTTGCTGGTGAAAAATGTATTTCACGAAATTTTAACGAAAAAGTAAACAATCGATTGTTGCCATTTGCGGCAGACATTAGAATTGCATTCAAAAAATGAAAACAGGAAACAAAGTGAAATACGCTAATAAAGGATGTACGGCGAGAACTGCTAAAGTTTTCCAAAGTCAACCTAGTGATGGAATGTAAATTCTTATACTCAACACGATTGCATTACATTGAAGAAGGAAAAGAACCGTAGTAGACGCAGTAGTAGTCGAAGTAGTAGTAGTAATAAAAGTAATAGTAGTAGTAGTAGTAGTAGTAGCAAAGTCTAAGTAAGTCGAAAGAAATTCGAAAGAAAATCGCTAAGTAAAGGAAATGTGAAGACATCGCACTTCTCGAACCACGGGTGTAAAACGAAATTTCCGATTAACACGCAAACAGTTGGTTGGAAAAGGGGTCAACTATGGAGTAACAGTAACAGTAATAGTTACAGTAACAGTAACAGTTATACCTGGTAATAGTAACAGTGGCAGTGGAAAATTGATTGTTTATACACACAAATTTACTGGGTATGGTATCCATTTAAATTGGTTCGAAGGATGTTGTTAGGTTAAAAAAGCAGAAATGCAAATTTGCCAAAACAGACAACAGCAAAGGAATTCATTGTCGCTTCGATTATGGCTTAGATTGAAAACAATCAACTGCTTGAAAATATCTATATTTAAAGAAGAGTTGTTGCACTTGCTGTCTCCGTAAAATTCTCTGGCATTAATTTATTCTCGAAAGCTTCACAGAATATAAGAAATTGGTTTCCTATGTGTGTTCAGTATTTTAGAATTCAAACAAATTGTAATAAAAAATATAGAAATATATTTTGAAATGACTGAAAAATATTACTTGAACGCAGTATTCTGTGTATCGTAATTAGATGGAAATTCGATTATATATTTCGTGATCCTGATTTGACAGCACTGTTTTAGTGACACATACCAAGTAGAACTTTTATCATATGTTCAATATGGTTGGATGTAGTGACAGACCATTGGATAACTTCCGTGTAACTCTATTAGCGATTATTCACCACATATCTCGCAAGAACCCTAGTATGGAAGAGTAGAGACTAAATCCATTCCACCGAATTTAGATAACTTAATAGTCTTTCGTCTTCACCGATATACAATCTGATAAACTTTCAAAGAAGTGTCTTCCTAAGAACCTATATCTTCTGGACGCCAAAGCCGGACATTCATAGCGAATACTATCAAATCAGTATATTATCATATGTACTAAATCATACGGAATTATATTAAATATTATTCCTGAATACATGATTCAAGGAATCATATGATTAGTTTCAGGCTTACTGTTTTATAATATGAATTGTTCAATTTCATGAGGATTCACCATATCGAATTTTTTTAAGTAATGAGATTTTTTTTGCTTTGCGGATGTGTCCAAAAACAAAGTTGTCACAACTGGACAGTTAAAACTCAATAGCAGTTATCGGAATCGCATGGGATAGCATTTAGTCCGGAGTCACGCATTTGAAAGTGAAGAACACAATACTATCTTATTTTAGTTTGTTGCGCTATATATTTCATATTTCTCATATGTATATATGAGATACAGTTGTGATTAGAGGTAAATACAATATTTACAAATGAAGTTTAAAATGTATTAAATTTGAGCAAATCATCATAAAGATAACAGCTTTTTGTTTAGCCAAAACTCTGTTAGAACTCCTAGTCTGGCTTCTATACTTGGGGGAAAATACGAGTAAGTACAAGTATCTTTCTTTGCAAACTTTATCGCCATAGAAACGAGTAAAACATGAAGGACCTTATGGATGCTTTTATTTTTATGATAATATGGTGCTGCAGTGATATCACGGAGAACCTTGTTCTGCAGTCTTTGAGTTTCATCAATGTTTGATGTGCATGTAAATCTCGATAGTTCAATACCTAGGTCCAAATTAATTCGTTAACTGCATTACACCTACTGTGAAACTTTATAGTCAAGGCTGAGTTTAAAGTCACCATTTAGAAGCTAATAGAGCAGTTGACACCTTAGTTTTATACAGGAGTCATTAGAGTAATTTAAATTATATAAAAATTCCTCCTACACTTTTCATTTTTATAAAGTAAGAATAAAGTACGTCTAAGTAAGTTCTTTAACCATGGAAGCCTTGCACTTTTCACCAATTTTTCAACTCTTACTGAATACTACATTCCGTTGCGGAGTTCAAAGTTCGGTAATTACTTGGAGTAGAATTTCACCACTGCAAAAGTATAAGGAAGTATACGTTGATGGGTAAGAGTAAAGAATGTATGTAGAGTTGTACTAATATTCAAATATTAGTAGGTCATGAAAAGTTTGATGCAGTGCTAATAAATTTGAATATAATGCAGTTAGCAATTTTTGATTTCAATTGTTGGAAATTTACTATTGCAGTCATGAAACGATGAAAAATAGTTTAATATTTGAGCACTTGACGGATGCAATTCTGTTCCTTAAAAACACTTCATGTAAGAAATATAAATAAATCAAGTTCAAAACTAATTAGAAGTATAAGAGCAATTTGCTTACGATCTTGGTTTATTGAATACCCATTAACAGTTATTTAGATTTCTCAACACACCACACTACACACGGTTACGAAACATTGATAAACCTTAAGGGTTTTAAGTGAAGAAACTACATTCAATCTAATATTTTTTTCGATGCACACCAGATTGCATAAATATTTTGAAATATCAATTACTACACATATATAATAGAAATATAATAGAACTGCTAAAACCTTTTATCGTCCACGTACAAATGAGCTTCTATAAACTCGAGACCCTTCTATTAGTTATCACTATTGCAAAATGACATTAAATGAATTGGTAGAACTTGGAAATCCCAAAATTGATATTTCAGATATCTTTTTAAAAGGACTGAATAATAATTTAGACTAGCTTTCATTGATCATCAGAAATATGTTTGAAAAAGTGAATCAAAAGACATCGTTGAATATATTAATAGTCATTGCATATATCCGGGTTAGATTAGAGGAGTTTTACTAAAATAGTACAATGGACTCGATAAGTTTTTTCATAAGATAAAGTATTTTCAGACATGTAGTACTAATCATCATCCCCGTATATAGAAAACGAGTTCGTTGACTTTATCTTTCTTTGATTGAAAACCAAAGTTTAAAGAGCCGAACCAAAATTCTTAAATAAGGCATATAATAGCAGTAAAATGGTTCAAACCTGGATAAGGGGAGATTTTGTAATGTAATAGAAACCCAATAAACATAGTATTTCAAATACACATATTTATATTAATTTATGTTTGCAATAATAATATCAGCAAGAGTATCAATAATATTAGTAAAGAAATATAGCGTTGCTTGTTGCCCTAATGCATATTTTGTATTACAGTTTTTTTTTAAACTAAGTATTCAAGTAATATAACTAAACACCTATATATTGTGTTCAGTTATATCTATTCCAGTAATCAGGGGAGAGAGATGGGAACATATAGGTAGGCTTAATACCTAATGAGCTAGGTTCATCTAAGCCAGAAAGCAGCGGCGTGATATAGGGAGATTAATAATGGTGAAAGGGGTGGGGTAAAGCGCATACGCGCGGGTGAGACTAGTAAATAATTTTGTGACTATGGTTACAAAAGCCGCAGGTATAAAGGAAGATCACGGTCGCACTCATCGAAGTAGTGGAACAAGTATTAGGGGTATTTGTAGCGCAAGGCTTGGATGAAGTCTTCAGGAAGGGTGAGGCACCTACGGGCGAACATTCTATTTCTTGCTTATAATATAATTTTTATACCGTTTTTTTATAAAAATATAAACGATTACATATTTTTTAAAATCCCCTTCTACTCTAATACATAGGTAACATACATACATACTTTTTCTAATACATATGATTATAAAGCGTTAATCATCTTATGGTTTCGAAAAAAAATTAAATAAAATTAGCAGTGATTAAGATTTCGATCAAATTTTTTTCCATAAATTATTTTGATCTTTATAATAAAGTAAACTAAGGTGTGATTTACAACATTATTCAAATGTCTTTCAAAAAAAATCTCAAAGTAATGGATCCATATTTTTTATATTCATTATTCTAGTTAATTGCTCTTAATTAAAACACAAACTAATTAGCAATATTTATACATCGGGGACTCATGGATGCTTTTGATATAATTTTTATTGACTTGTCATTACATTGACTTGTCATTTACGTTTTCAAAGCGTCGACGTCATGTATTGAGTTAATACTTTACACTTATACTTACTTGCGTCTAATTGGTTAACAATAGGTAGACGTATATAATATCTTAAATAATATTTTATCAGTAAATGGTGTAATAATTTAGAATGCAAGTTAATTGTGTGATATGTGTGGTCTTATACCCATAAATAAAACCATCATAACTACACAAATAAAAATACAGTGATGATAAATGACATCCTCTTGGTGACAACCTTACCTTACCAAAACGTCAAATTACACTTCCAGAATACTAGCCCAACATAAACCAAAACAGGACGAGATGGGCACCAAAATCTCTAGCAGATGAAGTGTGCTAGAAAAAAAATGTGATCATTTGGCTGCAGTGATAAGAATTGAGGGTTTGTCTACTACTAAGAACTTTTAAAATTCATGCCTTTTTCACTCCAACTCCTTGGTACATCGTAACTTTTTGCGGATACAATTTTGTTTTGACGACTACTTGCAGATTTCCACTGCCTCAGTTGCACCAATATTATTCTATGATATAACATATCTACCAAGTGGAAAATCAGTCTTATCATTGTAGAAAATTAATACGAAAAATGATAAGTCTTGAACTAGGCGTGTGATGCCTTGGATGAGAGTGCTGTTCGATATATGTGTCTCTCAGAAAGCTTTGTCAAATTAGGTTTATGAAATAAAAAGCACTTCAGATGAAACTCGTATTATGTACGTTTATAGCTCTATTTATAAATAAATTCTTATCTTTTACTATTTCTTATAATAATTTCGTTTCATTTTTTCTATTTTGAAGAGAGGGAAAATACCATTGCTGCTTGCTGTGGAGGCGGGAAATCAGTCTATGTGCAGAGAGTTGCTCGCAGCACAAACGGCGGATCAACTCAAGGTAAAAGTTCGAAAGTAATACGTATAAATTTACTCGAAGAATAGAAAATGTTACATGGTCTATAAGTAAGCATTGCACTATAAAAATTCTGTTAAGTCCCAAGGAGCACAAACTTTTGTACTTGAAAGAGCTGAAGCTTTAAATAAATTCGTTATGAAAATGCAAATCGATTCAGAAGTTTAACAGACATTTAATGAGAACAACAACTACAACAATAATAATAATAACAACAACAACAACAACAACAACAACAACAACAACAACAACGATAACGACAACGATAATAAAACAACAAAGTAGACAGAGGAACAAAATGAAAAATAATTTTCGCGGCTGCAACACGTAAATCATAATCAAAGTACTCCTTTTTGAAGCGAAGGCGAAAACTGTAATTCTTAACCTTGATATGCCAAAAGGAATAAAGAAACGCCACCTCTTCTTCTCCGTGTTTGTTTACAAGAAAGTTGTAGGCATAAATTAAGTTCAGAACACATTGCATGTGGTGCGGTGCTTCTACGTTAACTCGACCTATCTCTCCCACTCCAACGTGTGCATATGCGTGAGGAGGTTTAATGCAACACAACTCTGTTGGAGCCGACATTGGAGATACTTAACCTCTATAGGCTTTCGTTAAGTTTCCTTCGGTCGCTTAAATGTTATTCGCAAGTTGCGAAATCGTTTGGAGAAATTAAATATTTCACTGCAAACGTGTTAATTGTAAAATTGTCAAAGTCCTGATGCACCCACAGCACCCACGGCACCGACGGCACCCATCGGCAGGAGCGTTGGTAACCGAAGTACTTTAAAGTTTCCTGTAAGCAGTTTGCTACACTTACGCAGTGCAAACTTTTCATTTTCACTTTTCCAAACTTTTGTGTTGATTGAATTTGCAGTGAACATATTAATGTGACAAGAAGTCACGCAATTGCGGTACCCATGTACACATGTACATAGGTACATACGTACCGTAGAGGTATTGAACTTAGTTAATACTACTACTTAGTCAGTTAGCACTACTTGCATCACCGACATTCTATCAAGTGCCGCTTACGGTATTCAGAATATATTCATGCTCATTGAAGCAGTAACCGGCATTTCAAGTACATTTGAAATTAGGCCGAACTTCATTGTTCTATGTATGGCATATGCATGTTGTTATATACAATTATATATATACAATTGCCATATTGTCGTCCTTAAAGGAGCTGATTTGCATTTTCAAGATGAACACTTTTGACCTCCGATAAAAAATAATTTACGTGGAAATTTTCTCATCGTGACATCTCTTGTAGGCTACTACATCTAATGGAGACACGTCCTTGCATTTAGCGGCTAGAAGGCGCGATGTTGACATGGTGCGAATCCTGGTCGATTATGGCACCAATGTTGACACGCAGAATGGCGAAGGTCAAACACCGCTGCATATAGCGGCTGCTGAGGGTGATGAGGCTCTATTGAAGTTCTTCTATGGCGTTAGAGCATCAGCCTCGATCGCGGACAACCAAGGTAATTATTAAGTTGTCTTTTTGTAAAAATAATTAAATACGCATTCTTATCATTAGACCGCACACCGATGCATTTGGCAGCAGAAAATGGTCATGCACATGTTATTGAGATCCTGGCTGATAAATTTAAGGCGAGTATATTTGAACGCACCAAGGATGGTAGCACGCTGATGCACATTGCTTCTCTGAACGGCCATGCCGAATGTGCTACAATGCTTTTTAAGAAAGGTGTTTATCTGCATATGCCAAATAAGAATGGAGCCCGTAGTATACATACTGCGGCAGCTTATGGTCATACGGGTATTATTAATACGCTGCTACAGAAGGGTGAGAAAGTGGATGTCACGACGAATGTAGGTATTCGGTGTAGATGGCACCGTTTTCACAACTCTACAACTTATGTATATAATTTGTTTATTGCTTTGCTAATTTATCATTTATTTGTTAGGATAACTATACAGCGTTGCACATTGCTGTGGAATCGGCGAAGCCTTCAGTTGTGGAGACACTATTGGGTTTTGGTGCCGACGTTCATGTCCGTGGCGGTGATTTGCACGAGACACCGTTGCACATTGCTGCACGAGTTAAGGATGGCGATCGTTGTGCCTTAATGCTCCTTAAGTCCGGCGCTAGTCCCAATTTAACTACCGATGATTGTCTGACGCCGGTACATGTTGCCGCGCGTCACGGGAATCTGGCAACGCTGATGCAACTCCTCGAAGATGGTGGTGATCCCCTTTATAAGTCCAATGTAAGTACAGCCACTTTATGTAGACATATAGATATATTGAATGTTGAATAATAATCTATATTTCAGACCGGCGAAACACCCCTACATATGGCCTGTCGCTCATGTCATCCAGATATTGTACGACATTTAATCGAGACTGTCAAAGAAAAACACGGTCCGGATAAAGCGACGACTTACATTAATTCAGTCAATGACGATGGAGCCACAGCGCTACACTACACTTGCCAAATTACTAAGGAGGAAGTTAAAATTCCAGAGTCCGATAAAGAAATTGTACGCATGTTACTGGAAAATGGTGCAGATGTCACACTTCAAACTAAAGTTGCATTGGAGACTGCATTTCATTACTGTGCTGTCGCTGGCAATAATGATGTGCTAATGGAAATGATTTCTCATATGAATCCCACAGATATACAAAAGGCAATGAACCGGCAATCGTCGGTTGGTTGGACGCCTTTGCTAATAGCCTGCCATCGTGGACATATGGAACTGGTCAACAATCTTTTAGCGAATCATGCCAGAGTAGATGTCTTTGATATCGAGGGTCGCTCCGCCCTGCATTTGGCCGCCGAACGAGGGTATCTGCACGTCTGCGATGCGTTGTTGACCAATAAAGCTTTTATCAACTCAAAATCGCGCGTCGGTCGCACGGCGTTGCATCTGGCTGCGATGAATGGCTTCACACACCTCGTGAAGTTCCTCATTAAGGATCACAACGCTGTTATTGACATCCTGACGTTACGCAAGCAAACGCCACTCCACTTGGCTGCAGCTAGCGGGCAGATGGAGGTATGTCAGCTCCTGCTTGAACTTGGAGCTAACATAGACGCGACCGACGATCTAGGCCAGAAACCCATACATGTTGCCGCGCAGAACAACTACTCGGAAGTGGCCAAATTATTTCTGCAGCAACATCCATCGCTGGTGAATGCCACAAGCAAGGACGGCAACACCTGCGCTCACATCGCTGCAATGCAGGGCTCCGTTAAAGTAATCGAGGAGCTGATGAAATTTGATCGTTCTGGCGTGATATCTGCTAGAAACAAATTGACTGATGCAACACCACTACAACTGGCAGCAGAAGGTGGACATGCGGATGTAGTAAAAGCACTTGTACGGGCAGGTGCATCATGTACCGAGGAGAATAAAGCAGGTTTTACAGCGGTGCATTTGGCGGCACAAAATGGTCATGGTCAGGTATTGGACGTGCTGAAAAGTACAAATTCTTTGAGGATAACCAGCAAGAAATTGGGACTGACACCGTTGCATGTGGCAGCCTACTACGGGCAAGCGGACACAGTGCGTGAGTTGTTGACTAGCGTGCCAGCAACGGTTAAGTCAGAACCGCCAACTGGACAAAGTTTGTTCGGTGACTTGGGAACAGAATCTGGTATGACTCCACTTCATTTAGCTGCATTTTCTGGTAATGAAAATGTGGTGCGACTGCTGCTAAATTCGGCTGGTGTACAAGTTGATGCTGCCTCCACAGAAAATGTAAGTATCTTTCATTTTTCATAAAAACTTTCCGCAAGTTTGACATATTTTTTGTAGGGCTACAATCCGCTTCATTTGGCCTGCTTCGGTGGTCACATGTCAGTGGTTGGTTTGCTTCTGAGTCGTTCAGCTGAACTCCTCCAGTCAACAGACAGGCATGGCAGAACCGGTTTACATATCGCTGCCATGCATGGTCATTATCAAATGGTTGAGATTCTGCTGGGTCAGGGAGCGGAAATTAATGCAACTGATAAAAACGGTTGGACGCCACTGCATTGTGCTGCCAAAGCCGGTCACTTAGAAGTGGTGAAGTTGTTATGTGAGTCAGGTGCATCACCAAAATCTGAAACGAATTATGGTTGTGCGGCAATTTGGTTTGCCGCTTCGGAAGGCCACAATGATGTTCTGCGGTATTTGTTAAATAAGGAACACGATACATACGCCTTGATGGAGGATAAACGTTTTGTTTATAATCTGATGGTTGTGTCCAAGAACAATAATAATAAGCCCATACAGGAGTTTGTATTAGTATCTCCGGCACCAGTAGATACTGCAGCCAAGCTTTCGAATATATATATAAATCTATCAACAAAGGTAACATCAATAGGTGCCATAGAAACAATTTAAACTTTCAGTTGATGTATTTTTTAGGAAAAAGAGCGCGCCAAGGACTTAGTAGCTGCCGGAAAACAATGTGAAGCTATGGCTACTGAATTATTGGCACTAGCAGCTGGCCCAGATTCTGCTGGGAGAATATTACAGGCCACCGATAAACGTAATGTTGAGTTTTTAGATGTACTAATAGAAAATGAGCAGAAAGAAGTCATAGCTCATACTGTGGTGCAGCGCTACTTACAGGTGGGTGTCAAACGCAGTTCAAATTTTTCAAATAAAAGTCTTCGTTCCCTTATAACTTAGAATTATAAAAATCTTCGTTCCTTCTGAGGTCTATACTATAATTCAAAGTTATGACTCTGAAATAAGTGTATAAAATTTGTTAAAGGACTATGACATAAGAACAAAACATTATGCACTACATAAACATTTATATATATGTGTCCTATATTATATATAATATATATTTTATTTATATATGTGTCCCATATTTTATATTTATTTTAATATCCGTTATTATATGCATATTATATTATATATATTATTATTTCCTTGGTGTACTTTGGGTAAGCACACTGCTCTTAGTAAGAGCATAGGGCGGAATATATTATATATTAGATGCATATTATTACATATATATAAATATATACTTTACATATATATGTATACATATACATATATATGTATATATCTATTTTCTTTATTTACATATATTATTTTATTTATATATTTATGTTTTTTTTAATTTAAAATATCTATTTTATAAAAAATATTGCATTATACAGGATATTAAAGTAAATGTTTGTTTGGGATTCTTTAGAATTTAAATATATCTTTATAGATAAACATATGTACATATGTAGTATATGTAAAGTTGTATAATATATAACAGAATAAAAATTTATTGAATAAAACGTTTTTAATTTTAGGAACTGTGGCGAGGTTCGCTTACTTGGGCATCTTGGAAAATTCTTTTGCTGTTGGTAGCATTTATTGTATGCCCGCCTGTATGGATCGGATTTACTTTTCCAATGGGACATAAATTTAACAAAGTGCCTATAATAAAATTCATGTCATACTTAACATCGCATATTTATCTTATGATACATTTAAGTATTGTGGGCATCACACCCATTTATCCAGTGCTACGCCTTAGTCTAGTGCCATATTGGTACGAAATTGGGCTATTAATATGGTTGAGCGGCCTACTATTATTTGAGCTTACAAATCCATCAGACAAATCGGGTTTGGGTTCAATTAAGTTATTAGTACTGCTGCTAGGCATGGCTGGAGTCGGCGTGCATATGGCTGCATTTGTGTTTGTCTCTAAGGAGTATTGGCCAACGTTAGTCTATTGCCGCAATCAATGCTTTGCCCTAGCGTTTCTATTAGCGTGCGTACAGATACTTGACTTCCTCTCCTTTCATCATCTGTTTGGACCTTGGGCCATCATTATCGGTGATTTGCTTAAGGACTTAGCACGGTTCTTAGCCGTGTTGGCAATTTTCGTTTTCGGTTTCTCAATGCACATAGTCGCATTGAATCAGTCGTTTACGAACCTGACACCTGAGGAAATTCGTACCTTCGAGAAGCGAAATCGTAATCGAGGCTACTTCAGTGACGGTAAGTTTGTAGTTTGTTGAAGACATAATATAATATATATATTCTTCTTGTTTTGTATGTGTTTGATTATTGTTTTCTGTTTTCTGTTTTGATGTGAAGAAAAAGTTTGCATGATTTAGAAGCTTGAAAGTATGGAATGCTTCCGTAAATCACCGGTTTTTTCTTCACCGTCAACTATTATATATAAAATTTTCTTTTCATAAACCGATAATGTCTTGATAAGTATCTGTTTTCAAAATATATTTGAATGTGTTTAATATTTGTGTAAATTACTAATTACTAACAATAAGTTACGAAATTATGACATAACTTTATCATTGCATGCCGAACAATTACAGACCAATTGTAAATTGTCCTTGATGTCCTTACAATTTTGTTCACATTTGTTTGTGTGCGGGTGTGGGTGTGGGTGTGAGTAAGAGTGAGAGTGAGAGTGAGAGTGTGAGTTGTGCAACTTTTAGTTTTACGTTCATCTCTCTTTTATGTATAATTTCTAATGTTTCCTTTCTGGTACGGACTTAAATGCAGATGACATGCCAACACCACGTCCTCCGCTATCTGAAAACTATGTTGACAGTCGCAGTTTATACAGCGAGTTTCGGCGCAAACATAAGGGCGATCGTAAGTTGTCAATTTATCCGAAATTCCTTATCAAGCGCCTTTCTTTATTGAATGATTGCGATGTGCCTTCGGTGTTGTGACTCAATATTTTCAATATTTTCAATATTTTCAATATTTAATATTGTTTTTTGTAATTTTGATTTAATATTTTAATTTCTTAATTTCAGTTTGTCGATGTTTGCCTTTTGAGATCAAAAGGAAGCAAAGCTTTGTCCTCACAACACTTTCTTTACGGCATGATTCCAATCGAGTGAAGTTAATATTTGATTCACTGCATTTGTGCATCCTTGATGTTGTGGATAAGTGTTCTTTTTTATTTTGGGTTTGTTAAATATATAATTTTCTCTTCTAAGAATTTACCCACAAATGCAATATGTAAATTTTTTTATTTTAATTCTTTTTTTTTTGTGTTTAAGGACTCTCTGGAAATTATTTTTCAAGCACTCTTCAGTTTTTAGCATGAAATTCTTAGCAACCGTGAACATTTTTTGTTTTGTGGCTTCTTTAAAATGTTGCACTTTTGTTTATTTTCTTATTAAAATTTTTTAAAAAATTAATTAAGGATAATAGTTAAGTTAAAATTAATATTTACAATGTTTTATGCTAATATTCTCTCCGAAAATTTATTAAAATGCATTGTTTCCAATGTCTATTGAAAGCAATAGGAATCGAAAATAAATTGGAAAATATATTGGAAGGGTGTGGCAGTCTTTAGAGGTTTAGATTGAGGCGGAGGCTTTGTCAATTATAATAATAAGTAAACGAAAAGGAATATATATCTAACATAAATGTTTGGCAATGAAAATCAGGAATATTTATAATTTGAAAATAAAAAAAAGCTCACAGATATGCCTTGAGGCTTAGTTAGGTGAGAAGTAGTTATAGTTGGGCTTAAACCTATCGCATTACAAACCGTTGTGGTAAAATATTATATTAGGTTATGTTACGATATATTTCATAAAATCTGTAATTAGATTAAAATCAGCTGTAGTAGGTTATATAGTGATTATATTATAGTGATGATGTTATATATTACAACCTGTTCTCTCCTACTCAATTTAAAATACACAATTTTATATATTTTTTGCTTAAATTGTTCTATACATATAGTTGTATTACTACTTCTACCTAATTTCACCTTTACAAAACTTTGTTTTATGTGTATGATATTTTAATTAGTGTTTTCTGAAAACATATTCTAGAACAGGAAACACTGAAATTTTCAATAAAAGTCCTAGAAAATTATTAAGGACAATTTTTAAGTGTTGACACAAATTAGCGAAAAGTATCTCTTGACTGTTTACACGTACAGAATACTTAAAAAGTGAAATACATTTCATATGTTACATTGCATAGAACTACATATTAGACCCTATTTGGTTTTTGAGAACACATTCTTAAAATGTACTACCAACGCTATGTAATACTCCCTGTTCAGATTTTATCAATATAATCGATGAATATCATACAGTATGGATATATATGATGTTAACGTCAGTTATGATGGTAGTGACTATTTAATTAATAGGAGCTATTCTAGTTAAAATAAAATCCATAGTGTTCTGGGTCACAACGGAGGTTGGTGCACGTACTACTAAAGCAGATTCCGTGCTAACAAATAAGCTTTCTGAGTTTGTCCACACTAACAGTGTTATGATAGATTCTTCTTCAGGGAATGCACTACTAATAATTTAAAAGGAACTAGTAAGTTTATTAATTGTGAGTTTTTATACTATTTTGGTAAAATTACTTGAGTTCTAGTGGTTTCACATTTCGTAACAAGTTTTTCGTAAACGTTGTAAAGAAGCAAATAGATAATCCAGTTATTCTGTATTTCGAACTCCTTCGAAATTACAATTATAACCTCAAGAGACAAAGTAATGAAGGTATTTACTACACGTTTTAGCGATTTTTTTCAAATATTTTCTCAAAAGAAAGCCCTTGTCTTATAGAAAACGTTCTAATATTTTTTTTAAATTTTTCAATGTAGATTTCTTCAAAGCATTTTTTAAAATTTTTTTTTTTGAATAATTTTCCTAAAGATTTTTTATTTTTAAATTTTGGAGCACCACAAAATTTTTTATCTTTATTTATAAATATTTTTTATGTGAAATTTTATTTAAATATTTCAATGTATCATTAATTTATTCGATGTTGTATTAAAGGATATAAATTATTTTCAAGATAATTTAATTTTTAACTGGCGCATGTTGATGTTTGTTCAAAATGTAAAGAATATGAAATCGTATATATACTATATAAAATATATTCAACAGAAATTTTCGATATTTGTGAATATCAAATTTTTAGCTTTTCATTGCTTAACTGACACCTAAAACAATAAAAAAATAATAATATTGCACCAATAATTGAATTTTCACATTAATTAACAGAACAAAAAAATTTAGATAAAAAGTAAAAACGTAATTCTATTTTTCGTTTATACATATGTATATACATGTAAGAATAATGTTACATCTATATGTAAATATGTATATATAACGTATATGTCATCAAATAATTATATGAAGCAATAGTAGTTATACATATATGACTTAACATACATAGTCACACTAAAAATTTCTATTAAACATGTTAAATATCTTGTGAGCTTCCAGCGCCATCTACCAGCAAACTATAAGACTACTTAATGAAGAACATTTTAAAAATTGAACAAAAAAAAAGAAAAAGTAAATTAGTATAAAGTCTAATAGTGCTGGAAAGTACATACAAAACTGTCACATTTCTATATTTATTTCTAAGTTATGGTTATCTTTCCATTATAACGAATTCTATTCCAGTGAATAAATCGCAGTTTCGAATCGCGTTACAGAAAATCAGAAATAAAATATACAAAAGTAAAAAAAATTTTAAACCAAAATCGTCTATATTGCAAAATATTATATATAAGGGGTTTATATATATTGTATAATGAGAAATTCTGCTCCTGCTTGCTTCAGTTCGCAATTTCGGCTTTTGATCACCTAAAAAAGTTTACTCCACCTCCGATTATATTAATTATTATTTCCAGAGTGCTGCCAGACAATACTGATTAATATTGATCTGCAAACAAATTTGATAATATTTCTTTATCTCTTATTATAGTAATATAATGTAAAATAGCTACGTTCTGTGTTAAGAATTTGCTGCACTTTAGTGACGCATTCGCTTTATAACATGGCTCTGGTGTATAATAAAAAGTTTCCATAAACTCAAAACAGTCATTTACATATTCTGTAACATACATTTTTGCATTTCCGATGTTTTTAATCCTATTATGATACTAAGCAATAGATTTGATTACGCCGTCTTCCTTTTCAAAAAACACTACAATCAAGAAATATGCAATATTATAAAAAATAATGATACTCGTATAGCCTCATCAGATGCAAAAACTAATCACGATTCCAGAATTTTGATAACATCAGCTATTTAAGAGAGAAGAAAGAAAGAGAGAGAGAGAAAGGTGCATAAAGACAATGAGGTTTTGATTGACAAGACTGACTCAACACATATAAGTATAAAGAAGGAAGAAGAAAATCATTTTTTTAAAACCACTTTCGGTAGATTTAAACAACAACTTCATTCAGATCAACAGCTATTAAAGGTTAAATCGTGCCATGTGATGAGGTTCTGACAGTTCCATTAGCTCCAGAACTAACAGTACAGCAATCTTTAAATGATTTAACATATTCTACAGTAGGGATCTATCTATCAATGGTTTAGAATGAGTGTATTTCCAATTTCTTCAACAATATTTCTAATATTTTTGACATCCTTAATCGTGCTTGGCTCATATTTCATCAGTGTTTTATTGTTAATATATACATATATATAATAGTATTGTCTAATTCTTAATTAGTTGTATGTTTCTTCTGGAGACCAAACAATAAAATGGCAAGTCTCTTATCAAAGTGTGGATGTAATGTATCGATTGACTGATATGTTCAATCTTTTAAATATTATAAATTGAAGGATATGGAGTTTTATATAAAAGTCATAGTAAAAACATTATATGTTAATATCTTTTGGCTTTCCTTCGTATTTCTTAAATTTGCGATCAATCGTGCGAAACTTTTTGACTCTTGTATATATTTTTGTTTATACACAACTTTGATAGATGTCTGTAATTTTCGATCACACCCTCAATGAATATTCACATTGCAGATTTTTCTACTGGTAAATACTATAAGTATTTTGTAGCCTATTCACATGGCACAACAGAATTTCAATTCTGTTTCAAACTTCTGTTTGCGCTTTGGTGTCTGTTCAGACCGGGAGTTTCATTTAATCTTGGTTTTGTCTTTATAGTTGAGTTTGGATGTGAGCTATGAACATAAATTTAACTTAATTTTGTATAAAATCAAATCAAATCGCTATTTAAGTTATGACATGAGCAAAATTTTAATTAAAATTATGTTTATGTATGGTGTGTAAATAAGTTATTAATTAATTAGGGATATGGATAACTAGTCTCTTGCTTAAGAGACTATTGTTTTTTATTCGTATGCTGTCTTAGAGACTATAGCAAGAGATTTGTAGTTTTGTTGCATAGTTGCTAGCAAAAAAACACAGTTGCTGTTTTAGTGTACTTTACCCCTGATCTGTAAGATATAAGAAGAATTAATAATGGCTCATAAGATGTTGAAATGTTTTAGAATTTTTGGGAGAACTGAGAACTGGTGTACTGATGATGTAACCATACATGATGTACATGACATGTAAAAACGAACAATTATTTCACACACTCCTCACTTTGTTTCTATGCTGACCAAATCAAATAAATATACTTTAGCAGTTTCACGCTTCTGCCTCAGTGCAATAATAATTACAGTTATTTTGATTAAAGAAAAGCAATTGAAAACAATTTACTAATTCCTATATAATTTCCAATGAATTTGCACTAAAATGCAAATTTATAAACACAAAAAACAAAAAAACCTGAAAAAATATATGCGCAAAAAATATTCAAATTGAATATGTGAAAATGCTAAGGACCAATGACGCCATTTCTGGCATTCGAGCGTTTATTCTTCGCTGTTTTTGGACAAACAACAACTTTGGACATCAATCCGATGCGTCATTTGCGTCCCGAATGGACCGAGGTCCTCTTTAAGTTCGTTTTCGGCATCTATTTACTTGTGTCTGTGGTTGTTCTAATAAATCTGCTAATTGCTATGATGTCGGATACTTATCAACGCATACAGGTTCGTATCCCAAAATCAACTAATTCATATTTTCTTTGTTTTCTTTGCGTTTTTTTTGTGTATTAATTTGTTGCTGTGCATGTAAACAAATTGTGCATACAACAAAAATAAATAATATTTATAACAACAATAACGAAAACTACGTTCCAACATAAAAAATCACAACAACGATTACTGCAATCTTTCGTACGAAATAAATATGATGACAACAAATACAACTACACCAACAATAACGACAACAACAACACCAAACAACTATGCAAATTGTTGACCAATTAACGCGTGCAAACAAAATGGCCGCCATTTGCGATATTTTAATGCGTGCACTGTGTCATCTGTTGTTGTCTTTTCCGATACGTCACTTCGGTTATGACTGTATGACTGTATGACTGTATGATTGTATGACTGTGTGCTTGTGGTTGTGCCGAGTGTATGTAATAACATATCTGTGTTGTCTTTTTTTTTTTTTATTTTTATTTATTGTGTGCTGAATGGTCGTGTGATTGATTGGACACAGTGCGCATGCATCCAATTAATTCGTTTGAATTATTATTCTTTGCTGTGTTCGGTCAGACGACAACCGAACAAACGCAAGTGGACAAAAACGACGGCAACAGTCCAACGCAACCGTACTGGGTTGAGTACCTGTTCAAAATAGTCTTTGGCATTTATATGTTGGTGTCTGTGGTTGTGCTCATCAATTTGCTGATTGCTATGATGTCCGACACGTATCAAAGGATTCAGGTAGTATACGAAGCAAAAATGAAATTATTTAAGTGCCTCACAATTTATTTATAAATTACTCAATTAATAATAATAAATAATATTTGTTTTTCAGCTTTTGAAAAAATTTGATTTAAATAGTTTTAAGGATGAAAATGGTTTTAGAAGATACTAGATTTTTCAAATTTGTTGGTGAAATGTTTTTTATTTAATATGAAGAACCTCCCTATCCCTTAATACTAATACTTCCCTATCCTTTTAACTCTCTGAGAATACTTGACTGAGAATACTTTTTTCCTACACGTATGGTGTTATTAGCTGATAATGGATTCCCAGATCTGCTACTTTTACTCCTTAGAGCGGTTCAACTAAATTAATAGTAATTAATAGAACCTAACTGTTATAATACTTCTTTTAATTTTATTAACTCCTACTGGCTCATGCTACACTTGAGTTATTTTTGATGCATTTTGGATTAATTTTGGTGCATTAGGTTTTAACGCTTGCTACACTTGATGAATTCAGCAGATTGAAAATTCGTACACATGAACTCTGATTGCTTATGTTGGGTTGTGTGTGTACAGAAAATCAAAGAAATATTTTGACAAATAATTGAATCTTTAGTTTAGTATTCGCAAATTAGACATAAATTTCTTACTTTCACTGTTCACTGTTTCGATTCGACATTAAGAATAAATCGTCCATGCAAATGTGAAATAGAAAATATCAAAAAATGACAGAAGATAAATATTATGTATGTTTTGGTTTAATCACCTCTGAAATCATGAGTAAAATTTCGACCCACTGAATGCAGTAAACTGTAGAGTAAATTTTTATAAAACTAATTTTGATTTAGAATTTTACTCTAGTGTGGCATGGGCTATTGATAAAGTTGAAGAAATGTATTTGTCTAAGCTGTTTGTAGCCCAATTCGTGATTTTTGGAAAACGAATTCTAGAGGTCGCAGTGACGAAATACTTAGCATAAATAACTTATTAGGAGTATTCACAAAATTGATTGATTATGCAACTGTTTTAGGAAGATAATATTAGCATTGTTTATTAAAGATATTAATGTGCCGCAATGCGTGTTAGTTTACTAAATTCAATTTGTGCAAACTACAAGGTTAATCCTTTCAACATACCCACGCAAATAGGCAATGGTCTACTTACCTCATGCAGTACGTTTTCAATAACTCCATTTCAAGTATTGTCTGGATCTCTTAATTACTGAGAGGTTTTTATTTTAACCTTTGATATAAAACCTAAAATTTATGTATTATATAGTTAACAATTATATATTATATACTCGCAGTCCAAACAAATTATATACGGACTTTAAACTAATCAAAATATTCGAATATTTCCTAAGACCACTGACGATGAGTACTTGGTAATACTCGACACAGCGCTGTATGGTCAGCCAAATTTCAATAATTTAAATAAAATTTTTGTTCTTGTTTCTTCTTTGTTATGCGAATCCGTCCAACTTTTTTTTTTTGTTGAGGTAGTATTCCAGATACTTTATGTACCGTCAAACCGCCCATTGCCTGAACAGAGTGCCCGATGTAAGTCTATACTGCAAGATGAATAACTGGTATCAACATTCGAGACTATTAGAATTGGTCTCCTCTTCTTATTCCACTTTGATATAATCAATGTGAAAAATTCGGCAACAAATAAAGTACAACTCAACGTACTATCTACTTTCGGTTTTTTTTTCTGTTTTTTTTTGCTATTCTATCCAATAAATGAAAAGCATCGAAAGATTCCATGTAAGACTTAAACAAAAATCACTTTTTAGAAATGATTTGTAGAAAGAAATATATTTTTTAGACTGGAGATTTATTGTACTATGAATCTCATTCCAATATATGACAATAATTTTCGACTTGTTTCAAGGAAATGGAGTATGTATAGAAGTAATTATATGAGTTCCTCATAACTTCAAACTCAAGGATTTTGGTCTGAGTTTTGAGAAGGTGGGACAAAAGTTAGCATCGAATATAAGTTCGTTTCAAAGCAACACGTTTTCGAGAGTATTTCTACTATTCCTCGAGAGAGTCATACTTATTCATATTAATATATAAAATTTTCAAGGAACAGAAGTAAGAAGTATCTAAGTACATAACAATTTAATCTCAATAACATTTTTAACTATAATTTTTAAGTGTATAAAGACTTCTTTCATTTCACAGCAAAGTGGAACTCTTGTAGATCCATCAACTGCCCAGACTTGTAACTTCAATGTTTTTTAAGCAAACAATTTGTGAGCAAAAATTTCATAAATTACTGAAAACCCAAATGATGTTAAAAAAAACGATCTTAAAGTTACAATAGATACTTTGTGTCTTTAAGATGCTTGCCGCTGTAGTGTAGAAAAAAGTGACTGAGTTTAGAAAAAAGTTTGTGTTTAGAAAAATGCTTGACAGCATGTAAATGAAGGCTTGCGGCATTGCTAAGCTTTACTTTGTTGCATAGAAAACGCCTCATAAAACACATTCGATAGATCTATTCAAAATTTCGGGGTGGTTCCAGTCAATTCGGAATCTTCCAACGCTTGCTAGAGGAGCTTGTTAAACTGTTTTTTGTATAGAAAGTTTGTTTTAATCTCACAGTGAAGGCTAAAATAATGTGTTTGTCTGTTTGATTGAATTAGCTACACTTGAAAAAATATTTGTACATGCTGAAATATTGGAATGTTCTATTAAGTTATAGATTAAAAATAGCTAGATGTATATTAATGCATGTATGTGTGTAAAATTTTTATTAGTATTTTTTTTAACTTTTAGTATTTTGTTTTTATATCTTATGCCAAAATTATTTCGACTTCAAATAACAATAACCTTTAAAAGTTGAAAAATATACACAAGAGACCTCATTTTCACACTTCAATGTTCTAAGGCATTTAAGTAAAGCAGCTGTAAGTTAGGTCTCTTCATTTAAATGTTTATTTATTTACAAGTGTTACATATTATTTTATATAAATATGAATTAAGCATTTAATTAAGATTTATAACCTATTAAAATATTGAAAAATCTGGAAAAACCAAGCGAAATTTTTTTGCCTTCTTAATGACGATTTGCTCATTTAGTTGACCGAATACCTATAATAGGTATAATAGGTATAATAGGATACTTGCAACACTACGAGTGTTACACTACAATAATCACACCGATCAATTGTCTAAACAGTTTTTGAGGAACTATTATGACTATTTTGAGAGAAACCCACATCGCCATGTAGTCAGAGAGCAGTCAGAAGTCAATCTGAATTAACCTACATAAAAAATTAGTGCAAAATAACAAACAAATGTTTTATCCTAAAACTATGGAATATAATGTTTTTTTATACTTTTTGAGACAAACATTTATTATTATTATATCCCCGCTTCCTCAGAAGTTTGCAGTTTCTATAAATTGTTTTCGATTCCCCTTACGGGAAAGAGGTTAGCATACTTTCGAGGTAGGACATGCCTGTCATAGAAAGCAACTAAGACTCATCAGGCACCACGCTATACTGTTTTGAATTATAACTATTAGAAAGTGGGGTTTTACTTGCGACACTCTACCAGAAATATAATCTGGTAGCACGAGATCCAGTTGCATATAACTTCGGTTGCTCTAGACATTCGGTTGACTCTCAAAGGAAGTGTCATGATGCTTGTGGCAACCATATCAATTTACGCAAGAATAGTGTCAGTATTTATGTTTTCACTTTTAAGCGTGTGCTGTGCCTCAAAGAACAGTAAATATTTAGATCGGCGTCGCTCTTTAACAAGGAGAAAGTTATATTCAAACATATAACTTAACGCATTATCTTGATATGTGTGCAAACAACAACATGAAGTTGAGCTGGATGGCTCGACAATCATCACAGTTTTTCATTACAGAAGAATTGTTACATCGGGCACCAAAATCGGTCATCCAAAATTAGCCACTGACTGCAATTTTGATTTTTGTTTTTATGCACAAATGATTGTCTCACTAGATTTTAGATGTTGAAAGTAGAGTGTATGGACATTATAACATAATGTTTATATAAGTCTCTTTTGACTGCGTCGGCCGACAATGAAAAAAGGAGACACCTGATCATTATATAGAATTATATATTTTTGTTAAGATCTTGTATCGCATATGAGTAGTATACAAAATGTACCTATTCCACAGGTAAGAAAAGTTCAATTTCGGTTTTGGATATAAGTATGTTTCAATACTTAAGATTTTGAACTTAATATATGTTACTTTAATTGTTCAAAGTATTAACTATTACCTAGCTGTATGTGTTTTTGGACTGCTACAATTTTATTTTCCCTGACAATTAGCACCACTCCGAGAGATTCGTCTACGATTTCGAATATGAATAGATCTACATCCATGTACATCCATTAGTTGGACATATGATGTATTAAGTTTTCGTACGATGTATTCTGAGTCCCATTAAGAAAGAACTTACTTATCAATATAGCTTTATTTATTCTACAGTAGTTTAACTATGTTAAAAGATGAACCTCTTCCAGAATTCAAATATATCGATTTTGAGTCTATTATTTTCTCTTAGATGCCTCTTATATAGTGAATCAACATTTCATGTGTTGGTGGCATGTTCCTGATTCATTACTCATTAGTCATCAACTAAACTAAATCATTTTCTTTAAGGAATTTGTCCAATTCCTGAATGTTTCTGAGAGTCTTTTTAGATGGGTTCTTTAAGGATGGAAGCCTTATTATAATTGTGAAAGCACAATATGTAACAGATTGAGAATGCAACGATAATCAGTTAAAAATCTAAGTCCTGGCACTTATAATTAATAACTTAAGTGACAGATCGGTCTAAAAATTGGTGCTTGTTAATAACAGTCCTGCCAATCTCAACTTGATTTCCAAACAATTTTTTATAAAAGAATTTTTATTTTACTATAATTTTCTTAATGTGTTTAGTTTGCAAAAGAAATTGTAGTTTGAAGTTGAAATGACTTTGGAATAAGTTTAATATTTTTGGTTACAGCCGCTATCTATGTACATAGAATAAATTAAATATATATATATATATATATCTGTTTTAATAATTGTTTTTAGTATTACTTATTTGTAAACTATAATTTTTTATAAAAGTTTCATTTGTTTTCTCTATTTACTTTTCATAAAAAATTAAACATAAAAAACTTTCATCATCATATGGAATGCTTAAATACTTCAAATCCTCATCTCTGAAATCTCATATACCATATTGAAACAAAAAAAAAATAAAAAAAATAATGAAAAACTCGTACGAACCGAACAAAATAAAAAAAACAGGCTCAATCAGACATCGAATGGAAATTTGGTTTATCAAAGCTTATACGCAATATGCATCGCACCACCACCGCGCCATCGCCGCTTAATTTAGTTACCACATGGTTTATGTGGATCGTCGAGAAGGTCAAGGTAAAATATCAAGTGTGTATAACAGCTGCTCTCATGAAAATCAAAAATAAAAAATATTTTAACAAATATTAACAAAAAAAAAAAATAAAAAATGCAATTACCGCCAACCACACTGACCTTTTCCCCAACCCATTTAAAGCAAAATGGCAACAAACCCATTTTCAGTTCTTCTTTTTATTTTAAATACTTTATTTATCTACTTTCTCTGTAGACTGTGATATTTCCAATTTTCTTTTATTTAAATTTCTTATCACTCCCGCACGAGTTGAGAGCACATCTAGTATTAATTTTTAGTATCAGCGGTAGTAACGCAAAACTGTTGATGTTAAGTACACTTACTCTCTCTCTCTCTCTCCCTCACTCTCCCTCACTCTCCCATTTGCACTTACTAACTTTCATTTCTCATTTCTCATTCGTCATTACTCATTTATCATTATCCCTGTCTCTCCATTTACACGCACACACCTAACATTATCCAAACTCATTTTGTAATCAGTAATCAACATAATTCAACATAATTGTAAGTTTGTCTTTTACATATACATTGTGTTTGTTGTTGTCTTTTGTCCCACTCTCTCTGTCTCTCTCTCGCCACGTACATACACCACACCAAAATGCTGCAAACGCTGTGCGCTGACTCGTTTATCAGGCACGCATGAAGAAAAAGAAGCGTCCAAGTCTGGTACAGATGATGGGAATACGCCAAGCCAGTCCGCGCACAAAGGCTGGAGCCAAATGGCTTTCAAAAATCAAGAAAGGTATGAAGTGAGCGTATGAAATGGCGCGCAATTTGAAATACGTTCAATACAGGTAGAAGAGAATCTGTGCTTTGTAAATTGCTTTGAGCGTCGAAGTATTGAGCGTATTTCAGCTGAGCGCATTTCAGTGCCTCTCAGTGAAATATATGTTACGTACTATATATATTATTATAATTAAAATAAATAATACAGCTCAACTTACTGACAATCTTATATCGGTACTTTTACTTTATTCCTCAAACTTCTTTTTCTTCTTTAAAATAAATAATTCTCAACATATTTGAAACTCAATCCTGCTCATATTAATAACTGTTTTCTATATGTTTGTGCTCTGCTCTCTTAGACTCTGTGGCGCTCTCTGCAGTGCATTTATCTCCACTTGGCTCACAGACGAGCTTCTCAGCTGCCAATCAGAATCGCATTGAGAACGTTGCGGATTGGGAGGCAATTGCTAAAAAGTATCGTGCTTTAGTGGGCGATGAGGAGGGAGGTTCACTCAAGGACTCAGATGCAGAAAGCGGCTCTGCGGATGGGAGCGGTGGCGGCGCTCTTCCGCCGCCCGCACAGGTGGGAAATAATGTAGCAGCTTTACCACATCTCATCTAAACAAGTCATAGAACAAGTCATTCGCTAACTTAAAGATACTAGAAAATCTAAAAAAAATATACTTTATAACTTAAAACTGAATATAATTACAGGTTTAAGCCGTTCTAATTGGAGTCACAAAAATATGAGAAAAAGAAAAAAAAATTCAGTTCTCAAACATTTAATTTAGTTCTAAATTAAGTTTAAATTAAAAGTAATTTTCCATTATTGGCTTTTGTAAATTTTGTTATTAATTAATTAGAAAGATTATGATTCAAAATTTCATTATTTTTGATTCATAATATGATTCAAATAATTTCCATTGATTTAGGGTCAACTCTCCAACGCACTAAGAAGTTAAGTAACCCTTAAGTGTTCGATATTGGGTACGAGAGTGTTATTTAATATTCAAATAAATGTGTGTGTCACTTTAGTGTTAAAGCAAAACTTAAGTGCACATTGTAGACCCTTAAACTATTATTTCTCACATGAAATCTATTAAATTTATTAAAAAAAAAAAACCACAAAACTATTTAGATAGAGAAATTCATTAAAAAAACATTAAAAAACATTAATTTGTATATTAAAAAAACGAAATTTGTAATAATTTTTAAATGCGAAGAAAAAAAATTTAAATATATGAGAAAATGATTTAAAATAAAATTAAAATAAAAATAAAAAGAAGTGTAAAATACTGAGTAAATATAAAAAATATATTTAAAAAAAGTTATATGTAAGAAGGAACAACAAAAAAAGTTTTCCAATATGAATTAAGTTTTTATTATTTTCTTTTTTACAACTCTAGAATTAATTTTTTTATATAACAAAAGATTTCTATTTGCTAAATTTAAATATTATTAATTAAATTTCCCAATATTATTAATAATTAAGCTATTAAATATTTTCTACATAAAAATGGAAAAAATGGAAAAACTGGAAAAAATGTCTTGCTACATTTATAATAAAATTATAGAAGAATAAAATAATAAATAGATTAATATTTTTTAATGAAGTGTGTTTATTTCTAATTATATTTAATTGTATACATATTATTAATTTATTGAGAGGTTAAATTTATACAGATAAAAATTTATTAATTGATTTTGTTTTTTTAATATAATAATTGTTTTTTTAATAATAAAAAAATATATATAATAAATGTATTAATAAAGCAATAAAGTGTTATTAATCGACGGGAGTAATCTACTCTCTGCATTATAATCAAACAAGAGAGCTGGACCAAAAGCATGGAACCTGGCCTTTCGACTTACCTATTGTATCTACACTGACGTTTCAAATATGGCTAATCTGTTGTGCAGTCGATCAGTCAGCAAGTCTGCTACTTATCTCAACTCCCTGGACATCAGAGTATTTTTGTGGTGTAAGGCTTTTGGAAAGAAAAGAAAGCCATGTTGCTAGCTCACACTAAAACAAAGAGCAACTCTGACACAAACACCTACGTAAATAGTTAACAATAATGTAAGTCTAGAGATCAGACGAAGAATTTTACTATGGGCTTAGTAGGCAATTGGGATGTTGAGTTGTCTATATGTCGCTCATTGTGCGGAAGTAAGGACGGTATCATACAATGATGAAGCAGCAATATTAGTATTTAAGAGAAATGTTCGTTAAAAAATGTTTGGTGCTCCATGAGTTGGTGCTGAGTTAGATGATTACATCTAGTCTAAGTGAGATTCATACAGCTACGAATCACGAGCTCTATGAACTTTATCACGTTAGTTAGCATCATATATTTCACTGATTTGATCATGTCGTAAGTATAGATAATAACTCTTCAGTGAAAAAGATATCTGATTCGGAAGTTGGAGGAAGCAGACTGTGTGTCCGGTTATGTAATCAAATTGTAGGAGCTCTACAGCCCTAACAACGCTTGATGTGCGAAATAGAAAAAGAAGCTTCCGCATGACTCTGAGAGCGAATACACGTAACAGATTGCTTTTTATTTTAAAAATGTTATTCTTGTCGTCTTCAAGCCAAGTTGTCACACAGTTTCCAAATGGCAGCCCTGGACAGTTACTTGGTATCAGCCGAGTTATAACCTGATAAGGTGCGTACAGCGTAAAATCAGTCGCCAACGAAATACGTGAGAATGTCTCGGATTTAGAAACCGAATGTTAACGTACCCGGATATGCACTTAGAATATCTGAAAAATACGTGTGTCTTGAAGTACGACACGCTTCTAGAGTGCTGAACGTACGTTTGGTTCGTAGTCCAAATATCGACTCGGACTATTACTTTGCCGCAGCCAAGGTACGGAATTCGGTAACGGGTTCTTATGGCCCGTCTTATAAGTAATATTATGTTTTCACTGTAACTAAAATAACTTTTGTTAATCATATTAAGGTTCAACTTTTGTTTCCAAAAGCAAAAGTTAAATATTGCATGTGTAAGAGCTTTATGTGTCAGAAAATTCTGTGGAAGCTCTACGAAATAGTGGGAAAGTGGGAAAAATATTTTGCGATTATGCATTCGATATTTTTGTTTTGATTTATTCTTAACTAAAAGCTGAAAAGCAAAATAACTCTTTATGTGGTTACTCAAATTTAATTAGCGGCCTTAATTAAATAAACTGTCTTAACGAATGCGATGGGAACATACTATTAATGCCAGTTTCACTTAAGTTTTATAAAAGATTTGTGCATAAATTAAATGAGGAAAGTGATGACTTAAGAACGACTTAAGTCAATATTGAGATTTGGCTTGCAATCCTGCAATCAATCTACAGTGTTCACTGGAATTCAATGATGTTTGTGTATAGCCCAGCCCATATATGTGAGGTGTTTGCATATTGCCGTATATCAGTTTTATGATCGTAAATTTAAACGTGCTCTCCGATCTTGGTAGTTGTATCTGCTTTATGTTTAAATCAAAGACCGTTATTTTCTATGGTTATCAACATTAATAGCAAAGACCGTAATAAATTTTTCTTCACGAATACTTACATGTGACCGTATAAAAGAATACGGTCTTAGTGTGGTGTTAATCTGATATTTGATTTTATCGTATGATTTCCACTCTTTTTTAGTGGTTTGAAACGTAGATAATATCAAATCTGTACTATCGACAAAGTCCTCCTTCAAAAAATCGAAGCCACGAACCTGCTATGAAACTATGGCAACTGTTAGCAAGGACGACAATTATATATGTGCACGGTTCGTGCCCTGTAACTTTGACTTCAAAGTGTGTTTGGTGGAAATGGTGAGATTTTACTTTTGCTACTGACCGCTTGGTATGATTTGACATCAATGTCATTTTAGGAAGTCTGGCAGTAGTTATGCATAAACTTAATCGACATCTGTCTCAATAAAATATTTTTCAGATTTAGTTATATCTTTGCACACATATGCAAAATATTAACATTTAAAATATATGGACAGCAAATAAATCTTACTTAACTGAGAGAATTTCTTTGGTATTCTAGGTCTATCTGTGTTGCATTACACGTTGCAATACATAGTCAGCATAAAAAAAATTGATCTTGGTAACCTTTCTAGTTTGTTTCAAATGTCCATATAGACATTTTTGACATTGGAAAAGTTGAATTATTAAAAATTTTTAAAAATTGATTTAGATTTTTTCATTCCTGACAAAGAAACGCTTGTCAACATGGGTAGGAGAAGAAAATACAGAAAAAAAGCAAAACTTGAACCGGAAAAAGAGGTAAACCTAAAAATGACATTTGAATATAAAAAATTATTTAATTTTTTTAATCAACTTTCTTACGTAAACGCCAATAATGACCGCCTCATAGTCCGAGACAGAAACTAGTAGGAAAAAAGCTTGTTTTGATGAAGGCATAAGTGAGAGTTCTAGACTCGGGACTTATACTGGTGAGCGTATCATCAAGCAACCTGCAATTATTACTTCAAAATATGGAGACGAAAACACTGAAGGCGATTTCATGCTTAGAACTGCGGAAAATGAAACCACATGTGAACAAAATATCGTTTTAATCCAGGCACAAGGCGTTCAACACTACACGGAAAATGAACTAAACCATACTGCAAAATATTGCGATGGATCATCTGTGCAGAGGATCACCGCAGAGGATAAGGAAAAAAGTATAGATAGCAAGCAACATTTTATAATGCAGCAAACACAAGTTCGCGAATCAATGAGTGCAGATGAGTCTATTTATACAGTAAGGAATTATCGCGCATCTCCTGAGAGTCTAATAACAGAGAAGGAACACGAGCTGCAGAGTACTGAAGTTCAGAGAGAAAATTTTCGAGAACAGTTACAAGATTGCCAACAAATAATTCAAAATGTGTCCAATGACATCATGGCATATCACAACATATCAAGCGGTTATGGAGGAGCTCATCAACAGATTGTAGTTGAAGTTCAAAGTTTTAAGCAGCAGGTAGAGGGTTCTCAAGAGATAACAGAACCACCAAACACCACTAAATATCATGCAATAGTGTCCAAAGTAACAAAGAAAAATGAGGATGCACATCCATCGTATGACTTTGAAATTATGCTTCGGAATTTTGATCAGCGAGTTCAGGGTTGCCAAGTAACCGATGCGGATGATTTCATCGCAAAATATTATGCAACTTGTGAAAAGTTAGAACAAAAGAGTGGTGAAGAACTCTCCTTCAAGTTAGAACTTGAACTTCTAGGTTTTGGTAAACAGTCGTATGCCTGTGAAGAAGTCAATGAAAACAAATCCTTCAACACCGTAGATTATGATGAGTCATCTATAATAGAAGACAAAAAAGAAAGTGAGAAAGAACACAAACAACAAAGCTCTGAAGTGCAGACACAACAAACTCAGAAGGAATCTTTCAGTTCTAGTGGGCAAGCACAGCATTTCTTAGAAGTTAATGAAAATATGTCCGAAGGTCATACTCAGCCAGTTGAGAACCTCGCTCTGGTAGTGATAACTGATGATGTAATAAGTATGGAAGGTGATAATTAACTTATAATTAACTAAAATATAACACAAAAATAAAATCATTCAACAATTAATTTTTTTTTCCCTTGAAAGTATGATCCATTGACTGTTTGCTCCAATTTTTAATTAATTTTTTATAAGTATGGTAGGTGTGACCCTCAATATCTTTATTTTTTTTTTTAATAATTTCGGATAATGTTTCTACAGAATAGAAATATGTGTTCCGTTGTACTTGTATGTAACAAGTATACTAAAATAAAAACAAGAGCGATAGACTTAGTATAAATCGCTCATATCACTAATATACAACCTAGATCTGTTATTTCAATAAACGATCTCTTAGTGCTTTGTTTTCTTGAGATTTTCTGTAACGTAGAGGATTTTCGAATAGCAAAGAAAGAAAGGACAAACACAAAAATTTATTTAATTTATTGAACTTTGGGTGACCACACAACACTGTTTCGAGTAGTGCCAAGTACTCATCATCAGTGGTCTTAGCTAATAATTAGAATTAGACTAATTAGTTTATAGTCCGTATATAATTTGTTTGGACTGCAAATGCCAGACTTAGAACTCGTGTCTGAAAAATTTGGATCGATGATTAATCGTGTTTTTCCACAAGTAGCCAAGGCTGCACAAATTTGATCAGCCAAATTTCAGAAAATTAACTAAAATTTTTGTTGTTGTCTTTTCATTTCTATTTGAACTCTTCTAACATTTAAATAGTTTCTTTATGTCATAAGACGCGTCATTGTTGGCAAGAAAAAATTAAGAATATACACATTTATATATGACGATTTGGACTAGTATGTCCAAACACGTGGTTTTTGAGCTTTTTTTTTTATCATACAGTTTCAATGGCTAAATATTTGGAACTCTGGTATTAGTAACGGGGCATTTGGAACGAGAGTTCTTTGATTAAAGAATTTGTAAAAAAATAGATGAATATCAAATCCGAAAGAACTTGAAATATCACACATTCCAGTTTGTCTAATCTTTCGAAAACGTACTTTTCATCTACTGGTAGTTGTCAAACGAAGCAACCCATTTACATCCTTCAACTTGTTAAGAATTTCCAACAGATAACATATGTTGCGAATTCCTCTCTGATATACTGTAAGCATCTTCTCTCGAGAACCTTTGACTACAGTATTTCCAAAGTCTGTTGAATACAGTAATACCTTTGTAAAAAGCACCACTTCCAGTGCATAATATAATAATATTCTTTATGGTTTTAATAAATTCTTCTAGAACTATTCCAACAGTAGCCCATTTCACTTTAGGATTTCATTAATAATTGCACCATGTTTTCTCTTGAGTAACGATCTCATTTTGAATTGGAATGGCAAGGTTGTTAATGTCTTTGTATTAGAAGTTTTTATTCGTGGGAGTTTTTTGTACTAAGGTAGCCAAGATTAGGATCGAAGAGTGGCAAATGACCTGAGCAGCAATAGACCAACGACAACAACCAAAGAAGAATAAGAACATTAAGCTCGGAGTCACAAAAAACAATTTGCACTTCGCTTGACAGAAAAATATGTGACGTAATATTTCTTCAGGCCTCAACTAATTTCCTTAAGCGTTTAATTCCATTTGCATTCCCCGTTTTTGCCTGTAAACTAAAACAATTTCAAGCAAAATTTGAACTGAAACAACTTCACAGTCCATCAATTTGCGGTTTTGGCACGTCAGCGAAAAGCGTATAAAATGCGCGAGACGTCTTTTTTGCGCAACACTTGCCTGCGCTGGATGACGACGTTTAGTAGAAGTTATGCCGCAGTCCGCACTCCACTCGTCCATTGGCTGGCGATTAGCGCGGTCTGTTAAGAATTCATTTGTCTAATTTTTTCATTAAGGCTTGAGTAATTTTTCATTGAGTTCGCGGTTTGTCTTCACTGCGTTTTTGACTTTTTGTTCTTAGTGGCATCATTCGTCATGAGTTAGTGAAACTCACTCACCTCCTTGTGACCTCGGGGTTGGAAAAAGGTGGTTTCGCTGATTGTTTACGTCTGCGCAATGTGTTGCTCATAAAATTTCAATTAATCTTACAATGTTGTTTTTTGTCCATTTTCTGCATCAGATACTTTTTGCTTGCATCTTATTTTTCTTCAACTGCTCAACTGCTCAACTGTACTTTAGTACGATCATCCATTTATCAAATGATCCGTTGATCCATTCCGCTTAGTGTTTGTGATTGCTTTATGTCCTGCGTTTTCTGTAAGCGAATATTTAACATTTTTTAATTTAAAATTAATTTGAGATTTTGCTTTCCGTGTCTACTAAGACATTTCAGTAAAGAGGATTTCAGTTCTAATGCATTCAAGTTTTGCATTCTTCCTTCTTGAAAAATCGGAATACATCGGGTCGATTTTCAACGTTACTTCACTCAGCTGATAAGGAGTTTGAAAGTGAACACTTTGTATATGATATTCATTGAAAAATTACGAACAATATATTGAATCCTTAAAAACAAAGAAATACTCCTTCAAATTAACAACGATTCATTAAAAGGTTTTGCGTTCCAAAAAATATATTAATCAGTCATTTTCCAAGCTTTATATTTTCATCGGTATATAGTAGCAGTTCTGTAGTATATTGGCGAAAGACTTGGACAAATCGTTTTTAGCGGCTCTTCGATCGGCGAATTTTATACCTTTCGAAAGTTTTACAGAGACCGAAGGAATTAGTGAACGCATCAAAAGTTCTCAACCAAGTCAACCTAAACAAAATACATTAGCCAGGTGTCATATACTGAGGATAATACTTAGCGATGAAGGTGTGAGTAATTGAAGCATTGATCATTAGTCTACTTATGAGTTTTATATTTAGGTTCAAGGTAGTTTCGTTCCAGAATGTTATTAAGAAGAGTCAGCTTGGATTGTTTTTTTAAGAAAAAAATGAAAAAGTAATTAACAAGGTGTGCGTTTCACAATCGGGGAGATCTGGAATTTCGTAACGCGACTTCTGAAACTAGCACAGTTACATATGTAGTAACTTCCCATGGGTACACGAATAATCCAGTTATAAGCGAACATTTTACTTGGTTACCTTCCATCGTGGCCTAACATTACTGTCTGTCAAGATAATGCGCTGATAAATGACTCACAGGGTAGAATCCACCAAAACAAATTGAAATCATGTGTTTGGATATAACATTTTTCTTGTTGAGAGACGATGCCATCTAAACCTTTGATGTACCTAAGACACAGCACACGGTTGAAAAACGTAACTTCACATTGAGTGGAAGCATAAATGCAAACACTTTTCCTGCGTAACTTTAGGTGTTAAGCACAGCCATCGTTAAGAAGCCCATCCAATCCACAGGTTGATTTAAGTTGCAGGCACCTGTATCTAATGGCATCAGATTTCATCATTGGTGTGGTTTGCAGTTCTGTGTAAAATACTATTAATTACCAGAATAAAATAGTGTTCACTTAGTCTATTTCTGGAGTTAATTATTTCACTGCTATATTTCTAGTTTTGATTTGCAATACACTAATGTGTGAGCACAGTGTTGAACGGTCTTTTGACTCACTTCTGTGGTACAATTAATCTCCAGTTTTCAGTAAATGTTCTAAGCCATTGTAATAAGCCATGAAGTGTATTCATATTAAAATATGAATACATATGATCATAATATTAACAAAATTCATGAGTGTGTCTTAGTTTTTAGGTTTACGTTAATGATTTTTTTCCATTCTTTAACATTATATGGTTTAGAACAAATTAATAGTAAGAGTAAAAGAGTAAGAGAGTAAGAGTAAGAGTAAGAGTAAGAGTAAGAGTAAGAGTAAGAGTAAGAGTAAGAGTAAGAGTAAGAGTAAGAGTAAGAGTAAGAGTAAGAGTAAGAGTAAGAGTAAGAGTAAGAGTAAGAGTAAGAGTAAGAGTAAGAGTAAGAGTAAGAGTAAGAGTAAGAGTAAGAGTCAGTGTAATGATTTTAATTGACGTGGCTTTATATTTAGTAGTTCTAACAGTTTTAAAGCATCCCAGTCGGACGAAAATTTGTCAAGTTATGGTCCCGAACAGTTATGGGAAATGATAGGGATAAACTGCTGATAGGGATGAGAGGAAAACAGATACTAAAACTTTATGGTGACATCAAGCCTTTCTGTAAACTGTGATTTGAATAGATTTGTAGTAATCGCGGAAAAGAAGAACATTGTTTGTGAAATCAAAATTTAGAATTAGAATAATCAAAAGAAGGTGGATAAGTTGATTTTCATTTAGTTACTTCATTTCTGAATTTCTGGTATTTTGTTTGATATAACATCATGCGATATTATTATAACCTTATCGGTTCGCTTAATTTATAATGACATAAAAATTTTTACGCATAATCGGAAAGCAGGTTTTCTTTAGAATAGAAGAGATAAGATCATTATTATTTATATAAATACTAATATTAATCTTCTTCAAATTCGCATCTTGATAATGATAATCATTAAATAAACGAGCTCAGACAATAAACCATAAACCCAAAGCCATAAGCTATGAGTCAATAGCCAAGAGCCATGTGCCTCAGGCCAAGTTTCCTATAAAAGTCTTTGCACAGACTTCAAATGGAGTAGAAAAAAAAAGTACTTACGCAGTCTCATGATCATTGATCACTTCTGAAATGTTTCAAATCGAAAAACAAACAAACAGTCCAGCAAATAATAAAAAACAACAAGAACGGAGCGTTGATATGATTACAATAATTAATCTTTTTGTTTTAATATAAAATTGTTTTCATATAAAGAGACAGACTGCAAGATGTAAGATACAAGTGAAGAGAAGACCGTGTCCATATTCCAGAAAAAAGCAGGCAGTTCATTAAAATGCAATGCCGTGCAAATGTGTCTCACGGGTGTACTGAGTTGACTGCGATCGAGTCAACAGTTATGGCACTGAGCAATAACAGCAGCAGAAGTACTCCGACTCCTAAACTGCTTCCTGCTGAATGGAACGACAAAACGTACAGAAAAGTGACGAACTTCGCTCGCAGGCGCCTGCGCTTGCGTCAAATTAAGTGTTTGTGTCGTTCGACATTAATCAAAACATATCAAAA